CATTCTACATGAATTTCAATTGCTGGTCTTGGGAGTACAAAACTGGATTTGGTGGCAGAATCATTCCCACCAAAGCGCAAAAAGGAGCTTTGTCTGCAAGTTTCAGTGGGCCAATTGCGGCAATCGAGCCCAGTCCTTTCTTTGATGAGGACGCAGAAGCAGTGAGGCAAACGCACTTAGAGGAAGTCCGTGAGGAGACTGAGATCACCGAGATGACTTTGCATGACAAGCAACCCGTTCCAGAAGCTCCACAAGTGCCAGTTGAGGAACCAGTGCAACCCAAGTATCCAAACCCCATTGGGATCTTTGATGACCCGCCAGATGATGATGGGCAGCAACAAGTTCAAACAGATCCCACAAGTGCTTCTTCATCTGCGGCAATGCCTTCAGATGTGCCGCAGACTCCAGATGTGTTTGCACAGGTGCCTTCCACGCCGAGACAAGCGGCGCCGACAAGACCTCATGGAGATGAAGTTGAAGATCAAGAGGCCAAGAGAGCCAGAGTTGAGACATCAAAGAAACAACGTTTGGAAAGAATCAGTGCTGAGTATCAGGCAATGGTGAGGACTGTGAAGTTTGGTGATGAAACTTTGCATACCATGGACGAGTATCAACATGACTTGCAACTGGATGACCACAACAATGTTGATATGTGGATGGAAGAGGAGAAAGATGATCTGGCAGCCAATGGAATGCCAGCAGAACTATGGTCAGATCACCCCATTGACAGATGTCCTCCTGCGCCAGAAGAATCCATCGACAGGATCGCTGACCGTGTCGAGCTCTCAAGACTATGTGGCATGAATGTGCTTATGGAGGGAAATGTGGATGGCATAGATGCCAGCAGCAACACTTTGACTTCAAGATACGTGTATGACTGGAGGTTGAAAGATCGGATTATGCCAGATGGCACAACCGTGAAATGTTGGCTGCGCCGTTCACGACTGGTGGCACGTGAGTATTCCTTTTGGGAAAAGAGGTCAGACACCTATGCACCAGCGACCTCTACGCATATTCTCAATTTGCTTCCAATGATGTACTTGCAGAGCTTGGCAAACGTTGATGATGAGACTCACCATATCAGTGAACCTCTTTGCCTGGGAACGCTTGATGTTAAAGATGCTTTCTTGATGGTTGACCAACCATCACCAATGCTTGTGACCCTTCTTGGCTAGACCTACACGGTGCGCAAGAATTTGCCTGGGCAACGTTTGGGAGCTAGAAGCTGGTATTGGTACCTACGGGATTTTCTTCAAAGGAGATGGACTTCGAATGGTGCAAAGAGCAACCATGCCTGGCGCGAAACGCGCATTGCTGCATCATGGTGCATGTTGATGACATTTTGTTTTGCGGCAACAAAGATTACTGGACGAAAACTTTTCTTGTGAAATTTGCAGCGAAGTTCAAAATCAGTTATTCCGAGCTTGGTGGGATGGAGAGTGAAATTTCCTTTTTGAAAAGGAGAATCAAGAGGGTGCCGAGTGGTTTAGCACTTTTGCCTGGCACCAGTGCAGACAAGGTCATCAAGTTGTTTGAAGATCAGTTTGGAAAGGTGCGAAATCAATCTATCCCATGCGACGGTGGAATCCATACAGAGGATTTATCTGCAGAACTTTCTTGTGATCAAGCTTTTGGGTACCGCTCAGTAGTTGGGACCTGCCTTTATTTGGCCCGTGACAGGCCGGACTTGTTGTTTACAGTGAAGGAGTTGTCAGGGTCAATGGCGAAACCTGCAGTGACAGCATTGCAGAGATTGAGAAAGCTTGTGGGATATTTGAAAACAAACCCAGATTATTGTGTTCTGTTGGATGTGCCCATCGCGTGACAAGGCAAATGGAAAGCCTCAGATAGGCACTGGATCCTTGAAAGCTTCAGTGATAGTGACTGGAGTTCGAATCAAGTTCATCGTAGATCAACAAGCAGCGGTGTGCATCTTCTCAATGGAGCATTTTTGTTTGGTTCATCACGAACGCAGAGAGTTGTGAGTTTGTCGAGCTGTGAGAGCGAGTTGCATGCTATGATCAGTACCCTCAGTGATGGCATTTTCCTTAGACGATGCTTGGAGTTTATCTTCAATGTTCAGGTGGAGCATGTGATGTTTACGGACTCATCCTCAGGGCGCCAATTGGCGATGCGCCAAGGCACGGGGAAAGTCAAACACTTTTCAGGGAAAGTGCTTTGGATACAGGATGCCGTCAGAAATGGAATCATTCAGTTGTCACAAATCCCAACTGTTTGGAACGTTAGTGATATCGGCACAAAATCCTTGGGGGCACAGAGATTGCAACTTCTTCTTCATGAACTCAACATAGCCTCAAGCCTTGATTTTGCCGTGGTTGGAATGCCAGAATACGAGCGTCAGTGTCAACGCCATGGAGGAGGTAGGCAACTGACGAAACTGGTGAAGAATGTCACCAGGATTCTCATCATGTTGGGCCTTGAGCCAAACACTGTTTCAGGTGTGGCTGCGATTTCAATCTTGGATTTGGATGAGAGTTCAAGTTTTGTGTCTTGCGTGACCGAGCCCAATACAGCAGTTTCAGGAGGAGGTAGTTTCTCCTATGTGTGGCAATGGCGTTTTTCTGCGGATTGATGATTGGTTTGCTGGTTGTGTTGTACAAAACATACAATCGAGCAAGGGTTGCCATTGAGTCCTACAGGAACTTATACATCCAGGTGGGTGCTTTGGAGGCTTCACACAGGAGGCTTCAAGATCTGTGCGAAGGCTTGCGAGATCAACATTTTACAGACATCTCAATTCTGGATGATCTTGTGAACAAGCATGTGGAAGAGATCAATGTTCTTCAGGGACAAATGGCTGGCTTGAATGAATCAATGCGGCGACTCAGAGAAACCCATAACGAGCTGCAAGGTGAGATCGAGATGGTTTCTGATTCAGCTGAACAAGTGCACTTTGGATTGGTAGAGTTGGGTGGATTTACACCTGTCAGGTCGCTCGAGGCCAATGATCGAAGGCATATGTTCGAGCTGGAGCGTGCAAATTTAGTTGCACGTAGGGTCATGGGAGCCGATCGATATCTTGCAACAGTTCGACAGCAGAACCAAGGTACAGCCAGAGGAGACGACACTGACATGAATCAAAGTGAGACTGCCGAAAGTGAGCCAATGGAGAGAGACGAGACTGTGGAGACAGAAGGCGATTTTATGCAAATCGTCCATACACTCAGGACGGAATTGAATGAGTGCCTGGCGAGACAGGATTTTCCAATGGCGGCAAGGTTTCAGCAGTGCGTGCTCCTTATCCTTGATGCAACCAATGGGCAGATTCCAATGAGCCGTGAGACAAGAGCCAACCTCTATACCGAGCTTGCAAGGAACCTCGAGGGGATGGCTGATCAGATTCGTACCCAATTGCCCAATTTAGCTGCGCGATACAATCAGTATGGTGGACAGCTTCTTGGAGCAATCAACAATGGATGAAAATCGATGTGCATGAATGATTTTTTTATGGTTTCCTTCTCAGAGAGAATTTTGGAGACTGAAATGTGCGTGAAGCTGAGCGCATTGGCGGTGAAAACCTTTGGAAAGTGGTGCGGCCAACCCAGTTTCAACTCACTTGGCCGAGGAGGAGTTCGAATGTTTTACATCAGTACTCACTGCTGAGATTTGGTTACATGGCCACTGCACTTTGGATGACACGCACAAACGAGAGAGTGTAACTAGTTGGAACTCCATGTGAAACGACATGTGAGTCATTGCATACTTATTGCATTGCAGGCCCTGGTTCAAAATAAAGCCCTAGACCGTTGGCGTTTTCTTCGCATGATCTGAACACAATAGTCAAGGATTCTGGTGAAATATTAACCAGAATCTGAATACAGTTTTGTCTTTCGCTGCAGCTTTGTTCAGGTAGTTAAAAAGGTGGGAGTGCAGATGCATTTGAATAGTAGCAGTGTTCAGCGGCAATCAAAAATTGCAAAATCCAACCTGGTACCTCGCCGTGATGTTCCTCGCAGCACTGTTTGGGCGGTGTTGCCAAGATATATAATTGTGGAAATTTTGTATCCCGTCGGAGCGGCGTGAAGAAAATTGCAGAAATAAATGTGAATAAAATACTGTTTTTGGGACTCACCGAAAAATCAAGGATGGATTCGACGTTGCTCATTGCCAGTCCATCAAGTGCAATGTTCAACACCTGGGTGGATCATGCGTGTACCTGAAAAAAACTGTTGGTGAGTTTTTTGCTAGTGCAGAATTTGATTTGTTTGGGTTGAAATGGAAGGGGTCTGTTTTTATTTAGCAAAACCGTTTCCTTTTGACCAAATCAGATTTGGGAAACGACTTTGCATTGTCAATTCCCAACACCAGAATAAATGGCACTTAATAAATAATTATTGTTTTTTCTTTAGTCATTCCTTGTTTTTCAATGAACAACATCTTCAGCTTTTGTTGAAATCACAGGCCGTGCCATCTTGTCCATATGTTGGAACACATTTGCTTCAATTTGAAGATGGGGACGGGTCTTTGAGTCACACATTGCAGAAACATGTGCACAAATCGGGTGATCAATTTGACATAGGAATGCAAACAACATTTATATCATTGCCGTTTTGTCATGGGTTGCTGCAGGAAACATAGTTTGATTCGTGCCGTTGTCATTCGTATTAGTCATTGCATGACACGAAACTTGTTATTTCCAAGCTGAGTAGGTTCTGGAAATCGTGCGTGCGAACATGTGTTCCTGATGTTTCCCCGTTTGCGCATGCATGTGTGATAAATGAGAACAATTCGCAGCATTTTCTGTTCGCTTGTAGGTATGATTTTGACATGGTTCAAACATTCAAACCAGTAAAAACATTTGTCCCCAGTTTGGAACCATTAATTCTTGAACCAACAAATTGCGCAAATTTACATTTTCACATTCCTCTTGGTTCCCAACGGTTTGGCAGTGTTTGCTCTTCTTCTAGTCCCTTCACCACTCATGGTTGAAGTATTTTGTAATCGTTGACGTGCGGATTGCGTTGGACAAATGGCCAGAGATGGTGCAGGCCTTTTTGAAATTTCAGTCAAGATCACCTTTTGGCGGATTTATTTGTTTTGTATTGATGCAATGGTTTCCACCAAAATTGCAGGAAGACGATGATGAAGGGGATGACGAGGTCGGGTGTTTTTCCCACATTATGTAAATTTGCACGTGTTCACTGGTGTGTAAATGCATCATTCCAGGGGAAATATTGCTGGGTTCATGGATGTTGATCGATATTGATGGACAAATGATGTGATTTTGTTGTGATTGAGTGACACATGTTTGAAACCGCCCTGTTTGGAGCACTGGAGGACTCCTTTGTAGAGGCAGCGCCACCCTCTCCGACTTCGCCTAACTCTGACGCATTGCAAATTGATCGTGGTGACAACGTGCTCCGGCTCGTTTCTTCGGGAACTGCAATTGCAACTAATTGCAACATTTATGTGCGTTTGCAATCAGATACGCGTGTTTGTTCGAGTCCGACCTCTGAATGCAAAAGAGGACGGTTTGGTCTCGATATTCTCAGATTCGCAAATTTGCAATCTTGAATGATTGTTTCATCTTCTGTTGTGCTATGGAAGAAAGGACCTTGCTCATGTTCGAGATAGCATTGTGGTTGACACAGCCTTGGGAGCTGTTTGCAGCCAAGATCAGAGTATCCTTGACACGTTGAAAATTAAACTCACCTGGTCAGAATTAGCTGGCAAACCTTTGTAAGGTCCACTTTGCTGAGCCGCCAAGAAGTTTTGCCTTTGACGGTGTTCTCGGAGAGCCCAACCCCAAATTTGAGAAAAACATGCCGTTGCAATTGTTCCTAGACAAGGTGTTGCGAGCTTGCCGTGTTGATTTCAGGTCTGCTTTGCAGGAAGATGTCTTCCAACTCTTTGGAACAAATGTGGCTGATGCCTGCCTGAGCGGGTCTGCTCCCCATAGAACCCATTGATATGTTTGAGATGCATACCGTTATACCCGATTTTTTTTCTTTCTTTGTGTAGGTACAATGGAAGCATCTATGTCTATGGTCAGACGGGAAGTGGAAAAACCTATACTATGCAGGGCGCCGTTGTGCGAAACTTACCAGTTTGGGATGGCCAGTTTAATCTGTTCGTTATACAAACGATGGGAATACTCAGCGGAAAACATGTTTTTTTTCTTTGCATCCATCTGAAGGACTCTGTGCAATCAATGCACCACGACGAAAAAAGGTTCCGGGAAACGAACGTTGCCAACTTGTTGCTCCATGTATTCCTGCTCCTGCTCCGTTCTTTGGATATCTGTGGATGTAGACCGACTTGTTCTGTGGACGCAAGGGGCCTGATGTGCCGGATATTGGATTTCATTTTTGCTGAAATTAGTGGATTTCTCAGCTGATGGGACTGAAAGCAAGCTCGCCCTAGCAAGTACAGATTTACGGTATATACAAAACATGTTTTGAGTTGATGAAAGCGATCTTTTTATTCTACTGCAAAATTCAAGGATGACAGCATTGCACTTTCACCAGTACAAGACACATGAAGGCCTTATATAGCCTATACAAAGGGCTGTGAACTGTGGACCCTGGACTGCGTTCTATTTGTGATGGTCAAAGAGCAATGATCAAGGCCGACGTCATCACAAGGATGGAAGTGTTCAGCACACGTGCAAGTGTTCGTGCGCCTATTGGGCAGGTGACGAGTACAATTTGAAATCTATTTGAAATCTATATATTTGAAATCCATTTGCTGAGTGTCTGATGTGTGTTCCAGGTACTTGGAGATCTACAAGGACGACTGTGACGACTGTGACGACTGTGACGACTGTGACGACTGTGACGACTGTCACAGTGTTGGTGACCGGAACTGAGGCCGTCCTCCACACGCCAGGAGCAGATCACAGACCTCCTTGAACCGAGTTCAAACAATTTGCAAATCAGGGAGGACGCCGGTGGGCTCAAAAATGGGCTCAATATGTTTGAGTGATTTTAAGATTTTTAAGTGCAAGTGTAATCCTTGGTACTGATGTGCTCCTTGTTACAGACTGGATTTCAACATAGCTTTTAAGATTTCAGTTCTCAATAAAGCGCCTCAAAATTTGCAATCGCGAGGACACAAATCGAGGTGTGTATGTGGAACGGCTAAGCGAGCATTCTGTTTGGACTGCTTCGGATGCGTTCCATGTCTTGTGGAAGGCTCCAAATTTTCACCTTTTCTGTCATCCTTTGAACATTTTGATTTGTTGCTTTGAGATGCAGAGCATGCGTTGCATCCTCTAGGGCCTGCATCAAAGACATGTGGCCGCCACCCAAATGAACGAGCTGAGCTCAAGGCAAGGCCTGTTGCAATAGTACTGTGGTTACCCTGTAGTTGGTACAGATTCTACACTCGTTGGAAGGGGCTTGGCAACATTTCAGGAGTAATGTTAATTCATCACTTTGAGGGTGGCCAAGCTTGGGACAAAGCGCGAGAAGCTGGCAGGTCACACTCTGTTTTTACTCTGAAGCTTGAAGCATCAAATACCACATCTGGTGGTGTTACATCCACAAAAGTCTCGAGGTGCAGAGTTGTGAGCTGAAACGCTTTGTCATCTGAGTCTGTAGTGACTGTAGTGACTGTAGTGACTGTAGTGCCTGTAGTGCAAGCAGTGACTATAGTGACTCTAGTGACTCTAGGTATGTTGTGGTCTAGGTATGTTGTGGCCTTTTCACTGACAGGCTGAATCTGATCGACCTAGCGGGCTCTGAACGGCAGACTTTCGATCCACTTCATCCTGCTGTGGTGCTCACCCCCTGCTGATTCTGATTGCGATTTGCGGAGAAGTTTGCACATTTTTTCTCAATCTTGACTCTTCTTTATTCAAATTTCCGCCTGCCCTTCGCAGCAGGAGAGCATCAGAGTCAAGGAGGCTGGCGCCATCAATCGAAGTCTCAGTGCGCTGACCAATGTCATTATGCTACATGGCTGCAGCGTTTCTTCTTGATCGCGAAGCTAGAACTCAGCCATAATCTTCTCCTGTTCCTGAGCGGGAACCAAGGTCATTATCACATCGTAGAAAACCCTTGGCTGCAGGGAACCTACCTTAGCAAATCTCGCTCTTTCTGAGCGCGTTATTTCACAAACTGCTCCTACAAGGAAGAAAGTTACTTCCCCAGAGCTCAACTGAGGTATCGGCAGCCTTTTGTTCGCTACCGCGATAGTGGACCTTGCTTGCTTGGAACAGCTTCAACTTCTCATGTTTAGACCACTGAACTAAACTGCAGAAAGCCCTTTGCTGCCAGGCAAGCTCACATTTTTGCTGCGTGACTCTCTGGGCGGAAACTCCAAGACAGTCATCGCAGCTTGCATAAGTCCATCTGTTTGGGACTTAACTTTTTACTAGCAGACAGAGGGCTTCATGGCCTTTCGGATTGAATCTGGTATCAGAAGCCTTACAAGGCCTTATGCTTTGGTGAGACGCTATCTACCTTGAAATTTGCAGCCCGTGCGAAGCACATCCGCTGCACTGTTCAGCCCTTACAAAGCGTGAACAGTTTTGTCGATTGCGTTTCAACTGGTGGTAGAGTGTGGTAAATCCATGATCGAATGTGGCTGTGCTCCTTCTCAATTTGAGGCCGTCATGAATGAGGAGTATTCTGGCACAGTGGAGTCTCTCATGTTGGAGGCGCTTTCTTCTTATTCCTTGAAGGCCTTATCCGTTATCAAATTTTTAATCTCCATTGATATAAGATGATACAGTATAAGTCAGTTTACAAAGAGTTTGTTTCGAGGTGAAGAGCTTGCGGCAACAACTAGACTTGCTATCAAGCCCCGAGCTCAGCGAGCTCGTTTCGATTGTTTTTGTCATTTTGTTTTTCGCATTTCGGCAGCTTCCCCTTTTTTGGTGGTGGTGGTGGCCGCATTGGACTAACTTGGCAATATCAGCCATCCAAGTGAAGACAACATGTTTGAATAGCTTAAGATATCTTAGTTTGTCTGTTTTCTTCGAACCAAAAGTTCCAAGTATATTCTTTGGGCGAAGAGAGCTGACTGATTTGCCAGGTTTGGCAAGTTCCCCCAAACATATTTCAACTGTTGCCCCATACCATGCTGTAGACAACTATAGCCTTCATTGAACTGTGTTGCTGACATTTTGGCCAGCATTCTCCCCCAAAACAAAAAAACAAGCCTATTCAACATCAAAGTAAGACCAACACCGGCAATTCCCTTCCAAATCTTTACACATTTGCAACCGAGTAGCTGAGCTGAAAATCCTGGAAAGAACTCAGGTCGTGGGCTTTTGGAAGCTGAGGCCCCACTTGCAAAGTTTGATGATCGGCTGACATCAAATGAATCCCGAGAGTTGTACGGTCACATGAGCACACGGTCATACTGGTCGGGATAGTCTACTGTCAATTGTTTCTGGATATCTGACTTGCTTGCGGCCAGATTGCATTCTTTTGATGTAGACAGCATTGTGCGTCAAGTATTAAAGACGTGTTTCGATCTTTGCAAAAAGGGGAGAGACAACGCCTCAACAATTTGTGTTGGAACAGACATTGCCGCAGGTCTAATAGCCGTTGTACTGATTAGATGCTACTGCAAAGCAAGAGCTGCAAAGTTGCTGAAAGAGAACCACTGCCAGCTGACACGATCTCGTCTCAAAAAATGTGTTTCACAAATATTAACGGAGGAGAAAGAGAAAAAGGAAGCAGAAATAGAGGCAAAGAAGCAGAAATAAAGGGAATGTATGGATCAGAGCGAGAAGAAAAGATGATGACAAGCGAGAAAGATATGAAGGAAGTCCGCAGAGGATGTCATGATGTCAGCAAAGAGAGCTCTGTCAATTGCAATGTTGTACAGGACCAAAATGCGGAACAGTTTTTGGACAGGAAATAGTGAACGCATGAAAGACAAGAGTTCATCCTCGAGTTTTTTAGACAAAGTGCATGACATGACCCACATGACCCAGGCAGGAAGTGGAACCCAATTGCAGACCTCGTTGCAGCCAGTGTCTTACTTTGACGACTTTGACATACTTTGACTTCCGATTTGCGCAGAAACTGCATCAACGGATGATCAGGTCGAGGAGAGCGCTTCGCAAAGGCAAAAGCAAATTCAAAAAATATCAATTTGTTTGTTTGCATCTAGCGATGCATTTGGATTCAATATGATTCAATTGCTTTGTGATGCTTTGTGCTATTTTGGTCTATTTTGCCTAGCTGAGCAGCTTTGCTGCTGATCAGGCTCGATCGATGTAAAGGAAGCAGCGCTGGAGGCTTTTCAATAGATAAGAGATGATGAGAGACATTTTTGGACAATGTGCATTCACCGGGCATTGCTTCTGTCGTTCCATGATTCCTTGGACTCTTCCTATTGTACAGGCACTTGTGGCGGAAACATTGCAAGCAGCATGCTGCAAAGAAGATTTGCAGTGCCCTAAGCAACTTGTACTGTACCAGATGATGTCAGCGTGCGCGTGGGTCCGCTGCGAGTAGATTACAAATTCAATTGTGAAGAGTCAGCACTTTGTAGATTTTGGACTGTGCAGGCAGTCCTTGCATGGACCACGACGTGTTCGCAGGCTGCATGCTTGTTTAAGCGAAACATTGATCCTGATCCCATAGAGAATCTCAGATACTGAGCTATTCTGCCTGTCGATCCCATTGATGAGCTCTTGCAAAGGCTGCAAATCCTCCTGGCAGCTGTGCTGTCCTGAGTCTTCAATGTTTTGAATGCCTATGGATTATGCGTTAGGTCCAGCAGTTTCCTAGGCACTTGATCGTGAACGTCGATGTGAACTCCGCCGTCACAAGATGGACAAGTATTCACAGTGCCCTTATAAAAACTCTTCTTGTTCACTTTGATTGGGAATGTATGGGCACAGAGCAAATAGAAGGATAGAAGGAGGACTCAATGGATGCCTGTTGTTGCATTTGTGCTGCTGCTTCGATTCCAAGATGAACATAGTTGGACTGTCTATTCAAGCATGAGGGTCAACGTCATGATAGTTCAGCCCTCACGTATGCTCTGACTTTGATGTTAAACCAACCAGCACTGACATGTGTCATCTATAATACTAGGTCAAATACACAGCAAGGACAAGAGCTCTGGATGTTTCCATGTCCTGAGCAGATGCAGTTCCGCTGTTTTAATGTGGTTTTCACCGCCCCCAAGACTGTTTGAGAACAGAGCAGATCCAATGGGGAAATGCTGACTTGATGGCCACGACTGATGACTTGCCTCTGGAGCAGACCGAGGCGCGTGAGTTTCGTTGGGATACTTTGGCTGTTGCATGTTGCACATTGTTGCACCCATGTTCGGTTGCAGAACAGGACATCAGCCTTCATTGGAACTTGTGGGATGGATAATGTTGCATGTGCAGCTTTGGATGACAACTTCATCTGAATCTAAGGCATAGCTATACTGTGGTGTCTGTAGTTACAAATACTTATCCCGGCTGATTCCCGTAAACATATTTATATAAAACAACATCTTATTTCTGTTGCATTCTTAGATGTTTGTCTTGCTCAAGTCCTGTTCATGAGGCTTGTATAGTATAGATATGTATAGATGGGATTTTGATGTATGTATTCCGAAAATGCTCTTGTGTGAAGATTTTGAAGAAACAGGCTGTACCTGTGTCTTTATGCTTGCATTGTTCTGCTCTTTGAGCTTTTATCATTTTTATCAACAGCCCTATTAAAAACATCCTGAACAGCTGACACACAGTAGATGTAGATAGTGTGTCAGGAGGCTGCGCCTGAAGAGACTTCCAGGTCACACAGATCCCGCTCGAGGTGGGAATGGAAACACAGCTGTAGGTCTAGCGAGTCTAGGCCTTGGATCACGGCCGCCACGATGTCCAAATTTTCTGGGAAGGCAGCGCCATGGAGGATGGGGTGGATGCAGCCTCAGACATCCTCAGACAGCATTGCAACTCTTTCTTCGCTATCTATACAAGTTCTATACGTTATAAGTTATAATACCAGTAGTACCGCACAAGGCGGTGGCGGAAGTTTCAAAAATAGGAAACCTATAGGAGAGATTGGTTGTTGTGAATCAGGGATGGCAGAGCGAATCCACTGATGGACCGAAAGGTGCTTGATCTCTCTCACTCTTTCTCTCTCTTTCTCTGACTATCTACCCACCTACCAACCTATCTATCTATCTGTCTGTCTGTCTGCCGACCTGTCTATCTGTGGTGCAGTGTCATTCAGTGTAATGTGGTGTAGTGTAATGTAGTGTAGTGTAGTTGAGTGTAGTGGAACGTAGGGTAGTGTAGTGTAATGTAATGTGGTGTAGTGTAATTTAGTGTAGTGGAGTGTAGTTGTGTGTTCGTAGTTGTAGTGTAGTGTAGTGGAGTGTAGTGTAGTGAAATGTAGTGTAGTGTAGTGTAATTTAGCGTAGTGGAGTGTATTGTAGTGGAGTGTAGTTGTGTAGTTGTAGTTGTAGTGTAGTGGAGTGTAGTGTAGTGTAATCTAGTGAAGTGTAGTGGAAGGTAGTGTAGTGTAGTGTAATGTAGTGTAGTGTCGTGTAGTGGAGTGTACTGTAGTGTAATGTAGTGTAGTGGAGTGTAGTGGAGTGTAGTGGAGTGTAGTGGAGTGTAGTGGAGTGTAGTGGAGTGTAGTTGTAGTTGTAGTGTAGTGTAATGTAGTGTAGTGTAGTGCAATGCAGTGTAGTGGAGTGTAGTGTAGTGTCATGTAGTGTAGTGAAGCGAAGCGACATCTGAACCTCCAAAAGTGGTCCGAAACCCTGGTGTTTTTAACATTTTGACTTCGAAATGTGCTTCGCGCCACAACGGCGTGCACTTTTATCAACCTCCGAACCTCCAAAAGTGGCGCGAACATGTGGTGTTTTGTACATTTTGACTTGGAAATGTGCTTCGCGCCACAACGGCGTGCACTTTTTCGACATCCGAACCTCCAAAAGTGGCGCGAACATGTGGTGTTTTGTACATTTTGACTTGGAAATGTGCTTCGCGCCACAACGGCGTGCACTTTTTCAACATCCGAACCTCCAAAAGTGGTGCGAACATGTGGTGTTTTGTACATTTTGACTTGGAAATGTGCTTCGCGCCACAACGGCGTGCACTTTTTCGACATCTCAACTTCCAAAAGTGGTCCGACAATGGTGTGCTTTGTACATTTTGACTTCGAAATCTGCTTCGCGCCAAAACGGCGTGCACTTTTTCGACATCTCAACTTCCAAAAGTGGTCCGACGCTGAGGTGTTTTGTACATTTTGACTTGGAAATGTGCTTCGCGCCACAACGGCGTGCAATTTTTCATCTCTCATCTGGCCAGCTGGCTCCGCACCCGCCGCTTTAGCGAGCCTACTTTTCGACCCTCCGGAGCCCCAAACCATTGGAAAAACACAGTGTTTCGCGACTTTCCTACCTTTTCGCGCATCTGCATCTTCTTTCTTCTTACTCTTTCTCTTCTCTCTGCCTCTTCCCTGCTCTGCTTTTCATCTGTCCATATTGTCGGAAGTTTAACTTCTAAACTTCCTTCGTTGATATAGTTCACTATCATATAATGGAATACAGTACAACATAATACAAGACACTGTGATATATTCTATAATATATATATATTTATATGTATACATATTACAACATACTATAATATAATGTCTTATATTGCAATATAGTAACGTACAACGTCATCTAACGCAACAATCTTTGATTCTTTTGGCCTCCAGCCTCATTTTGGGCTACTGACTAGCACAGTCTATGGTTAGTTTTTGGCCCTTGACTCAGTCAGTTGATCTCTGATGGAGGTTCTGTGCAGGAGACAGCTGGTGCTTTCCCAAGTGACATAATATGATGTAGTGTAATGTATTGTAAATGTCATAGAATCCGGTATGATGTAATACACAATCATATTACACAATCTGATATACCGTGATATAATATCATATAATTCAACATCATAACATATCATACAATACAGTATCATACGATAGACTATACATACACATTATAGTTCCCCACATCACTGTGGGGTTCTATTTTTATGCTGCATCCCGTCCTCCTCCTCCTCTCTCTGTGCGTCCGCTTCCTCCATCCTCCGTTGCCTTAGTCGCAGTGAATTATCTAACCTACCGGCTTACCTCTGTCAATTTGTCTCTATCAATTCCTGTCAGCTTCGTTTTCTGTGGTAAGTGCGACACTTTATCTGTGCGTGGTGAAGGTTGCAAGAGTTCTAGCACTCATGGTGATGTATTGTTGCGCGCACTTGTGCTGAAGTAGAGCCAGATGAATGCCAAGGGTTTCCTTTTTCCCTTTCAAACCAGCCGTATCCAACTTGTCTCCATCCAATTTGCCTGCCATCTCTTTTTCTGTCACGTATCCTTGTTGTGTTTTGCTTGATCTGACACAATATCTGTACCAATCTCTTTTCCTTCTGTTGTTAATTACAAGAGTACTTTTTCTGGTACTTTCATATCTTTCATTTGGTCAACATGTCGGGCCGCAACAGTTTGCCCATTGTGGATTAAGGTTGGCGGAGAAGATATGGTTCGCGCACATGGCAACCACCTGCAAGGCTTGGCGCTCTGGATTTTTCGTGACAGAGTGGACTTTGTTGTTTCGCCGTGCATTGTCACGCTTGGTTTGCACTTGCAAAGTTTTCTGGAAGTTTCAGGCGAGCACGTCCAACACACTTTGTTGCCATCCAGCTCAAATCTCGAGAGATTCAGCGCTGTGTGTTGCTGCCTCAACTTTTGCATCTGTAAGTCGCTGCCATAGTCCGCTCCAAGTACCGGTGAAGCTTCGATGGAAACGACGTTGTTGGCAAGTAAGGGAACAGTTGCAGCAATGGTTCGTTGCTCAAAACAAGCTGTTTGAGCGGTGTTTGGTGGGATGCTTAGCACCACAAGAAACGCCCGACGGGCACCCCTGGCGAGTTCATGCGCTCACCAGAACCCAGTGATGTCGTCACAGTCACAAGAGTCAGATGGAGGTGCCAATAAAGCGCATTCATACGGCGCTATTGCTTACTTCGTTCGAGGCACTTTCATGTGTTGGCGTGCACAGTCAGTGGCATGTTCAGAATATTTCACAAGTACTCAAGTGCACTGATTCTTCTTTGGGTCGCAGTTGGTGCAACCAGGACAGCAGGGTGAACGAAGCGAGGCAAGCTTATGCAGAGGCGCTGATGCTTTGGCATGCTTTGGGTATAGTATACATCGAATATCATCGAATACACATTTCAGTATTGTTCTCCCCGTCCATTTTTTTTCCTTCTAATGAGCTTAGGATGAAGGTATTGATGATGAGGGGGGTACTGCAGTGGCCGTTCCCTGTCCTTTGGCATTCGGAGGCAGCCAGAAGCATCCGCGAATTTCTAGGTCCGGTCCGGCCATGGTTCAGGTGGTGCATTTTTTCCCAAAGCTACGAATGTTCCAATGCTGAAGGTGGAGAAGCCATACGCTTGAAAGTCGAGGGAGTTGGCAGTCTTCTTAGCCATTTCAAGATAATTTCAAGATATCTCAACAATTCTCATGGAAAATTTACATGCAAGTTGCAAGCATTTAGAGAATTAGAAAATATTTAGAGATTTGCTGCACCTTGAAGCCTTGCTTTTCCTCTCTATTTGTTGCCCCTGGCAATCCCGCAATCCCGTAATCCCATGGCCTGAGGCTGCTTTGGTGGAAGGGTGGTTTTTGCCCGAGTTCGCACTGAGCCACCAGAGGTTCTGGAGGCAAAGTCCACTGAAGTGAAAGATAGTGAAAGCTCTTGCACAGATATAGAAGGCCAAATTCTATCCGAAATAATCCGAAGCTTTTTCACATCAAAGTGAAAAGTGGTGTAATTATGCGGACCTGAGTTTGTTTTTACTTGCCAGGCGATGCACCAGCTGCTTTCGAGGAGATCAGTCAACAAGTTTAGCAAGTTGTGGCACTCTCTCTCTCTCTCTCACTCACCTTTTGGACATGATGGAAATGACATGTAGCCTCGCAGCATGCAATAGGACCTTTATGCGCCACGGGTTTCCATGTCTGGATGATACCGGCCAAGTCAGAAACCTGGGAAAGACAACGATAGCAGTTGAGCATACAGGGACAGTTGAAGTACACAGCCTCTAGCAGCTTATAGCAGCTTTGACCAGCTTTTTCAGGCTTGGCTGAAACCTGGAGAGGCTGGTGATGGCTGGTGCCACTCATGACGAACGGTTTCATTCGTGATCTATTCTCTTCCTCTAGGGCGGCTGAAACATAGTGCACGACATTCTGAGACAGGAACCACGCCAGTTTCGTGGTCACTCCTCTTTCCTGAAGGCACCCAACATGCATGGAACGGATTCTGAAAGCCTCTTTCAAGTGTGAGCAGAGTCCAGCACTTTGATTTTGTCTGCTTTAGTGCAGGTGACAAAGGCAATGGCAAACTCTCGTACGGAAGAAGAGCAACTGACCTGGTGTTGTGCTCCCACTTGATGTATGAGTCCTGTATGACAGTCTCTGATCATGTGTTTGACTGTCTGATAATGTCTGATAGATTGTGCTTGTGTGCGGTTGACAGTCTGGCATTGAGTGAGGCGAAACTCTTACCGAGCCTTACATGTGTCGGATGAGGTGGGCGCTGATTCTTGCCGAAGCACCCCTAGGTTTGGTGCCGAAGTAGCATTTCTGATGTTTGAAGTTGCAGGACTTGGCTCCTTTTCGATCCACTTGTCTCGGTTCCCAACTCTGCGGAGGCCTTAATCAACTCGCCACTGACATTCATATTTGGATGAATCCTTCCCAATTCAGGTGCAGACTTTGAACTACTTTCGATGCTTGGATGTGCACATGATGGATACTATCCGCTTGGGTCCTTAGTTAGAGAGATGCAACAAGGTACTCATATACTCTCAATATCTCTCAATATCTTCCAATTCTCAGCGTCTTTTGATGTCTTTTGCACACTCCTAAGGCGCATAAGAGTGGAGCAGCTGCCGCCAGGTGATGCAAAGCCTTGCACATTGCATTACCAGGCGGAGACATCCTGAATCAAACAAAGAGACACCAAGAGATACAAAGAGATACAAAGAGATACAAAGAGATACAAAGAGATACAGTACATAATGTGGCAATATGTGCCACGCGTGGAGAGGATCTTGATGTGTGATGCATTTGAAGCTCGCATTGTAGGCCATGAACGAGCAACAAGCTTTGGAAGCTGCCAGGGCCTGAGCAAAGATTTGCTTCGTTTTCGATGTTTTCGAGTCATGGAGCCATGCTGGGAATGCTGGGATTTGAGAAATAGCAAATAGCGCTTGACCGAAGGCCTGGTCCAGCGCACCATCTGCAGATCCTGAGGCAGTGAGCTTGTCCCAAATCAACATATTTCTGTTTGAAGTTTGACCATGGAAAATCGTGCTCATGCACATCCAAGCGCAATGCATACTATGTCTCATTCAAACTTGCGCCGTGAGCCTGAAACGTACATTCTATATACAATGGCAATTTTCAATTGCTATGTTAGTTTACCAGGTAACATGGATACTGTTTTATGGACCTTGAGGAAGCAAAGCTCCTCAGTTGCCATGTTAGGGGGGGGTAGGTTTAAGTAAATTTAGGTAACCTTATTTTGGAAAAAAGTGCTTCACTTGCTATGTTAGGGTCTTCCTTCTAGTGTTTTCAGTGGGTATTTGGCCTTCGGCAATTGCTATGTTAGGCTGTTACTTGGGGTGTTCTTCACTTTACATTTGGTTGTCATTCCCTGATGTAAAAAGGGTCTCTGATTGCTAGGTGCATTTTGAGGATTTCTGCCCTGGGGCAGTCCACAGTTGCCATGTTAGTGGAGCCAAAAAAGGTCCGCAGTTAACACGTTTGTTCACTAGAGAGTATATATATTATATATATATATAGAGTCTATAGTTATATACATACACACATATGGTGATCGATCTAACAGGTCCTTGTAAGGACTTATGATTGCTATGACCGTTCGTATCATATTTCAAACTCTCGCGATTTGTTTCTCCGAGTTCGCGACAGTATATAAAGAAATACATTGCGAAAATTTCGCGAAGGTTAGATATGATGAGTCATCATATAACTTATAGGGAGGAGTTTGCGAAAGCTCCGCCAAAGTTGTGCGAAGTGGCAGGCGAAAGGGAACGTGCATCTATCTTAAAAGGAATGGCCTAGTGTAAGCCATACAAATATGAACCGAACAAGCAACAATCTGTGGTGAGAAAGGATTCTGTCAGGCTAGCTGCACGTGTACAAGGCTATCATGAAGAAGAAGCAATCTAATTAAGACAAAATCTGGGAAAGTAAGATTGTAATTCGCGAAATGGCCATTTCTGGATGAGATAATTTAGGTCACCCCTGTCATCCCCCCCACACATATATGTAAATAGGTATATGTAAGTATGCAATATTATGCAATCATAATCATGATCCCACAAGTCTAAAGGGGTGCTGTTGCGTTTGCTGATCAGGAGAAAAGTTCAAATGCTGAAGCTGGAGACAGCCGCTCTGATACTTCAGATGGGAAAGCACTGTCCCAGTCCACCCAGGCAGGAAGTGATGGCCGGTGAGGCCCGTGTGGAATCTTTGCAGCCGAGAACGTGGCAGGATACTGTGGCAAATGTCAAGCATTTCTCATCAAGGCACGGTTGACGCAGGTGCAGAGAACATATGGTCTTTCCTGATCCATTCGATTGCTTTGGAATTGGAGACAGTTCTGCAGTCCTAAGGTCCAACAGTGTTGTTGCTGAAGTTTGGCAGGACAGCATCTCAGAACCCTGGTGTAGTATTTTTTCTTTGCAGTAGAGTCACTGTGGAAGGGTTCAATGACTCAATGGCTCTACAGAGTGCAAGTAGACTAAGTAGACTCACTCGGCTCTACTCCACAGCTGCCTTCCTCTGAGGTAGTTGCGCAAGTCCAGGCCAGTACTACATCTTCAGTTTTTTGCAAGCAGTAATGAGTCCAAACTGCTTCGCAATCTCTTGGTTTCTTGATGCGATCAACTGAAGCGTGGCCTGCTTTGATACACAACCAATTTAACACTGAAATTTCAATGCATTATATGAAAAGTCTTTCTACACCGGGAACTCTTGCTCAAGTTGCACAGGTGCTGACACTAGCAGATGCACTTTGCCTGGCAGCAGCAGGGTGCTTAAAGTCATGAAATGATAAAGTCGATGACTTTAAAGATTCATAAAGATTCATAAAGATTCATAAAGATTCTATTTATCCTTCGATCTCAGTCGAAGAGTCGAAGATACTTCGAGTTTACTGTTCTCGATTGGCAGCTTGACGAGGTTGCCAAGGATGGCCTCGCCGTGGTCCAGAATGTGGTGTGCCAGGTCAAAGTTATGTCTTGCCGGCCCTGTTAAAGGTCTTTCTTTCGGGTGATGTAGCACCTTTGCCAGCAAATCCAGGTAGATGCAGGAGATATGTTGTCATTGGCAGGCTATTCTCGGAAACCACTCGCTCATCTTTGTGCTTTGAAGGAAGCTGCCGACTGCCAAGCAAAGGAAATGAAATATGAAAAGATGACGAAAGCAACACGAAAGTAACAGACCGGCAGAGCAATGTGAATGCAACATGCTGGGAGCCATGCCACACGGCTTGTGCTCTGGGTTGCTGTTTTGGTGCGAAGTGCGCATACTTTGAGGCTTGGACTGGGATAAAGTGCGCAATGTGCCTGGCGGGTGTCCATTGCAAGTGAGATGGATCGAGGACTCACACTTAGCAGACCATGGTCGTGACATGCTTTGCAGTTTGAACTTTTCGTCTTCTGACTGGGGGGTTAACAAGCCACGCGAAGGAGTTTCTGTCCCAGCCAGCAGGGGAACAACTCTCTGCAGAGATTGGATTTGCAGCTTGGCACTGCTTGGCAGTTGGGTTTTGCATCCCTTTCCTCAGATCTCACTTCTCAATTCAGACCATCCGACCATCGAACAGTGAATAGTGACTTCTATCCAGGTGGAAAACCTCCAGCAGCTCATCTTTGGGAAAAACCTGGAAGGTCTTGGACCTAGGTTCTTCCTTGAGTAATCAGAATCGCGGAATCTCTGTATTTTACACCCACAACTCTCTTCTCTTGGCCTTCGTTCTCTTCTTAGGAAACATGGCCAATATTTTTCCCTGAGCAAGAACCTTCCTTTACCTTCCTTTACCTTCCTTTATCTTCCTTTACCTTCCTTTACCTTCCTTTACAGCACACAAACATACTTTTCCTGTACTCGGACCTTAGCTAAAGAACTGGCCTCCAAACAACCAGGTCTCCAAACCGCACTGCGAGAGGCACTGATGCTGCATATTTGAAGCCAAATTTCCAGCATGCCACGATAAAGCGAACTGTGTGATTTGTAGGCTTTGCCAGCTGCATTTGGCAAATTGGAAATTCACGTGGAAGCCGTTCGCAACATCAGTTGCCACCTGAATCTTCCAGAAAATCCTGAAAAACAGATACCGATACCGGTAAAGCAAGCGGGATGATGAAGTCTTTCCATGTTCATGGTCCTAGTCATCCTAGTGGTGTTGCCCTTCTCCTTTGGCGCCACAATTGAGGCATTCCAATCAAGCCTGTGCTGGATACAATTTGTGCCGCACAGCCCGGCATAGTCGGGATAGAGGCGTGGCATAGCAGAGAAAGTCAAGTCAGGAGCTATACATAATCTTTTCTTCACGTCGTGGTCCCAAACTTGGGACCTGCTGGAATCTGAGAACCTTTCCGTGCCTCTCAGGGTCTAGCTGTTGGTGACCTCCCAACCTGGGTGCAGTGTGTTCAGCAGCTCAAACGGGCGTTTGGCACTCAATCTGACCACATTGTGGGAATCGTGGGAATCCCCGGAATTATGGCTATATTCAGACCTTCCTGAGGCGTGTACTTGTGCATGCCTGGACAAACAGAGATGCCAGAGACTCGGCACTGCGTCAGTGGTTTGCATTGAAGTTTGCATCAGTGTCAATAAAGTGTGCACACATGGTTGGTGAAGCCTCGAAGCCTCGAAGCCTCGAAGCCTCGAAGACGTTGAGGTGGACAATCCTGCCCACTTTCACCAGCTTTTGCAATCGCTACCGACGCAAGTGCGAGGTGGGGAATATGTTTTGGGAATATGTTTTGTCCTACACGGTGACAAACAATACATAAGGCGACATTCCACAACTTTTTTGCATGGGTTTGAGATAGTGTTCCATCAACTCAAGTTTCAGTGAGTCTATCATTTTCTCGAGGATTGGACTTCCAAAACCTTGCTTGTACATTCCACGAATTCCCAGCGGCAATGCTGCCCTCCGTCCGGACCTGAAGACATAGAAAAAGACCCGACTCCGCCTTGCGGCATTTCATGCATTTCCTGTCCCTTTGGAACAAAGCTGCTCAAATTTGCTCAAGGCATGTATTGCCTTTGGAACCATTGTGCTGCAAAAGGACGCAACTGTGAAGCACTGCGTTTGTTTGTCTTGTCGTGGTTCGTCTCCGCTTGGAACCACTTTGAGCTGCAGCCAACTTGCAAGGACATGAAAGGCCTCAGTGCGCTGGCGACTGAGCAAGCTGTTGCAATGCTTCCAGACACAAAGAGATGCTCAAGCAACTCTTTTTAGAGCTGGTCAGAATTTGAACGATACAAAAGAAAATAAAAGATGATGAACGTATTGAACTTGTGCGGTCATTCCGATTCTGTCTCGGCTCTAAGGCGTGGCAGCATGGATTTTGCAGACTTTGTTGGACTTTTCCCTCGCTTTCCTTCCCATGCACGATGCTGAAGCTGAAGTGTTTCTTTTTTTTACATGTTTTCAGGGTCAAAGTTTTGTTTTACCTTTTCCAGGTTAGAATTGTCCGGGCCTCCCTGGGTACCAAAGGGCACAGGACTCGGCAGTTGGACAGACAGTGCACTTGCACATAGCAGCCACAATCAACTCGTGGACGTATGACTGTGTGATAGTTATTTCTTCACACACACACATATATATATACACGAATTATATTATACAGTACATACTGTACCATACGACATATCATACGACATATCATACTTACTTTTCCAAAGTGATGCAGTGCTGAATTTCCAGCTGGGAAGTCTGAGGCACTGGAATTTCTCAGCACAGGCTATGGCTGATGTCTTCAGGGCAAAGTTTCCTGGTCTTCAAGCGCCTTGACGTAAGCATTGCGTGCGTCGAGTTTGCGAGTGCGTTGCTGCTGGCTTCCTACGTTTTCTTGATGCATCTTGTGGACTCTGCACCCTCTGAATCTGCCATGGAAAGGTTCTTCAGCTTGAGCTGTCGCCAGAAGCTTTGATCCGTTGACATACAATGGTTCAACAGTTCTTTTCAAACTTTGAACATAACTTCAGCCGTCCAGATGGTCCTAGGTTGCGACATTCAGCAGACACCAATGACGTTCCCTTCATTGATCTGGCGCGAGCACTAATCGAAGCAGGAGTTCGCGTGGAGGCATCCTCATGTGGTTTCTTTTTGCTTGTTTCGAGGAGCTTGTTTAAGAATCCATTGAATCACACAGAGAGAACAGGTTTGTTCAAATTCTTGATCGAATGCAAGAAAGATGCAAGCTGGGTTTCTTCTCATCGGCTCCGAGCCGTTTAGCAATGCATGAGGTCTATACGAAGATTAGCGCCTCTTTAGCCAAAATTGATGAACCACAAATCAAAAGACATAAAAGAAGCTCTCCCTCAACTGCCTGTTGCTCCATGGCATTTATGCCGATATGTTTAGTGTTTTTGTTTTGGGCAGCAAATGCAGGAAACACTGCTTGTCTCTCCTTTGACTGCATCAGATTCAATAAAACCAATGAGGATGGTGTGCACAGTCAGGTCACCAAGATCCGATGTCGAGCTGCCCAATATGAATTCTTGCGAGCAGCAATGAAATACGGCGGTGCATTGGTGTACAGACCCCAGATATCCCCAGATCCTGAGGGCAAATTTCCCAGTCTGAAGTGGAGTTTGGTGAGACAGTGAGACATATGTTGGCCGGACATGGCCGGACAACTTTAGAGCTCAGGAATGAAGAGGAGGACGAGGGCGACGAAATTGTTTACCCTTTCTCGCATCCAAGGCCTTGGGATGTTGATAGAGCGCTTTGAAGATTTTTTTCCTTTTCTTTGTGAAATGAGATTGTGTCATTTGGCACTTGCTTCGTCCAGGTTTGACTGGACAAAAGCCCCAATCTGAGACATGCAGACTATGCACAACCGGTCTCTGATTAGGAAGTTATTTTTTCATTTCACACACTGCTTTTGATGCTACTTGCAGGTCAGTGTGAGTGGTGATGAAATTGGCGAAGGTGATATGTAAACCGCGCCAATCTCTTGTACAAAGCTTTAGTCGACCTCACCATCGCCCTGCTTTAGCCGGTGTTTTCAAGCCAGACGTTTCGATCGGCAAAAAACAATAGCATCCTGCGTCCCGCAATCTCTGCAGCAAGTCAAGGTAGACAGGGTGCGGAAACTGGCGTGGTGGTCTCATGAAATCTAGCTTCCCGATATCCTGGTAGCCTGCTGTCTCACTTCCAGTTTGAACTCTCAGCTTTCAGGTACCTGAACAACACACTCGAGCGGAAAGAGCAATACTTTGATGCGCTGCGGGACTACTTCAGCCGACTTGTCGACTATGCAGCTGGAGAGGCGTATTGTCAACACATGTCAACACTGCACCCGACTATCTGTGACTGTCTAGCCTCTGTGCTACTCGGTGCCACGTGCTCCGTTCACTTAGGCCTGCTATCTGCCAGAGTTCACAGCCAGACTTGTACTGCTATGGCCTCACATGCCAAGATATTCAATAAAACTCTTGCAACCTGTAGCATTTAATTCCAGCAACGGGTGTGTAGCTTGAATCTTTACAGGTAGGACATTGCCATTCTCGCAAGAGCTGCAGGTTGCGTCAGCAGTTGGCAAATGCGACAGCATCAGATAGTCGGCACAATGCGGAGATGTTGGACGGTACAATAGAGGCCACGAAGCCAGGAAGTTGGGAAGCAAACAAATCCGGAGAAACGCGGCGTTTCATCTCATTTGAATCATTTGCACAGCCTTTTCGCTGCATTTGAACTGCTTTGTGATCTCTTCCAACTTAGCTTTGGACGAAGGCGTTCTTGGCTGCAGAAGAGGGCTTGTTCCAAGATGGTCCGGAAGGCCTTTGAAACAGCTCTTGAACATTTTTGAACTGTTTTAGGAGCTGGGGTCCCGAAAACAAACGAAAAAAGCACAAATTAGACAGAATGAGAGTTGAGGCAAATCTCTTCAGTTTGAGGTCTTTGTTTCGAAATAGACGTGCAGGTAGTCTTATTTGTCACGCAAATGTGTCACAAAGGCATGGAAGAGAGTCCATCTGGCCTCTGTTATGTATCCACGCAGAACTTGTAGCACTCTCAGATGGTTTCAAGCAAAGACAACAAGAAACCTCTTTGTTTTACGTTAGCGCTAGCCCTGACAATGTACTTGGGACTGAAAGCAGTGAAGCACGTGTTGCTTGAGGCTGGAACACGAGTTGTCCACTCGCAGCCGAAGTTACAGCTATGGATACTTGCTCGGGGAGGCTGACTGAGAGCGTTTTTGATTCTGCTTTTGGGAGGCATGTCTCACCTAGTTAAAATGCAAAAAGCGGGAGGCGTGTCAGTGTTCTTCTGTTGAACAAAGTTCTAACAACGATGGGACTCGTGTAGCATAGGCTAGATGATGGCGATGATGGTTGGATTTCTGAAAGTGGCAGTCTCTTTGGTTTGAAGCCTTTTCCGAGGTGATCTGATGAGCGACTGAGTTGGGTTTGTTGTTTGATTAGACTTAGTACAGGTAGATACATGTTACATCTAGTCTTACGGATATGGGAGCGTCTACACACTCATTGGTGTACACTATATATGCACAATTGGTTCTTAGAAATCTGAGGAAAGTTTTACTTTGTTGACAACAATGTCCCTCTCAATCACCATGAGCCCATGAGCATGCAGATTTCACTTTTGAGTGAGCTATTTGGGAGGCAGCTCGGCGAAATGGACGTCGGAGCACATCGCATATGAAGCAGCGGGATTCTAAGATGCCAGTGCTGATCTCTTTTCAAATGTTTCACAGATTTTCCACATTTTTTTTTGTAGAAAGTGCGTTCTCCAAACTTCTCAAAACTTCACGACCTGGCTTTGGCAGCCAGGCTTGGTTTGTCGAATTCTCGCTTGCCAGGCGAGGCATCCGCTCATAGCTTTCAGATGGGATCAATATCTTTTTTTTAATGTCCTGATGATGGAACTTTTTTTGATTACACCATTTTAGGCACACCATTATATACAAGAGATGGCACACACACACACATTCCACAATCTATTACGCCTCGGCACCTTCGGTGCGGGCGGATTTTACAGATATGCAACACATTACAAGTTACATCAATTTACAATATATTACAATATAATATATCAAAATAAAGCACAACACTTTTGAACATGACACTTTCCTCTGTGTGCAAGGTAGCCTGGTGGATTCGCCGATAGCTGAGTCTCCAACTCAGCTCACTCGCCCTTTTTGAAGCAGCTACCTCTCATAGGTTCAAGCGGTCGTGATGTGTAATCCCTGACATTCCTTGCGCAGGTCTGATAGAGTTGCTGAGCTGGGTCAAGGAGTTGCAGGACGGCAAGTGTTGGAGCGAGATATTTGAAAATAATTGGAAAGAGAACAGACTTCCAACGGGATTCTAACGAATGTCCACAGGACCATTGGAACAGGAACTGGCAGAACTTCGAGCAGAAAACAAGTCCCGGCCTTGATAGAAGACCTTTCAGCAATTTGAAACATGTTAATTTCTTGGTGCAGAATGTTGCAACACAGCACAGCAGTTTGATTGACATGCTCTTGCCGTGGCTCTTGCTGTGGCTCTTGCTGTGGCTCTTGCTGTGGCTCTTGCCAGGTTGCTCCGGCGCTGAGCTCAGAACTTCTCCCGTTTGAGATGCTGCACTTTGCATCGCTTTGGTTAGCTGCTATCAGCTCGTGGCTTTCTGTGCCTTCAAGGAGGCAACTCGAAAGCCATCCGGAGTTGTTTCGCCTTAGCGCAGAGAATCGCTTGCTTCGAGAACACATGGCCTGGTGCTTGGTGTTTTTTTTTGCAATTCAATCTTCAGAACACACAATCTCATATTTTTCACGCTTCCCATTTCTATACACGCCAGGACAAAAGTTTTTCCTCTTGGCTTTTCCAATATTTTCCAACTGACACCCTTTCCCCATGGACTCCTACCACAGAAGGTTTCTACTTGGGTCGCGGACCGCGGATCACATTCGTAACCTCTAAATGATTTTGGATTTAAAACGGCTAGTAGACTCGATCCACCACGCAGGCCCCGGAATCATCACGTTGCTCCGCAAAGAAACACACATATATATAACATATATACACACATTGCTTTGTTCTCAAACAGCGGACGGGAAAGAACTTTTGTCCTGGTGAAGTATTTCTTACCATTCATAGTCAAATATGATCAAAATATAGAACCTCCACACAACAAAGGCCCTGTTTTCCCTTTTTTTGACTCCTGGAATCAAGGCCATGCTGGTGCAGCAGAAGGCTTCTTCACATCAGGATTGTTTGTGCGCTCTCCCTGTCAGCTTTGGTGGTTTTCACTAGACATTGGTACGCATACCGTGCCACATCGTACCACTGCCTGCCCTGTGGCATAATGTGACATAGGAGCCAGACTTCTACCAGCACCAGTTTGACACTCAGCAAAGCTGAAGATGCTGCCATTGATAGTGGGCTTGCAATGGTTTGCATGTTGAGGACCCAGAGGCATGTCGAAGGCAACTACCGAGATCAGCCAGAAAAGGACTTGTGCAACGGAATGAATTGCTTTGGGATTCCGGTCACACGTCAGTCGATCTCTAATTGCGTTTTGTTGCCTTGTGTTGCACCTCGACATCAAAACCTTAGAGTCGACCACTGTCGACCTGAGTTTGAGGAGATGAGTTTAGCTCGCACTACTTCTCGTTTGCTCAGCACCATGGAGGCCGCTGATCTGGGATCTTGCTGCACTTGCCAGCTCTCCTTATCAATGCTCTGCTTCCTGAAAGGATGAAGGCGAGACACAGAAAGGGACAAGTGAAGTTGGAGAAGGTCGGATTCAGACACAATACAGTTGGGAGTTGGGGTCATTTTTCAATATTTTGCAAGCATATTTAATTGCCTTCGGCAAGCACGCCGGGCATAGAGAGGTGGCCCCAAGGGAAGCTTTTGTGTGTAAAAGCGTCTGTGTGTAAAAGTGTCTGTGTGTAAGAGCTTCTGTGTGTAAAAGTGTTTGTGTGTAAAAGCTTTTGTGTGTAGCAGCTTCGGTGTGTTAAAGCATCTGTCTGTAAAAGCTTCTGTGTGTAAAAGCGCCTGTGTGTAAAAGTGTCTGTGTGTAAAAGCTTCTGTGTGTAAAAGCTTCCGTGTGTAAAAGCTTCTCTGTGTAAAAGCTTCTGTGTGTAAAAGTGTCTGTGTGTAAGAGCTTCTGTGTGTAAAAGTGTCTGTGTGTAAAAGCTTTTTCTGTGTAGCAGCTTCGGTGTGTAAAAGCATCTGTATGTAAAAGCTTCTGTGTGTAAAAGCTTCTGTGTGTAAAAGTGTGTATGTGTAAAAAGGTTCTGTGTGTAAAAGCTTCTTTTCTAAAAGCGCCTGTGTGTAAAGCGTCTGTGCGTAAAAGCTTCTGTGTAAAAGCGTCTGTGTGTAAAAGCGCCTGTGTGTAAAAGTGTCTGTGTGTAAAAGCTTTTGTGTGTAAAAGCTTCCGTGTGTAAAAGCTTCTCCGTGTAAAAGCTTCTGTGTGTAAAAGTGTCTGTGTGTAAGAGCTTCTGTGTGTAAAAGTGTCTGTGTGTAAAAGCTTTTTCTGTGTAGCAGCTTCGGTGTGTAAAAGCATCTGTCTGTAAAAGCGTCTGTGTGTAAAGCGTCTGTGCGTAAAAGCTTCTGTGTAAAAGCGTCTGTGTGTAAAAGCGCCTGTGTGTAAAAGTGTCTGTGTGTAAAAGCTTTTGTGTGTAAAAGTGTCTGTGAGTAAAAGCTTTTGAGTGTAAAAGCTTCTGTGTGCAAAAGGTTCTGTGTGTAAAAGCGTCTGTGTGTAAAAGCTTCTGTGTGTAAAAGCTTCTTTGTGTAAAAGTGTCTGTGTGTAAGAGCTTCTGTGTGTAAAAGTGTCTGTGTGTAAAAGCTTTTGTGTGTAAAAGCTTCTGTGTGTAAAAGCTTCGGTGGGAGTCGAAGTCGGAGTAGGCGTCGAGTAGGTGTAGGAATGGGAGTAGGAGTGGTGGTGGTGGTGGTGGTGGTGGTAGTAGAAGAAGTAGTAGTAGTAGTAGTGGTGGGAGTAGTAGTAGTAGTAGTAGTAGTAGTAGTAGTAGTAGTAGTAGTAGTAGTAGTAGTAGTAGTAGTAGTAGTAGTAGTAGTAGTAGTAGTAAGGTAGTAGTAGTCGTCGTCGTCGTCGTAGTAGTAGTAGTAGTAGGAGGAGCTACCTACAACAACAACTACTACAACTACTACAACAACTACTACTACTGCTGCTACTACTACTACTCCTACTCCTACTCCTACTACTACTACTACTGCTACTACTACTCTTACTATTACTACTACTACTACTACTACTACTACTACTACAACTACAGCAACAAGTACAAGTACAAGTACAAGTACAAGTACATAGTACTAGTACATGTTCTGGGGGGGCAGGGGGGGGGACTTTGATTCAGACGAAGCAAAAATGCGCGGACAAAGGAACAAGTACAAGCCAAGAACAGAAACAAGTACAAACCAAAAACAGAAACAAGAACAACACCTTCCAATCAGACCCGCCGGCCCGCCGGCAGGCCGGCGGATTTCTGCAAGAAGTACTGCACTGTAATCTATTTTGTAGCTCTGAATCTCGCGCCCTAGGCAAGCGTGTCGCCTTGAAGCACTTTCCTGGAATTGAGGATGGTGGCTCTGGGATTTGGGACGAACAGACAGAGATACGTTGCAGCAATGATCACTGATTCCTTTCACCTCAGTCGAATGGTGGAGTGCTGCATCAGATGACGGTGATTGAAAGCTGTGATTTGTTTTGTGCTCGCAGGAGGTAACTCACTTGAGCTCCTCCGATTCTGAGCTCGATGATGAACAACCTCAGGCTGCCCTACACGGATCACGGTGGAAGAATTGAAAGGGTGCTGTGCTGACAATGGCTGTTGGTCGTCGTTGTGGTTGGCCAGACTTGGGACCCCGCTGCTACGATGTGATATGGAATAATATCAGACAACCATTTCTACTTGTTGGTGGCTGAATCCAGACCAGAGATCACGAATAGTTTCTAAAACGACTGAAAAACATGATTCTTGATCCTGCGATGTATATGTATGTATTGTATGTATATATGTCGCTTCGATGATGCAGCAGTAGCCAAGTGGCAGTTAAAAACCAAAGATGGAGAATCTAGCAATGCTTGAACTTCTCGCTCTCCTTTCTTTGGCTTGGTGCCTTTCAATTTGATTTGAAGCATTGCTGAAATGCCTCTGAGACAGCCTCTCAGTACCTCTCACTGCATATCATTGCCATTCATTGCCTTTTAAGCAGACCGGTTCAGGGCCAAGGGCATCGGGAACCAGACCGAGGCACGTGAACTTTTGCTCGCCGTCTCTGCTTGTCACCGCTTTTTTTTTATCTTGGAGAAGTTGGCAAGAACTTTGTAGTAGGAAATGGTTTCCATTGTATCAAACATGAAGTCAACTCGGCTCTTCTCTACAGTAGTTTCTGTTTGCCTCAAGTTTCACATCATGAAGTAGGGGAGAACTAGTATCCCATACAAAAGTATATACGTAAGAAATCGGAAAAGTGTAAAATGATTTGTAGCACCATTGGAATTTGCATTGGACGTCGAAGAAAAGCCTTGATGCATCGGTGTGTCCTTCATTTGACATGCCATTGGTCTTTAACTTGAAACTTCGTGAAACTTCCAACTCACGAGAGTTTAAAGGGCTGTCCACGCACTCGAACCCTGAGGGCTTCCGGCTGATGTGACCTCATTTCTTCCAGCCATGGCAAGACAGGTGTGAATGCCAGGAATGCCAGGAACATGCAGATTTATCATTACATCAATTGATTTATCAGTGATTTATCATTGTTAGCACAGTCCAGCGCAGTGCGTCACTGATTGCTACAGCTGCTACAGGTTCAAGAGCTCTTCCGAATCAAAGATGGGATGCAGGTACGAGAAGCTGAAAGCATTGCATCATACGCTTGCGCAATGCTTTCATACGAAAGCTGTGTACTACTTGGAATAAGTGCGAACCCGCCTGGACGGAAAAGGATCAGCTGCGTCAGAGGCTTCGTCAAAGATGCCAAGGACCCCAATTTGCTTGGTTGAGTCAAACGGTCATGATGGATCATGATGGTATGTTGGTTCAAATGCAATGAAGGAAGACAACATTTTCAAAAGTGCAGAACAATGTCGAGGAAAAGGCAATCCTGGCCGCTTCATTCCAGTTACACCAGAGGCCACCAGTGCAGAAGAGGCAGGAGAAGTCGCAAAGGTTTCTGTGTGCATAACTTTGGCTCGACTTCAGTCCGACAGGTTCGAGTCGAGCCACAAGCGCTTTCGGAGGTGAGAAAATTTTGGAGTCAAAATAATTCAGGAATCAAAGAAATTGTCAGAGGCTGCACCAGAAGTTCAGGAACTAAAGTATGTAATATATTTTTCTGTATGTTAATGTGTATATATATATAACGTACATTACTATATTATGTATACATACACGCCGTACATCATAGTCTGGAGAGACTGACAGACCGTGCCAAGCCGTGCTAAGAAGCAAGGCACTTCAGGGGGCCACAGAGGCCTTGCAGCATGCGGAGGCTTCGTTCTACACATTCAGTGGGAACACCTTGTGAAAGATTTCGGTCGTATTTTGGGGTCTAGTATAGCCAATTGTGTATGTGCTTTTCTCAGGAGTACAGCTGCGTGCTACTTTGACATGTTCTTCGATTGAGGCAACCATCTTTCTTTGCATGCGCTAGCTTTCTGTAGGCGATGCTCGCCAAAGGCGGCTGTGGAGACCTCTTTGTTGGGATGGACGAGGCCATACTAAGACCTAAGAGTTGCAAACGGGGAAAAGCAAATTTCTAGGACTGAATTGGATTTAGTTGGCATGCGGTTCAATGAAGACGCAAACATTTTGACATCTATTATCTCTTGAAATTATCAGCAGAAGCTGGACAAGACCCTTCAGCATGCTACAAATTCTCTTTCCTTCAACACCCAGTTCCAGGATTGACTTTGCGGTTCATGCAGTTATTTGATACACACACACACACATACACACAAGTAACTGGTCAGCGGACTGACACTGATTCTCGCACGATTGCAAGGGAGTGCTGGGTGACAGCTGGGAGCCAAGTCTTTGTGAAAGTTCTAAGTGGCTCCGAGATGCTCCAAGCAGTTTAAATCGCTCTACGGTAAGTCTCATATCTTGTGAGGTCTTCGACGTTCTGAAGGAATGGATGAGAGAGACGTGCCCTTCCCAAATATTGAGACAGCTGTTGCATGCTGTTGCATGCTGTTGCATGTTTTTGCATTACCCTTTCCCGATCTGTACCTGTTCATGAATTGGTACGCACAGTGTTGACAGACTTGAGGACTCCTTGTTCCGGCGGTTTTTTTCATGTCGTTTGTCCGAGCCCCGGCCTTTTCTTCCGTCTCAAGGTCTTCCTGTCCCTTATGCGGTCTCTGCCCGGTGAGAGCCAAGCACTCAACCGGGAGGCCGAGATTCAATGCTGTTTTGTTTCAGCGGTATCAATCCTCAGCACAGCCCTAGTACTGACAATGGTCGTTACCGATGCCGCTGGGTGACATGGCTTGTAGATTTGATAACTTCTGATTCTGATTCACCACTTTCATGTGTCAAGTGAATCGTTTGCGAGGGCTCCTCCTCCCAATTGTCACATGGTGCTTTGCACGATCCTCAGACGAGAGATGTTCCAGACACAGCAGAAATTACATTGAGTTCAACCGGCACCTCAGGAGATCAGGAATGACCCGTGGCAAGAAAAGCAATCATCTCAGATCATCTCAGATCATCTCAGAGGGCGATGACGCGATGAATTCATAGACGACGTGACGACGTCAAAACTCTACTGGATTTTCTCGTACACTTTGAGGAATTTCAAATTCCCTACAAAGCTCCAGCTCAAGTGCAGGAGGCAAGGAAATTGCAGGAGCAGATTCACAAATGCTGCAGCTGCGTTGTAGTCATTGAAAGTTGCCTTGGGCATCTTGGGCAGGTGGATGTTTGCAAAGAATGAAGTCCACCATGCAACTGCATCGGATCGTAGAAGCGACCTTCTCTTAGCTTGAGAATTTCCGCCAGAGACTAGACTCCTTAGCCCCTGCTTAAATGTCTTAAATCTGAATGTGGTATGCCCTGGCATGTCAATCGCAGCTGTTTCATGAAGCGTCAGACGCACGAATGCGAAAAATCCGGTTCCTGGGTCCGGATCGAGCACTGGTTTGAGGCCCACTCTGCAGGAGATGGCTGAAGCAAGTCCACAGAGCAGAGGCTGGGACAAGTTCTGACAAATTCTGAAAGTTTCTTAAACTTTGTTAGGTGTTGTAGCGTCAGCAGTGCCTTCACCGTCACGTTTGAAATCTGTTTTGTGACTGTCCAATGTTATGAATGTCTAGCCTTTTTCACCACGCTTCACTTGAGGCTACTACCCAGAAGGAGAAATTCATTAAAGACTCCTAGAAACAGTTGAGCAGGTCTTCAAAAAGTTGGAGGGGAGCACTAAAAGCACCAATAATATAAACAAGCCAAAAATGCAAGAAACAACGCAGGTTCCTGCTTTCTTCACCACATTTTTGTACGGTCATGTTAACAAAGCACTCTAAATACAACAACTTCTGCGAGCAGATAAGGACAAACGAACGCCTTTCACAGAGCTTTTCGTGCATTTCATCGACTGCAAAGACGTGCAAATACCAGACAGTTCTGCTTCAAAAATCAAAACTGTAGTCTGATCTACTGGATTTATCGTATTTGGAAAGCAGCTTAATCGCAGTTATTTGCGATGCTTTTAGCATCCCCACCTTCAACAACCCTGCTACTTGAAGCTTTGTCTTTCTGAGTGTCAATGCACAAAAAATACCGCGCAAAAACATGCAATCTTGGGTTGAGCTTAGATTGACCTTCAGAGATGCCAACAAAAACATCAAATCCTCATGCAATGGCAAGCCTTGTCTGAGTGGCAAAAAAGCTCCCCGCTAAGCTAGCGCTTATACTACAAGCTAGGTATGTAAGCCAGTACCTTCGGCTAGCTTGGCTATACAGCAACCCCCGTTCACAGATTGGTGTGATTCTGTATCTATCATGATTGCATCACCATGTGTTTTCGAATTTTAATGTTGTCCACTTGCCCTGTTGCTTTGAGCTACGTCGTTGTTACTGTTAAATGATTGCCAATGCGTTGCACGGTGTCTCCGCCTGTCTCCGCACATTATGCTGGCGAGGTTCTGACAGGCCAGTTGAGCCAGTTGAGCAAGACACAAGATCATGTTCATCCAGCCCGAGACTCACACCTTGGGGCTGAGACAGTTTCAACACGAACTCCATCGACTATGTGTTTTTGCAAACGTGAACCCGCCTGGTTTTCACATATTTGATATACATTTGAATCATGCACCTGATGGCAGTCCACCTGCATTTTCGCATCTGAGGCGAGAACCTGCAGCTTACAATTCAGCAGGCTGGATCTTTATTTTTCGAATCATTGCGCAATTCATGTCCACATGCTTCAGCTGCTTTTCAGGTTCAAAGCTTGAGCAAGCAACTGGAGAACATTGGGGAAATGTACAAGGACTTCCGTCAAAAGTACTTTTCTTAAAGCAATCTCTGTTGGCCCCATCGAATGGAGAATAAAGTGAGCCTTCTGTTCATCCTGTCAGTTTGATCAGGATGTCAAGGGCCAGTTGGAGCCAATGCAGCAAGAATACTTGCGAAGGCGGACCCCGGCCGCCTGTGTTCTGAAGTTGAACAGCCTTTCACGCCATGAGACAGTTGATGTCTGAGAGGGCCTTGTGCCATTTCTGCTTTTCTCTCTTCCAGTGTGTCCAGCTCACCTGACTTTTTCAATGGTGGCACTGGTTGCACTGGTTGCACTTGAACGGCGCAAAAGCAGGCTGGATGAATGCCGATTTCTGGAAGCCCAGTGCCGACGCTTGGATGTTCCTCCAGCATGTTCTCGACTCTTTGCGTGAACATGCAGTTTCAAAACATCAAAGGAGTTATTGTCGTAGAGCTTCGCACACAGGCGATGCCTGTAGGGGTCGGGGGAGGGAAAGAGAGAGGGGGATTTCATCTGAATTTGCGGACATGACATGCTGCGAGCTGCATCTTCGTTGTCGTCGTTGTTGTTGTTGCTTCTGGTCCTCCTTCTCGTTCTCGTTCTCGTTCTTGTTCTTGTTCGTGTTGTCGTTGTCGTTGTCCTTGTTGTCGTCCTTGTCGTCATTGTCGTCGTTGTCGTCGTTGGCCTTGTTGTCGTCGTCTTGGTCGTCGTCAGCGTCGTCGTCATCGTCGTTGTTGTTATTGTTGTTATAGCTGTTGCTGCTTGGTCCTGTGGTCGTTGTCGTTGTTATCTTTGTAGTTGGTACTTTTTTGCAAACCCCTCAAAATCGTCAAATCGACGGTTTTTGCAAACCCCAAAAAGCGTCAAATAGGCGGTGTTTTCGCGATTTTTCACATTCTCGGAACAAAAAAACACCGTAAATACCGATGTTTTTGGCTCCGCGCCAACGCAAAACCACGGTATTTACGAGGTTTTGAGCCTCTGCGAGCAAAAATCATAGTATTTACAGTGTTTTGTGGCCCGGGCCTAGCAAAAACACTGGTATTTACGCAGTTTCCTGCATGTTGTCAGAAGCTTTTTTTGGATGCCAAAGGCACAAAAACATTGTAAATTACACGATTTTTACGCGTGGACAGTACCAAAAAATTATGAAAAATTGACCAAAAACCGACCAAAAAACGCCCAACAAGGACCTCCAAAACGCATCTGCAAATTTTACCCTCTTTTCTCCCACCCCGAACCCCCAAGAACGTGAAAACCCCAGCAGGGTGAAGGATTTTAGGCACCGGCGCGCCCCCGGGTAGCTAAAGCTATGCTTAGCAACCACCACCGGACAGCATCGCCGGATTTATGAGGCTTACGCCTGACAGCCGGGCGCCGGCAAAAGTAGACCCGGCAGCCCGAGCTGGTGTTGTTGTTGTTGTTGCTGTTGTTGTTGTTGTGGTTGTTGTTGTTGTTGCTGTTGTTGCTGCTGTTGTTGTTGTTGTTCTTGTTCTTGTTCTTGTTGTTGTTCGTGTTGTTGGTGTTGTTGTTGTTGTTGTTCTGCTTCTTGTTCTTGTTCTGGTTGTTGTTGTTATTGTTGTTGTTGTTGTCGTGGTCGTCGTTGTTTTTGTCTTGTTGTTGTTGTTGTTGTTGCTGCTGTTGTTGTTGTGGTTGTTGTTGTTGTTGTTGTTGTTGTTGTTGTTGTTGTTGTTGTTGTTGTTGTTGTTGTTGTTGTTGTTGTTGTTGTTGTTGTTATGTAGTCCCTATCTTGGCCTTAGGTCGGCCCATGTAGCCCACATCTTGGCCGATGTTGGCCCTACGTTGGCGCAGGCTTGCCCCTATCTTAGCCTTAGGTTGACCCATGTAGTCCTTATGTCGGCCCACGTAGCCCACATCTTGGCCGATGTTGGCCCTATGTTCGCGCAGGCTGGCCCCTATCTTAGCCTTATGTTGACCCATGTAGCCCACATCTTGGTCGATGTTGGCCCTATGCTGGCACCAAGGCCGGCAAGATGTCCAGTTTTCCGTTCCGGACCCCGTCCTAAGACCCAAAACCATGAAAAACCCATCGTTTTTTCACGTCGCCGAGATGAAACCCGGAGACGGCGAAGGCCACAAAACCCTGTAAAAAACGATGTTTTTTGAACACCGCACGCAGAATACACTGTAAATTACAGGTATAATCGTGGACCGGGGGTGAACCGGGGGTGGGTCGGCGGCAGGGGCGGCAGCCGTATATAACCTTCGGTTACCACCGAAGGCCTCCGGCCCTGCCGCCGACCCCGGAAAAAATCCTAAATCAAACCCTACGTGAAACCCGACAGAAACCCAAAAGAAACCCGAAATAAAACTCTTAAGAGATGTAAAATTATTTTGTTCTATTCTCTGCTGTTTGTATCTTAAATGAAATTTTAAAGACTCTAGGTGAAAACCAAAGAAACTCTAAAGAATTGCTGCTAAGAAACTCCTACATGAAACACTAAAGGAACCCTAAAGAAATCATAAATTGACCTAAAGAAACCATAAATGAAAGCCCAACGAAACTTTGAATGAAACTCTAAATGGCATCCTAAAGAGAGCCTAGGATTGGTAATGGATCAAACTAAATTGGCAGAAATATGCTTTGTTGCTTCGCACCGTCAGGCGTTCGACTCTTTTCTTATGAATATGAATCGGCAATGAATCAAACCAAAGTGGCAGAATTTTTTAACCCCCTAGCCTTATTTTTCTGACCTCCGACCTTGTGATTTTTTGACTCCCTGACCTTGTTTTTTTCGACCATCCATCTTGTTTTTTTTGATCCTCCACCTTGTTTCTTTGACCCCCACCTTGGTTTTTCGAGGCGCTTGCTACAATAGTATGGATATATATATATATATAGACCCTATTATTAAACAGATAGTGTTTGCGCTGCACAGGTGTATGGTTGCGCTGCACAGGTGCAATGTAATGCAATGAAATGTAATGCAATGCCATGTAATGCAATGTAATGCCATGCAATGCAATGCAATGTAATGCAATGCAATGTAATGCCATGCAATGCAATGTACTGCAATGCAATGTAATACAATGCAATGAAATGCAATGCAATGCAATGAAATGTAGGCGTTGGGAGCAAGAAACCTGGAGCAAAAGACCATCTAGATGGTTCCAAGCCGTCGGCGCAAGGCGATTGACAGGCCATGTTGGGTTGGTCGGACGGCCCCAAATAACATATACAAAATGATAGAAACATGGTGAAACTCCATGCTTTTACATTTTCTACAGTGTTGAAGCTGGTGGAAATTGCACAATGTTAGGGTTCCCCTAAACAGGTCGATTCTCGTCAAAGGTCTCTCCACAAGAGAGGTTGTGATTGTTTATGCAAAAGGTACGGACTCAGGAAAGCCTGGTCATCAAATGTCATCCACATTTTCCGTATTTTCCCATGAGCAAACGACCGGCTTCGAATTTTAGGTGTTGGATGCGGGAAACTTGGAGTAAAAAAGGATCCGGATGTTCCTAAGAAGTCAATGCCAGGCGCTTTAAATGCTGAAACGCTTTGTGGGTTCGGCCCCGATTGACATACGGACTGTGTATATCTGCGTATAGATTGTTCAAAATGTTGAAGCTGACGAAGAATGATCCCACCAAAGGAGGGCCACTTCCAAACGGGTCAATTTCTTTATGATATTTGTTTGAAGAATAGCCTTTTTGATTGTTTTGGAGCTCACTAAGGGGTCCCTCCACAAGAGGGGTTCTGATGGTTCATGCAAAAGGTACAGACCCAGGAAACCATGGTCATCAACATTTTCCTGTGACCTTGTTTATCCGTTGCAACACACGACTGGCTTCAGGTGTGGCAAGCGAGAAGCCAGGCGATTTTGACATGCCATGCTGGGTTGGTCGGACAGGCACCAAGTAACATAGAGAATTGTCAGAATAGAATGATAGAAACATCATGGATTCCCAGTCCTTAAATTTTTCTATACAAATGTTGAAGTCGGCTGAAATCCCACAATGATCGCACTGTGAAGGTCCCTTAAACGGGCCAATCATGATAAGCATGGTGAATCATGATAAGCCTGGTCAATCTCCTACTAGGATCTGTATACAGAAAAGGGCCTGATAGAAATGGAGAGTAACATGATGAAACACAATGGTTTTCGAATGTTGAAGTCGGTGAAAGTCCCACAATGTAAGCGTTCTCCAAACTGGTTAATTTCTTACTGCAATCTGTATAAAGAATTGCTTCTTTGTAGCTCGCTAAGGGGTCCTCCCACTAGATGGGTTCAGATGGTTCATGCCAAAGGTACAAACCCAGGAAATTATGGTCATCAACATTTTCATCGTTTTCCCGTGACCTTGTTTATTCATTTCAACACACGACTAGCTTCGAACTGCAGGTGTGGAAGACGAGAAACCTGGGGAAAAGACGATCACGATGGCTTCATGTCGTCAACGCAAGGCGATTTTGACAGGCCATGCCGGGTTGGTCGGACAGGTACCAAGTAACATAGAGAATGGTCAGAACAGAATGATAGAAACAATGAAATCCCACAATGATATCAATGATCACAATGTAAGGGTCCCTTAAACGGGTATAAGCATGATCAGTCTCCTGCAATGACAGAGACTGCTGAGAACAGAATGAGAGATACATCATGAATTTCGATTTTTTTTTTAAATATAAATGTTGAAGCCGGTTGAAATCCCACAATGATCGCGCTGTAAGGGTGCCTTAAACGGGTCAATCATGATAAGCATGGTGAATCTCCTACTATGATCTGTATGCAAAAAAGGGCCCATATAATAGACAGAATGATAGAAATGGAGAGTAACATGGTGAAACACCATGGTTTTCGAATGTTGAAGTCGGTGAAAATCGCACAATGTAAGGGTTCTCGAAACTAGTCAATTTCTTACTGTAATCTGTATAAAGAATTGCTTTTTTGTAGCTCGCTAAGGGGTCTCCCCACAAGAGGATGGTTCATGCAAAAGGTATCACCACTATGCTTCGAGGCCAGTGACAGGGAATAACCTGTTTTCTTGCTATTTTTGACGGTAAGTCTATGTCCACTTTGAGTTTATGGGTGCCCAACGGTGTTCGGACATATGGATGCTATGGGTGACCTGAAAAAAGTTATTGGCACAACATATAGGCACCAAAAAGCTTAACCATGCAATAGATGTGATCTAAATGAATTTAATTGAATAGAATTGGATATATTCACATTGATCAAAATGGCAGCTTAACCAAGTTGACTGCATTTAGATGGAGGATTCGATGTTAGTGAAACTAAGTGTTTTTGGTAAATGGTTTGATTTACACATCCAATTTTTCGATGGTAATTTCTTCGTTTCTCCCGGGAAACCCCCATTTTTCGCTGGTCGGATATCGCCCGGTTGCCATAGCTGCCCTATTCCTAGCGGCCAGGGATCGACCACGTCTCAGCCGACTCGGTGGTCTTCTAGGATGACATCCAGGCGTCGAGATGTGACCGCCTGGTCTTGTGCACCGGCTATCGCCCTTCGACAGCGATGATGGAAAGATGGATGATGGGAAGATAGACATCATAATTATAATCATAAAATAATGGTATATAATAACTAGTGGTTTTCATAAGCCTTGTCAAGCCCAACTGGATTTTTCTATTTACAATCATTTAGAACTGGTATTACCATCTGGTTATGACTAACATAGTCATGGAAAGATCCACCATTTTTTCAGAACGATAAGATCCACCATTTTTAAGAACGATAAACTGGTAAAACATCTTTTTTTATGGGCAATCTATACCATGGCTATGTTAGTCATAACCAGAGGCTAGTTGATAATGCAACGGCTGGTACTGAATACTACCATTTTTGAGGGGTCCATGAGTCCATTTGGAGCCGTTTGGAGCTAGGATCCTGGTGAATTCTTCTGGTCCGGGACTCCGGTAGCGATAAGGTAAGGAAATTGAAATTGGACGCATGGAACCTGGAAATTATGGAGAGAAACCATCCTGGAAAAACTTTTTATTGGGGGTATCACTACGAGCAAGTCAAAATGTGGATCTATTTTGTTTTCAATGTGTTTCTTCATTGAAAAAAGATATGAAACAGATGTGAACTGGAATCATCATCATCATCATCATTATCATCATCATCCTCATCATCATCATTGTCATCAAAAAAGTCAGGCAGCTCCGGAATTCACCCTGTTTTAGTTGTGCAGCGTGTTCGCTAAGTGATACATGACCTTTTGCTTCAAATTGTTTATGTTACCGTACCACAAACCACGGCACATGTCTAGCAATTGGAGCTATCAAGCCGCTTACCAAAAAAAATCAAAATAACCAAATGGCACCCCCCCCTCCTCCCCGGGGGGGGGAGGAGGTTCCCATTGGCAAGCTTTCGGAAAGAGGTTTCCATTAAACTACATCTTCCTTCATCTGTGTGGTGCCCAGACTCGGCCCAGGCGCCAGCTTCGGAGAAGTGGCGGGGACGCCTTGGTGTTGTGGCCATGGCGTGGGACATGACATGAGTTCTTTATAGATGGATTTTTCATGAAACAAAGCATCCAGCTACCGGGGTACATCCATTGATGGAAACCCTCATATGGTTGGGTCTAATGTGGGTAAAACAATAAAACCATACCTCGAGCATTCTACGTGCTCACTGACCATCCCACGGTAGATCGATTTATATTGCGGCAGCTTTAGTTTTGGCTGGCATGTGCGAGCGGTAGAGTGAGCCTTTGCCGTATACTCATGGCAACCTTGGAGTTCCAACCTCCGATGACGTTGAGCCATCGCAAATTGGCCTTTGAATTTGTGAAGGAAGTGGTTGGAACGGTAGAGTTGCGGTTGATCAAGAAGGTGACTCCCATGCAACGAGGTACGTTGTTACATGTTTCTTGGTTGCACGGTCGGGTCTATGGAGTCGGTCGACACAAAATAAATAGTGCGACAATTGCAGAATTGAACCTGTATGATTTACATATACACGTGTGGAAATAGATCTAATCCAAAGGTGTAGCAGGGGGATAACTTTTTTTGCTTGCCCCGCACCTAGATTGTGACACACGATGATGTTGGAGCCGATGGAGTTGAACGTGTTCGTCACGCATTGCATGCCCGAGGGGAAGTGCGTGTGCTTGGCCAAGAGGCACACTTAGCAAAGAAGGCACCTAAAGGGCAGAGAGTCCGACAATCGAGCAATTGCTCCAACCCCAAAGTTTGACTTCCAATTGTTTTTTGAATCGAAACGTAGTTCAATGGAGTACATAGAACAAGTGTGTTGATTCAATGATCTAAAGTCAGCGAAGGGGCATGAATATATTCATCTTCATCTGTATTCTTGAGCTGGATAGCAACTTTGCAGGAAGCAGATGTGCGTCTCCGAGCTATACAATTTTCCAGAACAACCAGTTACAGCATGTTGAGTTTGGTCGACGGGTGCAGTCAGGTGCGCGATTTAGTACCGAAGCCTTAGACCTCTGCAAGCACGCCCAGACTTGGAGCTCGGATGGTCTGCGTCGATCTGATGCTGGTGAGCAAGGAGACAATGGAGGAGATCATGAAGGTGACTGAGAAAGCCTCCTGAGACTTGAACATAAGCGGAACCCGATGGGCCCTTTGGTGCTTTTTGAAGCCGTAAGTGATGATTTCATCAATATAGAAAGGGTGGTATTAGCTCCAGAGCTTGTCGGTTATTGTTGGCATTTATTTTCTGCTTCACAATTCTTCGATCTTGTGATTTATGAGGCTTCAAAGTGACAATCTGGGCCATGCACCGAAGCGTTGCGCTGGGCGCTTCATGGCGGCCCAGGCACAGGTAAGTCATACGTGCTGAACATAGCACGGCGCGATTTGTTCGAGGAGTGCCTTGGATGGACGCCAGGAAAGGAATTTCAAGTTGTCGCATTTCAAGCTGTTAATGCCGAGCCTTTGGACGGCGAAACTATGCATCAAGCATTGGGGTTGGCTTGGCACGGCAACGATCACAACGTCGACGCGCAGCGGATTCTTGATCTTGCACGACACGCCGTGCAGTGGCGCTGGCTGCTGATCGACGAAATCAGCATGGTGAGTGCCGAGATGTTAGCACGTCTCGAGGCCCGATGTCGCCAACCTGTTTTAGATGTGTCCGCAACAAAATATGGTAAGCAGAATCGCAACTGCGTTGCACCCTTTGGTGGGCTCAACGTCATTCTGTCTGGAGACCTGTGGCAGTTACCTCCGCCGCGTGGAACGTTTCTCGGCCAAATCCCATGGCAGCTTGTAACAGGCGTTTCATCTAAGAAGCTGCCATTAAGTTTGCAAGGCCAACAGCTCGTATGGGCCTCCAGCGCACAGGGTGGCTTACAAGGAGTTACCGAATTGGTGCGCTGCGAACGAACCCAAGATGCGTGGCTCCAAGATCTGCAAGCAGAACTTCGCGTGGGGCACTTGTCCGAAGACAACCATGCATTCTTGCATGGTCGACCAACAAAGGTTCCAGGAAGTTGGTGCGCTAGGACTCAACGGCCTATGTGTCAAGAAAACATATGTTATCAGTTGTACAAAAACGCCTCCACAGCGACAGCGATTCTCAAGTACGAATGTCCAATCTGTCACGCTGAACGGGATACCAAGCGTCTAGTTGCCGTGGACGCAGACAATCCTCGCTTCGTAGACGGTTTCAGCATGGCGCGGGGGATTTTCCACACGAACGGGGTGAAGTGCCACGTGAATAAACTTCGCGCGGAACAATGGGCGCAGCAGCATGGGCAAATCACCTATTATGCAGTGGCTACGGATAAGGTATCATCGCGAGCTTTGCACGAGAAGCCCGACATTGCCCAAGACAAGCTCACATGGCTGCAACGCAGTGATGCTGATTGCGGGAATCGGTACGGCGTCCTTCCGCTGTGCATTGGTATGCCTGTACAAGCGCGGGAACACCTCCACCGAAAGGATTTCAAGATCTTGAAATGGTGTCATGGAACCATTTGCGGGTGGTCAAGCATCGAGACAGAAACAGCGGCGGCAGATGGAGTAGTAATATGGAACAAACTCCCCGATTATATCTTCGTGCGTTTTGAGACGCGAACATGTTGGACAATTCCAGGCATCGATCAAGAGAACGTCTTCCCGGTCAGCATACAAAGTGCACAGTGGTTTCTAGACGCAGGCCGTGCCAACCCACAATTGAAAGTCACCCGGTACCAATTTCCCATCGCGCCCGACTTCGCTGACACGTTCTACGGTGCGCAAGGAAGCACAATAGAGCCGGGCGTGATCGTTGACATGGTCGGTGCTGACCCAATAGCGGTGTACATTGGGATGACACGCTGCCGCACACGGCAGAAGATCTTGATCTACCGACCGTTCCCGCTGGCGCCTTTCCAAGCAGGTCTGCCGCTGGGACGGCAACTGCTGCTTGATGTGTGGAAACAAGAGCCGGTGGACTGGGATGCATTGCGCAAGAAATACTTGGATGAAAGGCCGTGCCACGAGTGCGGGGAGATGAAACGCAAAGACGCATTTACCAAAGCGCAGTGGAAACAGGACACGTATCGCGTCTGCAAGGAATGTACTGCGCAGAAGCGCGACGCAGGCACGCCATATAGATGCACACAGTGTGGCCTGTGGCACGCGGCTGCCCACTTCGCAAGCAAGCATCAAAATCCACGGTGGAGTCTTTATCGGGTGTGCTTATCTTGCGATGCGAAAAAGCATTTTTTTTTGTGTCAGGCAAAGCAAACACAAGAGTATTTTAGCGTAGCGGCCTGGAAAGCAAGGAATCGAGACCGGAGAATTTGCTTGCAATGCCAAAAAAAGACTCGTGGTCATTGGGTTTGTCGGGCGTGCCGCGGAGTCAAGGCAGCAGTTTTCAACCTTTCTCCAAAACAATTTTCTCGGTCAGAATGGCCGGCAGATCTGTAATGCCTGCCATGTGCTGCAAGCGCAAGCTGCTGTTCGCAAGCGTGCAGCGACATCCAGCGTAGCGCGGCTTGAGCCGCTTCGTAAAAAAATCCACCGTATGCAAATCTTGCGCGAGACATGGGAAGCGATTGCGCAGTCGCGAAGCGCACTTCAAGGCGAGTTGCAACAATCACCTACGGCGTCACAGCAACAAGTTTATGTGTACACGTGCCCTTTCTGCCAAGGTTCGGTAACTACCTCAATTGCTTCCGGAAACATCGACCATCGACGCGTTTGCGGAAAGCAATTTCGGGTGTGCCAAGGGCTCCTCCGACCCACACGCCTGACCCTGCGATATTCGCACGCCTGCCCTACTTGCGGAACCCGCGTTAACAGTACCAAAGCGTGTGGACGAATTCAGAGCAAGCACAAGCAACCCAATGGCCGCACGTGCCGCCGCAGACAGTGGCACACAGGTTGATTCCAAGCAACATCGAAGAACCATTGCGGGCAGTCCGAGGCGGTTGTTATTCTTGTTCTCGTTGCCGTTATCGTTATTGTGCACTGACGTTACATCTGAAACCATAGAAAAAAACTACATATTGTCTTGACATGTTTTGCTGCTACTGCTAGCTGCTATACTGCCACTTGCTACCTGCTACTTCTGGACCGCCTCAGCACCAAAAGCACCTGCCGGCAGCAAAACACCATGCCATTGAAGGACGAGTCAACACCGGAAATGCTGACAGCAAAACACCATGCCACTGAAGGACGAACGAGTCCCAGAATTGCACGGAAAGATGCCTAACGTTACTTCTGAAACCGTAGAAAAAACTATTCTCTTCGGAGGTTTTACTGCTACTGCTGGCTGTTACTGCCACACTAGTGGACCGCACAAGCAACAAACGCACCTGTCGACAGCAAAACACCATGCCACTGGAGGACGAACCAGCGCCAGAATTGCGCTGAAAGATGCCTAACGTTACGTCTGAAACTGTAGAATAAATAAACTAAAACCCTTGTTGTTTTCTACTGCTGGCTGCTCTGCTACTGCTACTTGTGAGCCGCCTTACTTACCACCAAAAGCACCTGCCGACAGCAAAACACAATGCCACTGAAGGACGAACAAGTCCCAGAATTCCACGGAAAGATGCCTAACGTGACGTCCGAAACTGTAGAATAAATTCAATAAACTTCGAAGGTTTTACTGCTACTGCTGGCTGCTACTGCCACTTGCTACCTGCTATTGTGCACCAGCTGCCGACAACAAGCTACCCTACCTCCTACTCCTACTTGTGGACCGCACCAGCAACAAAAGCACCTGCCGACAGCTGGCTGCTGTGCTACTGCTACTTGTGAGCCGCCTTACCACCAAAAGCACCTGCCGACAGCAAAACACCATGCCACTGAAGGACGAACAAGTCCCAGAATTGCACATTACTTCTGAATACGTAGAAAAAATATTGTCTTCGGAGGTTTTACTGCTACTGCTGGCTGCTACTGCCACTTGCTACCTGCTACTTGTGCACCAAACCCAGCTGCCGACAACAGGATGCCCTACCTCCTACTCCTACTTGTGAACCGCACCAGCAACAAAAGCACCTGCCGACAGCAAAACACCACGCCACTGAAGGACGAACCAGCGCTAGAATTGCGCCGAAAGATGCCTAACGTTACGTCTGAAACTGTAGAATATTAAAAATTATAAATAAATTAACTAAAACCCTTGTTGTTTTCTACTGCTGGGTGCTCCACTACATCTACTTGTGAGCCGCCTCATCACTAAAAGCACCTGCACGGAAAGATGCCTAACGTTACTTCCCTACCTCCTACTCCTACTTGTGGACCGCACCAGCAACAAAAGTACCTGCCGACAGCAAAACACCATGCCATTGGTGGATGAACACCACCAAAAGCACCTGCCGACAGCAAAACACCATGCCACTGAAGGACGAACAAGTCGCAGAATTGCACAGAAAGATGCCTAACGTTACTTCTGAAACCGTAGAAAAAACTAAACTATTGTCTTCGGAGGTTTTACTGCTACTGCTGGCTGCTACTGCCACTTGCTACATGCTACTTGTGCACCAAACGCAGCTGCCGACAACAGGATGCCCATACCTCCTACTCCTACTTGTGAACCGCACCAGCAACAAAAGCACCTGCCGACAGCAAAACACCCTGCTACTGAAAGACGAACTAGCGCCAGAATCACCACCAAAAGCACCTGCCGACAGCAAAACACAATGCCACTGAAGGATGAACAAGTCCCAGGATTCCACGGAAAGATGCCTAACGTTACTTCTGAAACCCTACTAAACTTGAGAGCGCTTCTGACGTCACTTCTGAAACCGTAGAAAAAACTCTGTTACTGCTACTTGCTACTTGCTACTTGTGCACCAAACGCAGCAGAACACAAGCACCAAAAGCAGCTGGCCGCTTTGGTTACTGCTACTTGTGAGCCGCCTTACCACCAAAAGCATCTGCCGACAGCAAAACACCATGCCACTGAAGGACGAACAAGTCCCAAAATTGCACGGAAAGATGCCTAACGTTACTTCTGATACGTAGAAAAAACTATTGTCTTCGGAAGTTTTACTGCTACTGCTGGCTGCTACTGCCACTTGCTACCTGCTATTGTGCACCAGCTGCCGACAACAGGATGCCCGACCTCCTACTCCTACTTGTGGACCGCACCAGCAACAAAAGCACCTGCCGACAGCTGGCTGCTCTGCTACTGCTACTTGTGAGCCGCCTTACCACCAAAAGCACCTGCCGACAGCAAAACACCATGCCACTGAAGGACGAACAAGTTCCAGAATTGCACGGAAAGATGCCTAATGTTACTTCTGAAACCGTAGAAAAAAATATTGTCTTCGGAGGTTTTACTGCTACTGCTGGCTGCTACTGCCACTTGCTACCTGCTACTTGTGCACCAAACGCAGCTGCCGACAACAGGATGCCCGACCTCCTACTCCTACTTGTGAACCGCACCAGCAACAAAAGCACCTGCCGACAGCAAAACACCCTGCCACTGAAGGACGAACTAGCGCCAGAATCACCACCAAAACACCTGCCGACAGCAAAACACCATGCCACTGAAGGACGAACAAGTCCCAGAATTCCACGGAAAGATGCCTAACGTTACTTCTGAAACCCTACTAAAATTGAGAGTTGCTACCTGCTACTTGTGCACCAAACGCAGCAGAACACAAGCACCAAAAGCAGCTGGCCGTCTGCTGTTGCTATTTGTGAGCCGCCTTACCACCAAAAGCACCTGCCGACAGCAAAACACCATGCCACGAAGGACGAACAAGTCCCAGAATTGCACGGAAAGATGCCTAATGTTACTTCTGAAACCGTAGAAAAAACTATTGTCTTCGGAGGTTTTACTGCTACTGCTGGCTGCTACTGCCACTTGCTACTTGCTACCGTTGCACCAAACGCAGCTGCCGACAACAGGATGCCCTACCTCCTACTCCTACTTGTGAACCGCACCAGCAACAAAAGCACCTGCCGACAGCAAAACACCCTGCCACTGAAGGACGAACTAGCGCCAGAATCACCACCAAAAGCACCTGCCGACAGCAAAACACCATGCCACTGTCTTCGGAGGTTTTACTGCTACTGCTGGCTGCTACTGCCACTTGCTACCTGCTACTTGTACGCCAAACGCAGCTGCCGACAACAGGATGCCCGACCTCCTACTCCTACTTGTGAACCGCACCAGCAACAAAAGCACCTGCCGACAGCAAAACACCCTGCCACTGAAGGACGAGCTAGCGCCAGAATCACCACCAAAAGCACCTGCCGACAGCAAAACACCATGCCACTGAAGGACGAGCAAGTCCCAGGATTCCACGGAAAAATGCCTAACGTTACTTCTGAAACCCTACTAAAATTGAGAGTTGCTACCTGCTACTTGTGCACCAAACGCAGCAGAACACAAGCACCAAAAGCAGCTGGCCGCTCTGCTACTGCTACTTGTGAGCCGCCTTACCACCAAAAGCACCTGCCGACAGCAAAACACCATGCCACTGAAGGACGAACAAGTCCCAGAATTGCACGGAAAGATGCCTAACGTTACTTCTGAAACCGTAGAAAAAACTATTGTCTCCGGAGGTTTTACTGCGACTGCTGGCTGCTACTGCCACTTGCTACCTGCTATTGTGCACCAGCTGCCGGCAACAAGCTACCCTACCTCCTACTCCTGCTTGTGGACCGCACCAGCAACAAAAGCACCTGCCGACAGCTGGCTGCTCTGCTACTGCTACTTGTGAGCTGCCTTACCACCAAAAGCATCTGCCGACAGCAAAACACCATGCCACTGAAGGAGGAACAATTCCCAGAATTGCACGGAAAGATGCCTAATGTCACTTCTGAAACCGTAAAAAAAATATTGTCTTCGGACGTTTTACTGCTACTGCTGGCTGCTACTGCCGCTTGCTACCTGCTACTTGTGCACCAAACGCAGCTGCCGACAACAGGATGCCCTACCTCCTACTCCTACTTGTGAACCGCGCCAGCAACAAAAGCACCTGCCGACAGCAAAACACCCTGCCACTGAAGGACGAGCGAGCGCCAGAATCACCACCAAAACACCTGCCGACAGCAAAACACCATGCCACTGAAGGACGAACAAGTCCCAGAATTCCACGGAAAGATGCCTAACGTTACTTCTGAAACCCTACTAAAATTGAGAGCGCTTCTAACGTCATTTCTGAAACCGTAGAAAAAACTCTGTTACTGCTACTTGCTACCTGCTACTTGTGCACCAAAAGCAGCTGAACACAAGCACCAAAAGCAGCTGGCCGCTCTGCTACTGCTACTTGTGAGCCGCCTTACCACCAAAAGCACCTGCCGACAGCAAAACACCATGCCACTGAAGAACGAACAAGTCCCAGAATTGCACGGAAAGATGCCTAACGTTACTTCTGAAACCGTAGAAAAAACTATTGTCTTCGGACTACCAAAAGCACCTCCGGGCACCAAAACAGCAAGGCTACCTGCTATTGTGCACCAGCTGCCGACAACAAGCTACCCTACCTCCTACTCCGACTTGTCGACCGCACCAGCAACAAAAGCACCTGCCGACAGCTGGCTGCTCTGCTACTGCTACTTGTGAGCCACCTTACCACCAAAAGCACCTGCCGACAGCAAAACACCATGCCACTGAAGGACGAACAAGCACCTGCCGACAGCAAAACACCCGGCCGCTGAAGGACGAACTAGCGCCAGAATCACCACCAAAAGCACCTGCCGACAGCAAAACACCATGTCACTGAAGGACGAACGAGTCCCAGAATTCCACGGAAACATGCCTAACGTTACTTCTGAAACCCTACTAAAATTTGAGAGCGTTTCTAACGTCACTTCTGAAACCGTAGAAAAAGCTCTGTTACTGCTACTTGCTACCTGCTACTTGTGCACCAAAAGCAGCTGAACACAAGCAGCAAAAGCAGCTGGCCGCTCTGCTACTGCTACTTGTGAGCCGCCTTACTTACCACCAAAAGCACTTGCCGACAGCAAAACACCATGCCACTGAAGGACGAACAAGTCCCAGAATTGCACGGAAAGATGCCTAACGTTACTTCTGAAACCGTAGAAAAAATTATTGTCTTCGGACTACCAAAAGCACCTCCCGGCACCAAAACAGCAAGGCTACCTGCTATTGTGCACCAGCTGCCGACAACAAGCTACCCTACCTCCTACTCCGACCCTTGTGGACCGCACCAGCAACAAAAGCACCTGCCGACAGCTGGCTGCTCTGCTACTGCTACTTGTGAGCCGCCTTACCACCAAAAGCACCTGCCGACAGCAAAACACCATGCCACTGAAGGACGAACAAGTCCCAGAATTGCACGGAAAGATGCCTAATGTTACTTCTGAAACCGTAGAAAAAACTATTGTCTTCGGAGGTTTTACTGCTACTGCTGGCTGCTACTGCCACTTGCTACCTGCTACTTGTGCACCAAACGCAGCTGCCGACAACAGGATGCCCTACCTCCTAGTCCTACTTGTGAACCGCACCAGCAACAAAAGCACCTGCCGACAGCAAAACACCCTGCCGCTGAAGGACGAACTAGCGCCAGAATCACCACCAAAAGCACCTGCCGACAGCAAAACACCATGCCACTGAAGGACGAACAAGTCCCAGAATTCCACGGAAAGATGCCTAACGTTACTTCTGAAATCCTACTAAAATTTGAGAGCGCTTCTAACGTCACTTCTGAAACCGTAGAAAAAACTCTGTTACTGCTACTTGCTATCTGCTACTTGTGCACCAAAAGCAACTGAACACAAGCACCAAAAGCAGCTGGCCGCTCTGCTACTGCTACTTGTGAGCCGCCTTACCGCCAAAGGCACCTGCCGACAGCAAAACACCATGCCACTGAAGGACGAACAAGTCCCAGAATTCCACGGAAAGATGCCTAACGTTACTTCTGAAATCCGACTAAAATTTGAGAGCGCTTCTAACGTCACTTCTGAAACCGTAGAAAAAACTCTGTTACTGCTACTTGCTATCTGCTACTTGTGCACCAAAAGCAACTGAACACAAGCACCAAAAGCAGCTGGCCGCTCTGCTACTGCTACTTGTGAGCCGCCTTCGGAGTACCAAAAGCACCTCCCGGCACCAAAACAGCAAGGCACGAAAGGACGAACAAAAACGCACCCTTTGCCACACCGAAACACCATGCTACTGAAGGACGGAACGACCTTCAAAAACATGCTGCCCCGAGGTGGTGCTGCAAGCCTCCAAAACGCCACCTAATTTCGTGCCCAAAACGTTCCAAAAGCGACCGGGAAAAGTGCCTAACGTTGCTTCTGAAACGCTAGAAAAAATTATCTTTTGCCTGCCTTTGTGATAACCATCCTGTCGCGTCCTGTCGCTTTGAAACCTTCAACCTTGCAACTTTGCAACTTGCAACAGCTTGAGTGATGGACACCACTCGAAACACTGAAACGCCACCTAATTTCGTGCCCAAAACGCTCGAAAAGTAGTAGTAGTAGTAGTAGTAGTAGTAGTAGTAGTAGTAGCGCTCCAAAAGTGACCGGAAAAAGTGCCTAACGTTGCTGCTTCCCGGAGGCCGGCTTTACTTCTCCTGCTGTTGCTGCTGCTGCGCCGGCTGCGGTAGTAGTCCGAAACAAGAGTCAAAAGTATTATTCCCTGGCGCGCTCCCCCTTGCGTCTGCCGGGGTCGGCGGATAGGAGCATTGAAAGGAGCATTGAATGGAGTAACAAACGGGTCATGAGAACATTTGCAGCACTGCATTGTTTTTCTCCAGATTCCAAGAACTGTTCCTGTTGAATTCCTTTGCAGACATACCTCATACATCTCGTGCCAGGTGCATTGTCATTTGCTCGAAGAACGAGTCCAGGCCGCCGAGGTCTGGCAGGGAATGTGTTTGCACCCGATGCACCCGATGCACCCGTGCATCGCATTGTCAGCTGATCCGACATGTTTCGAATCAGTTGGATGACCTTGGACGACCTTGGACGACCTTGAGGCAAGTGGTACCATCCCACGAAACCAGCCCTTGTGGAGACCTCAGACTTAGCCGACTTAGACTTAGCATTTTCTGTCAGTGCTGCCTTGATTATCTTGATTGTGCGTCACAAAACGGACCTAAGGTCAGCACCAAGCAAGACCAGAGCAGAAAGCCAGGCCCATTTCTCGATTACTCCTACATAGGTCCTACATCCTGCAACCTCATGGTGACTTTATAACAGATGAGTCAGATGAGGTCAATGGACAGCCTCTCCCACAAAGCCAGTTCATGCAACCTGGCCTTGCCTGCTTTGTTGTGTCTGTGCAATGTCAGGGGAAGTGTTTTTTCTTTTTAATTGCATGCTTTCTTTTGCAAACCTTTGCAAAGCCACCCCATATTTGCTCCTGGAATACTGCATACCGGTCAAGCCTCATTGTGTCCAGGCTCAAAGAAGCCCTGATTTGTTGCCTTTCAGAAAGAGTTGATGCTTGCAGTATGTTGATACATCTTGCAAATGATAAAAGTAGCAGCAAATTGCGTATAGGTCAGGTGGACATGCAACAGAGCCCCGGTTGCTGATAGATGTTGTCTTCTATTGATGTGTACACTGTACACTTGATTATACTTGATTATACTTTATTCATCCAGTCAAACAGATGAACATCAAGAATTCTTACCACTTTGGTTTAGAGTTTAGAGCCATGAGCTCAGAGAAAGCAACCGAAGGGACGGGGACTGCACAGAAGGTCGCTGTGATTCGGAGAATCTCCAAAGGAAAATCAGCTCCTCCTCTACCTCCGCTGCCAACACAGCTTGGGAACGAAACCAGGGATGGCAGAGTTGAAGGCTGGGAACGAGGTCATGCTGTGAGCGAGGAGGATATTCTTGCCCAGGCAACACGAGCTCTTGCAGACCACACTCGAATCGTTTTTTTGGACGTGGATGGTGTCCTGAACACACAAAGCTCCAGGGAGGATGATGTGAACCATTTGCCAGCCCAAGAATTTCTGCAAAACCTGAAGTTTCTGGTGGACAGCACCCAGTGTAAGATCATACTATCTTCGACCTGGAGGTTGAGCGACTACAAACGTAGTCAGCTTGACCATGTATTTTTACAATATGGCTTAGCCATCAACGGTGCAACCCCGGACTTGGAGAAGACTGCCAGAGGTGATCGAGTGGATGAGATTTTCCTTTGGCTTGAGATGCACGCGGCGAAGTCTGAGCACGTTCAAGCCTGGGTGGCGGTGGATGACATGGACCTATTGCGGCAAAACCCACGGCTCAAAGAAGAGAACTTCGTTCGCACCTCAGATGAGAAGGGCTTTAATTTACCCAAGATGGAAGAGGCTCTTCAGAAACTCCTTGCGGCTGAATGATTCAGAAACGCAAGAGAGGACAGAGACAAGTTAGTCTTAGCTGACGTGACACATGGAGCCAAGTGCAGGCTGAACTGATCAGCTTACAGCTTTGATCAAAAAAAGGAGCAACGCAGTTTTTTTGTCACTAATTTAGGTAGTTTCCCCGTCTCCAGTCTCACATGTAACAAATCTATCATCTTATATTACAATATAGTATACATATGATTTGAAACCGCATTGAATTTCAGATTCAGAAGTTGTGACCAACAGCTTGAACTTTGGGAGATAAGGGGCCGCCATGTTGCAGTTGCGATCTTGGACCTTCGGACCGGGGACAGGGCCCTACTTACACACAAATGTTATTTGATTGGTTTCCAAGCTTTCCCTACAACTTTCATCCAGTCGAGGGCAATGATTTCATGCGGACAGGTGTTTTGATAAGATACTATTGATGAGGTTGCCACAGCCAGGTGCTGGGAGATTTATTCCTGTCAACTCTGTCCAACTGGGTTCTGTACTACCTTCGTACACATCGCAGGCATGGCAATCGGTTTGCCAAAACCAATATTTCACAATCACAGTGCCACCAATTTCAACTTCTGAATGCAGGGTCCGACTGGATTGCTTCAGATGAGTCAAGTGCAGACAGGACTCTTTGAATGCTGTCGTATGACTTCATCCAGCTTTGCCTATGTGCATGTGTCCTGCTCGTGTAAAACTTTCAGGAAGCACTCCTTCCTTGCCTTTGCAAAGATCGGTGTCCCTCATCGTGCTGCAAGGATCTTGGTTGGAAGTGAGACCCAACATTTGCATCATTTGCTTGATTGTTTCATTGATCAAACTGAAAAAGATCAACCCGAGGCCAACCACGACAACGTCTTGGGTTGGGAAGCACAGCACAGACTGTCGCAGACCTCGTATGTAGGCAGAATTGATCTGATTATACTTGCTTCATCTTGCTTCTCTGTTCTTCCAATAAGCTTCCTCTTCTTCAACCATGCCATTTCTGATCGGTGGCCGGCAAGTAAAACTGCGATTGCAAATTTGCTAAGGCACCTGCACCTGCTATGACCCTGAGCGCGTCTGCGCGCCAGCTTAGCAACGAGGCTTTCGGTCTTCAGCAGAACCCACTGTGCAACTCTGTCTTCCTCTTTTCGTTGCAGCTGCTGCCCAGAGCGCAGTTGTACAACTTTTTTGTCCGAGAAAGGCTGTGTTGAGCAATCAGCAGTGTGCGATGCCCGTTGCGATCCAAGACTCCATTGGAACCTTGTGTGTTTGATGTATGTATTTGCAACAGCAATGCGGAGCCACTGCGGAGTTCGCAAGGTCCAGATGCTGCGCTTTTCGCAGGAGAGCTGAGCCGCTGAGCCCTAATTAAAAGATATGAACGGGATTGCAATCGTGGGCAGACAGGACGTGCGTCGAGTGTCTTCTGAACCACAACTGCTTCACTTTCACTCCGCAGCACGGACCCTACAAGATACTGGGGGGACACAGCTGGACATGGGACGTCTCTGACCGGGTTTTCAAAATTGCAACTGGTCCAACCAGGTTTCTGCTGACCCTCGACTTTCCAGAAAAGAAGGCCAACCTTTAGTCACTTTGTCTTAGAGCAAAGTTCTCACAGCGCACTTGCTGTCAGATGTGTCATGCTGTGTCGTGATGCTGTGTCGTGGACCTGCGTCGTGTTTGAAACTTTCCAGAGGCCCACGGCATGGTGGTGCCAGCACCATTGACGAGGCTGGTGTTTGCCCAGGTCTTGAAGCAAAGGCGGACTTCATGGCCGCAATCATTCGACACTGAGATACTACTAATAACCACTAACATCACTGCAATTTAGAGTATATAGGAAGACAAAAGGCCCACAAATACGCATTTGGTTGCAATATTATGTAAGTGCATAGATAGACATTGCATATTTGAACTATATATATAATATATATATATATACACGTAATACACACATATATATATATATAAATAATATAATATATAATATACACGTAATACATACATATATATATATACACACGTAATATATATATACACACACGTAATATATATATGTATACACAATATATATATATATATACACGTAATATATATATATATATATAATGTTCCTTTTCGCCAGCGGATATTTGCCATTGAAGGTTGGACGCGAGAGAGTCCCTCACATCTCAGGGTTCAAGCTACATGTTTGTCTCTGTTTGTTGCGCTTGTCGCTTTGCCCAAGATGTTGGGGTCCTCTGTGCATTTTTATTCCCACCTTTCCGGGCCTTTCCGACATGCCAGGTTCAATGCAGTTTCTGCTGTCGCACCGGCCTCTGAGATGGTTCTCATCCACAGATGTTGATATCGTTGATATTGATCAGTAGACTAAGTAGACTAAGTCGCTAAGTAGACAAGTGGATTCACGTGCCCCAGCGCCCGCTTTTCTCCTAGCTTCCTGTTACATCATGGGTGAACAGCAAAACGATACAGTGTTCCAAATGAAGTGCAGGTCTTGTTTGTGCCAACGGACTCGTTACCGTCGCACAAGTCCACACATCCACATCCGATAGTCTCGGGTGGGTGGGGTGGGGTGGGATGATAACGTCATTGGCATTTCCACATGAACCTGATGCCACGCTCTATGATCTTCATTGGCATTTCCACATGATCCTGATGCTACGCTCTATGATCTTCATTGGCATTTCCACATGATCTGGATGCTACGCTCTACGATCTTCATTGGCATTTCCACATGATCCTGATGCTACGCTCCATGATCTTCAATTGCAATTCCACACATCCGCATCCGATAGTCTGGGGTGGGGTGGGGTGGGATGATAACGTCATTGGCATTTCCACATGATCTTGATGCTACGCTCTATGATCTTCATTGGGATTTCCACATGATCTGGATGCTACGCTCAAATATGGAAATGCATGCGCTCTTTCCTGTGGCGGTGGGAGTGCACAGGGAAAAACCTGATGGAAGCCACCGCTGACACGTTGAAGAAAATGTGAGAAAAAGTTGCGGTTGCCCTTTTTCAGGCTGAAGTCATGGAAGGGTTGTTATTCACAAAGTAGATGGACCTTTTTTTTGGAGAGGTTTTGAATGAAAAAAATCGCTCCTCGCTGTGACGAAATAGTCATTTTCATCATTTTCGTACGCCGGCAACGCTTCCGCGTTGTTTGTGCTGAGGCATTTCATGCGTCCCAAGATGCTTGGGGACTGCAAGGTGGGCCACATCGCCAATTTTGTGGCTTCTTTTGGGTTTCGTGACACAGGGGGGCTGCTGGCATATTTCTTTCGCATGTACGGACACCTTCACTTCACTGACCTTGGAGTGCTGCGAGCTACAAAATTGGGACCTGCGCACAGAATCCTTTCTTCCTACTTTCCATTGAATTCGCACTTTCCATGTTTTTCCATGTAGTCATGCATGACGCCGACATTGCATGGTTGTTCAAAGTGCGTGTTGCCCAAGCACAATATAGTCGATGTCACTGCACCATACTGCACCTATCATTCCTGAATGACTTCACCCCATCCATGCCACTTCATCAAGCCTCCCCCTTGCACTTTCGATGCAATTCATTTGCTTTGCACACGCTTGAAGCCAACAATGAGTTTGTGGTGTTCCAATGATTCCAATGATTCCAATGGCTGACATCAGTGGATGGCAACAGAACTCACCACACCAGGTCCGCCAGGTGCGGTTCCTCTCTCCGCAGTTCCTCAGCTTGCCAGACCAGAAGCGTGTGGAGCTCAGCTCCAGGTGTTGAGATGTGGCATACTGGGGTGAAATGAGTGAAATGATGAAACACGGCGCAAAACACAGATGAGATATTTGGAAATCAAAAGCCTCAAAGGCATTTCAGATATATAGTTGTTAACAAGTCCTGACATGAAAGACAAAAAGCAGGGCTGTATTTTGGAGCTATAGTAGCGCATGTTGCGTGTATGATCTATATAACTTCCGCGGGAATGAGCACTGCAGTTTGCGCGCGATGAACTGAATCAAAGCAGATCAAAGCAGAATTTGAGCATGTCCACTGGAATCTTCTGGAATCTAACTGAATCTGCTTGACATTTGCTTAAATCTACTTGACACAGATGAAGTTTGGGTAAAAAGTGCGCTGTGGCAGGTGGCGTTTCGACGGACCTTGCCAGCGTAGGTAAGTTTGACACTCGACAGGAAAGTGACAGATCAAGGGCAGCCCCTTGGGCCCAAAATGGGCCTTTGCTAATGAGATCTAATGAGAATGCACTGCAAAATGAGCAGAGCATCATAGAACATCAAAGATCAGTTTGCCTCGGGATGGACAGGCCCGCTTAGCTTGAATACTGACAGCGAGAAAAATCGAGAAAAGCCCTTTAGTGCTGAACTTGTTCAGTCACCGCTGCAAAGTTCTGATTCTGACAACTTGAAATGCCTGTTTTTCACGCCGCTTTGGTTTCAAGCATCGGGCCGTGGGCCGTGGTGTTGCCTGGCATCTACATCCGGGCAGCATCGCTGCAGGATGGTCCTGTCCTCATATTTGCCACACCAATTCATGGGACATCACTGGACATCATTGGTGAACTTAAGGCGCGCTTGGGTGTCCTCGGTCTCCTGGTTTGCGCCCTGGATGGTGACAGATGCTATCTGTCACTATAAAACGAGACATTCTTATCCTTTACAATAACTAGAAAAGGCCTACCCAAGAACAGAAAGCTTCTGCACATGGACTGCAAGAGGCTGCTGCTGCCAGTGTGCTACTGGTCAGCTGGATCAGTTCAGACCTCAACTGGGTGAGGGTTTTGCGTCTTAGAGAGCAGTTTCCGCAGTTTTCCATGAAATTTGAGGGTTGATTCACTGTCATGATAGCGCAGGTGTGCAGCCAACGACTCAGTTTCCCTCTGGGGAATAGAAAAACAACATGCATTTGGATCTGACACATTTTTGGCCAGTTCTATGCTTCTTTTAGTTCTCCTCTCCACTTTTGGCTTTGGTTGAGTAGTGATTCAGTCCTCAACAGCTAGAAATGGCTGTCCTTTTGGATCTTGGTCTACAAGGAGCAATGTCTTCCAAACCACGACCCAGTCATGATCTGGGCTTCAAACGCACCACATCAATTTTGTCCGACACACGCGGTCACAGGTCTCGAAGGTTCCTCGTTGACTTGTTTTGACTTGTGTTGATTTGTTGTCGTATGTTTCGCCACATGAGACAAATCTCTGAGTTTTTCTAGATCCTTCAAGATGCTTCTTGTCACTTTGGGCCTCGGCTCCCTCGGCTCTGGAGCCTGAATTTCCGTCCATTGAGGCCATCGGGTTCAGCCTTCGTGCTGTCGGCACCACGAGCGGCTTTGCCCACACCTCACTGCCAACCCGTCAAGACATGTGAAGCTACACACAAAACGCATGAGCGCAAGATGTAACACAGGATGTCATGTAAAACCCACAGGATGTCATCTAGTGAAATAGTGTGGGTTGAAGCCAAGGCCATCCAAGCTTACAGCACAACCACTGGTCAAGCAGGCTCCAGCTTGGCAAGTATTTGAACTGAATGACTGTCTGACTGGCTACTATGAATCTATTTGTATAATTGATTCTTCCCTCCTTGCACAGGTCCTTTGCATTGCGCTGCAACCACGATCTAAAAAAAGTAAATGTATGTATGTATATATATATAAATATCTACATACACACCGTAATTAACTAATGCTTGCCGCTGATATTCGTGTAGCTATCAATTTCCAGCAGCATACCATCTCATCATATATACTTTGCAGCCCACGGATATTCACCTCCACAGATGGGTTTCTGTTTATGCACTTTGCAACAACTTGCTACAAGCAAAACGAGGGTGTTCCCCCAGTACCCCATCATTTTTTCATATTTTTTCTATACATGGGTACACAACAAACATGTGTGCAATCATGGTGAGACATGTTCTAGTAAGCTAAGTTCGAATTGAACTTTGTGCTCAGCAGAGTGAAGAAATAACTCAAGATCGTTCTAGGACTTCCGGTGGACTGCAAACCGAGCCCAAACTTTTTCTTAAGCCGCAAAGAGTGCTGCCACAGAATTGTGAGGGCTTCCAAAACCCTCGTGCCGTTCGTGCCCTGGGAATCTTCAAGAGATGCGACCTGTGCATGTATCATGTAATATTGTTGTTACATTTGTTACATGTCTTGAGAAATTGCCGTACCAGATTTCTGTGAAGACTATGCAATGAGGTGGCATGACTGCATGACTTTTATGAATGTAGGCTGTGCCGATTCAGACAAACGCAAAAGACTACACAGCTAAGGCCTTCAACAACGGGGCGAGCTCTTTAGCTTTCTTTGGGCTGTGTTCAGAACTTACTTACTCTGTCGCAGATTGTATTTCAAAATTTGCATTTTTTCAGCCGTGATGGAAGATCTCGCAGCGGTTGGGAAAAATCCGCAAGAGACACCGCCAACTTTGGCGCTTGAAGCAGGTGCTGCCTGTGGTGTATCAATTCTATCAAGAGTCACCTGTGAAGCAAATGCTGGAAGCCATTCCCTTAGCTTCCACGGTTCCGTGGTTTTGCGGCTGAAGCTGGTTGATCTGTGAAGTCCTGTACTTGCCGTGCTCTTTGTCGCCCAGGCCGAAAGCCAGGAAGACCAACGGATTGGAACCACCCACGACTTGGATATCGCATCAAAGGCATGGGTTTGATTGAATTTGACACCCATCATTCATCCACATTAAGAATTATTAAGATACATTAAGGCTATAATGTGTGTATATATAACTATATAACTATATAAATAAACAAATAGAATAAATAAACAAATGAGTAAATAAATATAATCTTCGCTGGGAGTTTGTTCTCAAATTAATGCGATAGCCTTGTGGGATTTTGTTTGTGCTTTGAGGCGCTCCTGGCTGGAACGGTTCTCCCCACACCTACACGGAGCCCATCAGGTGGTACCAAGCTTAGAGGCTTAGAAGAAACTTCTGCAGAGGAAATTCATGCAGGAGTCACACCTTAAACAGTAATGGGGCACTGGTTGCTTCTTCCAAGAAACTTGAATTTATAGTGCGGGGATAGGGGTGGGTGCTTAAAACGACTTTTGATTGATCTCGTGTTGCTTGAGTCACGTGAGATTGAGATTCTTGTCTTTGTGCTTCTGGTGATAGTTTGGCACACTGAGGGTTCACCGTTTTCGCCGCAGAATTCATATTCGCCGAAAGGCTGGAAAGCTTGTGCAGCAGCAAGGAATCACAGCCGTGTTTTGTGGAGATTTGCAGGTTGAGGGCACTTCTGTGCGGCCGAGACTAGCAGTCTTTCGATCTCGCATGCACATGCAGCTGCCTTTGAGCGAAAGATTGTCAGTTTGGAGGTCATGCAAACTCTTTGGATATCTTTGGCATTTTTCAGAGATTTGGATGTCACCACCAGTCTCGGAAATTCAGACTTGCAATATCTTGCGATACCAAAGGCATGCTTTGGTCGTGGATGACACAGTCGGAACGGGTCTTACTATGGTCCACGTCCTGCCCTTGGTGCAACCATTCATGCCAACTAAACGAGAGTCTGGACAATGTGCTCAACGGAGTTTCACTTCTAAGGTAACCTCCAAGCAAGCTGGATCGCTAGAGAAGATTCGATCCAAACAGGGCAGCAATCTTAGCTGTGCCTGTGTAAAACAGGGTCAAAGTATGCCCGACGGAGCAAGTCAAAGTCAAAGTGGTCTTGCAATGCACAAGTCGTTTGTGAGTGGTCCACGAGGTTGTGAGAAAGGAGATGAGAAGACCTGGTCTACTGAAGCAGCTGAAATCGTAGGCTCTGTTCAGTTCTGCTGGTCGTACGCTTTGTGGAATTGTCTTCCAGCAGTACGATTGTACATTGAACCGTCAGCGGCTGACAGGTGAAGAAATCGCAAAGCAGTGCAAAAGCCTCAGAGAAAAAGCGTGTGAGCAACTTCCAACTCATGTAGTAGTGGCCCCACTTCTCAGACACCTCTTTCAGCTACCTTGTACTCAATTGCCAATACTCATTTAAGATAATTGAAGGTATGCAATAACATATTATATTGTGATATGATCATGAACACCTAATTATTAATAGCTATTTCATTGTATTTTCGTTAATGTGCAAGGACCTCAGCTCTGTAGAAGCTGACAGGGATCCGGGCAAGTATTGCAAGTATTGGGAAGACTAGGAACACCTGTGAGCTCTCAAAGGAGTTTGCTCTGCATGGCTATGTGGCAAGGTAGAGAATTCAATTCCCACAAATAAAGGCTTCAATTGACACTAAACCATTTATGAACTGGTATAGTATAATATTCATTAATATTCTACAATAATCTATGATGCCGTTGTGAAGCATTTACTAGCAAATTGGCCGGCACATGCAGGCCTCGAGAAGGGCATCACCATGGTGGTTTTCGACCGTGGAGGCTTCCGCTATGAGGGCCGCGTGAAGGCACGAACATCTCACTTTGTGGAGAAGACATGAGAAGACTATATGTGTTTTGAATTGTCTTGAAACATGGGCCAAATTTTCATGCGCCAATGTTTGGCTCTGCTCGAAGGCTCTTGCAGAAGCAGCTCGCACTGGTGGTCTTCAGTGGACAATCTCAGACATGATTTTTTCTGACGGACATGTTAGCCATGTTCCATTCTAGGACTTCGGAGTCTCTGCGAGTATTGGCAACATGGGCACAGCTCTGAGGTTCTGAGGTAGTCGAGAAGAAGCTAGCTCTTGCAGAAAAATGTTTGGCCAACCATCTGCGTGGGATAACGATGCGGAGAAGGACAGCAATGACGATGATGAGATGACGATGATGACAATGATGTCAATGAGGAGTGGGACCTTGATTACCACAAAGCTGATGCAACATCGCAGCAAGAATGGGAAATGCGAAATGCCCTGAGATTTAGAATTCGGTGCAGCTGTGAAACTTGCACTGCTGCAGCCTTTCTGTGAGCAGATCACCAAGAACAACCAGCCTGAATTCATTGTGCACAAAGAACTGAAGCACGTTATGTAGCCTTAACAGGCATTGGAGTCTTGTTGGTTCAATGTTCTCTGAGATCAACAGAAACTATCATGGCAAATGCAGTCCTACTGGTTGAAACTGAGTCCTACGATCAATTGGTAAGAAATTCATTTCGAATTGAATGCACCTGGTATCCTCAGCATTCCTTGACTCCGTTGACATTTTGGTACTTTCACATAAGCAGAGCTTGAATGAGCCGTGTACTCCAAGCTGGCGAAAATGGCTGCTTCGGAAGGCAGAGGGCAGACTCATTAATGAACATTCTGCATGTCTGGGTTAATTAGCATGCTGCAGTGGAGGCCTTAAGTGACACAAGGGAGTCTAGCCGAAGCGGATTACAGGCTTCCTGGATCTGGAAGAAGAGCCCGAGGACAAAGCATGAAATGAAGCGCATAAACCCGCTGTTGCTTGGACATGCTTTGTCATTCGGACCTGACCCCAATTTAAAGCTCAAAAGCTTGGAGCGAGGGTTTTTGTCTCGGCAGGAAGATTTGGAGGAGCTTGGGTCTCTGATCTCCTTTGCGAATTTGGAACATGTGGTTAAGCTTGCGCCTGAGAGTTCTTAGTTTTGTTTTTCTCGCCTTGTTGGACCTTCATTTTTTGGGAGGCGTTCGGGAGTGGCATTCTTTCTGCTTTGTTGCTAAGCAGGTCAGATCATGCCAGTTTCTGTCACTTAAAGATCAAGACTGTTACATTTGAGGCACATCATTCGAAAATTCAAGTCGCTGGAGTCTTCAGCTTGGTTTTCTTGGACTGCTTGTACTGGCACTTCGCAGTGCACGATGCAGCTGTGTGGAGCTGAGAAACCTGCAAGTTCAAACTGTATCCACAGAGTGCCAAGGGCTTACAACGAGAGCAATGATGCAGTGATCAAGAGCCTAAAAGGTGAACTTGAGGTGGGACTGCTCTGGTCTGTTTGAGTGCTGGTTCACCTTCTCCCCAGACAAAGAACTGATTGGAGTTTGTCACCCTCTTTCCACTTGTTCCCTGGCTACATCCTGTCGCCAGTGATCTCTCAAAAGTGTCCATCAGAGAGTTGAACAAACAATACATTTTGCACATTTTGCACATTTGATTTTTTTGGCACTGCAATCCTTTCTCGACTTCTCGTGGATCCTTGGCAGCTTCGAGCCACCATTGTCGGACTGGACGAGGCGGATGAGACATGAGACCTCTTGCGGTTTCTGAGTCGGTGCATTTGTCGTGAGATTGTGAACTGACGAGCCCCTCACTGTAGGCGGTCACAGAATTGTCTCAGCGAATTGAAGGGCAGCAGGAAGGAATACAAAGTGCAAAGGTGCGCGCCTCACAGCAAATAAAGGATAGACTGTACGTTACATAGATATCCTCGTTATTCCTAGTCATTTGGGAAGGGCAGAACTTTGCTCTGCCTACTGTGTTGGAACCCAGCAAGCAGCACTTCGGAAAAATAGGTCAGCAATGCTTGAGATGTGAGATGATTCTGCAGGAAAATATCACGCTATGTGAAGAATCAATAGACCGGCTGAAGGCACGATTTGCGGACTTGACTTTGCAGATTTCGCAGCACTTCAACAGTTCCAGATTCACTTGACCTCCTTTGCAGGGCAGCCAGACTCAGTTGGAGAAGAAGCTTGACACAGTGGTCAAGGCACAGACGCTTCATGCAGTTGCAACTTACCTGGAGTTCCCCTTATTTGTCCTGGCTCTTCCAAAAGATCTTTGCGGGATTCTCTGGCCTAGAACAACTCCTTCGCTTGTGGTTTCTGCAGAACTTCTGCCTCCCAATGCCTTCTAAAACTCTTACATAATCTCTAGGCTATAGCAATCTTAAATCTACTTAAATCCACATTTCTATCCACTTAGATCTTTTGCTTCGTAAAGTCCATTGGCGCTGCTTCACATCTAGGAGAAGGCTGTGCAAGACAGACTGATTCGCGAGACGCAAGATGCTCTCCTGGACAAAGTGTCTTTGGCGGAGCTCAATATGTTCGAGGTACGGGACACAGTGGGAAGTTGAAGTTTGGTGAGCTCAATAGGTTAGCCACAGTGTTGTTGTGGGCATTTCATGGATTGCCACAGTTCTCTGCTTCACCATGTTTCACCAATTTCAGGCCAAATTTGCGGGATACACCACAAAGTTGGAACACCAGCAAATTTTGAACGCCCTGAGGCTTGATTTTGCTTCAGTTTTGCTGTGCTTGTGTCATGGTCTGTCATTGTCTCTCTTCATTCAGCGTAGTGAACTCCTTGTTCGCAGTGACTACGCAACTATCGACGTTGCCGAACGGATCGCGGAGAATATGAAGGCCTCGACATCTTTTGCATCCACTTGCCCCAGCCCACGTTTTCTCCATTTGTTTCTCCATTTGTTTCCATGATTTCCACTGTTTTCCACCGTTTTCCACCGTTTTCCACCGTTTTCCAATGTTTTTCAATGGTTTCCAATGTTTTCCAATGTTTTCCAATGTTTTCCAATGCTTTCCAGGGGTTCTGTGGATTCGAGACATTTTGGGACAGACGACAGACTGGGACAGCGCTGTTTGTCTCGAGATCCTCGAGGTGCTCTCGACTCGCTTTGACGACTACACCCGGACAGCCAAGCTCGAGCAGCAGCTCCAGGCACCGCTATGGACATCATACAACATTAGTTTTGCTATAGTTATATAATCGATGTCAATATTTTAATTACATAATATTACAATATCATCATGATATTACATACATATGACATACATATCAATGGACTGTACATGGTAGTTTATAATCGACATAATACATACACGGCTTAGATTATATATACACACATTATATGAGTATAGATAGTATGCGAAATTTATCGATTTCACGATTTCACTTGGGACAAGCCAGTAAGCCGATGTCACTGATATCATTGTTACGTGCCTTCAAAGAAACACAGCTTTCGCAGGAAGTCCGCGACTGGGTCGGCGACGAACTTCAGAATTATGCCAAAGTTGCTCAGACCACGACGCGGGTGCGTGACTTACAATGTGACTTGACTTGCGATGTGACTTACGGTGACATGGAAGACTGCAATTGCGCAACAAGTAGATGGCGAGCCGGTGGCTTGGCCACAGTGCACACCACTTTAAGCCGGTCTTGTTGGAGAAGCTGCTTGCTATGGTTGGATCACTTGTGGCTCTGTACTGTGACACTTCTTCAGATCGAAGAGCTCGCTGTAAACATCAAAGAGCAGTCCCAACTGCGTGGCTGGTATGTTTGATAGTGCAAACACATCTATTACCATCTATATATTCGTGTTTGCGCTGCCTATACAGTTTCAATTTCTTGCCATATGCTTTCCTGTGCCCGGACTGGTTTTGTTGTTTTCAGTTTTGTCTTCTGATCACGGATACTCCAAGCTTGCCAGGTTCGACAGCGTCTATGCAACGAACAACGACCAGCTAAGAGGCCGGGTGTTGAAACTGCTTCAACGTTTGACGAAGAAAACTTTCCACTCAGCCACATTTGTGAGCGGTCTTACAAGTTGTGTATTACTGTATTACTGTATCTATTTCAAAAGTTTTTCGTCCTCGCAGCCTGCGCATCTTGGAGCTCTCCTGAGGCTTGTCGGATCGCCTCACATCGATGTACTCTGAATTGGCTAATGATTTGCAGCAGCGAGCTCCGTCCTCAACGCTGATCTTCCTGTGGATCCGGTCTTACTATCCGTACTATTCAAAGCATGTCTATTGCACGAACAGAAGAGGCACTTTAGAGTCTTAGACGAACTTAGAGGTGATGATCACACTAAAATCAGACTAAAGTGCAGGTGATTTCAGACCTTTCTGATCTGAGGCGATGTACGATGACTTGCAAGAGACGAAGAACAGTCTGAAGACCGCTGCCCAGTTTTAGATTGGAAGAGTGTTTCGCTGCACACTGCAGAACATCTCAGTAGGCCCAGGCGAAAGGTTGAAAGATTTCAATGCTCCATACAGTCTATACAGCTTATATCAGCTTATGCAGAATTTGATGTTTGGAAGCTGGCAGGAAATATGCACTCCGTGCAGAGACAGATGCATTTCAGCAGGCAAGAGACAAGAGACTGCTCAACACCAGAATTGAACGAACATGAATTGAACATGACCGATTTGCACGGATTTCGAGGAGTGGATCGGACATCTGCAAGCCTTGCCCAAGGGCTTCCATCCTGGCAGGACTGTGTGCCCAAGCTGAAATTCTGTGTGGATTCCATCCAAGCCTTTGACGAGCGCTTGAGGGCGCAGGACAGAGCTGGGGCAGAAGGTTCCAAGTGGCGATTCAGACACGACTCTGTGAGAACAATCCACACCTCCTGCTTTGATTGGATTTATAATAGTTGGAAGAATTCCAAAGGATATTGTCATGCGTGGCAAGCGCGGGAAGGGGTTTTCTGGAGACCATTTGCATTGGCACAGGTTTGAAGGTAGAGTTACAAAGCCATTTATCGAGACTGCAAGGACGATGCTATCCAACGCGTGGATGAAGTGCTCCTTGATAAGGCCTGACTATGCAAGACATGGAAAGACGCAAGTATGCTATGCTTGAAGTTGCCTAGTGTGTCGTGGGAAACATCATTGCCTTTGCCACTCCAGAGGTTTTTAATTTTAATGTCCCTTTTCAGCGGGAACTGGAGACGACAAGAGCGGCTAAGAGGCTGGAAAGTACGACATCGTCATCATAAACTCCAAGATCGAGCAGTGTGTTCAAAAGGACGGGTGTGAAGTTTGCTAGATGCGTTGCCGAAAGCTTGGAGGCGCAAGTGCTGTATTATTTGCAAGGAAGCTGCAATGAAAGAATTTCATACGCTCTATGACAAGCTCGATCGATTCAACAAGAGGCTTGTTTCTCAGGACAAGTAGTTGACACTATGTGCTTTTGACAGTTTTCTAATTCACAATTCCACAATTCCACAATTCCACAATGCTCTCTGGCTTCAGGTTCGAGGACTACGTAGAGCAGGAAAGCAAGCGATTAGACGACTTCCGACCTCCAGACTACGGGCCCAAATTTGAGGAGTTCGCAAAAACAAATTGACCAAAGACCATGAATCGCACGCATCAATTGCCGAACTGCGTTTGTGTGCAACTGGGGCAGCTCAATGCACGTTATCCAGGAACTTAATCAGAAAGTTGCCCTGAAGGCTGACAAAGTGAGGGCCCCTGACGTCGTACTTCGGGTTCTGCAGAGGGTGTCAAAATTAGAAAAATCACTCCTTAACAGCGTTTTTGAGCCTGCTATATAATTTGCTGATACAGCAAATACATGTAGATACACCATTTAAGCAAAGATCTGCCGAGTACGCATCAATGGCCCGAGGCGGACTTGGTGGAAATGTACCAGTTGAAGGCCTTGTCGCTATTGGGTCTTGCTCTCCAGAGCCTTACTAACCTTTGTTTCCGTCTTACTGGTTGGCAGCGATGGATATCGTTGATCCTTGGATTTCTGCAAGGCCAATCGGATAGATGCAGACGAGCTGGCCAAGCTTCAGGACGCTGTAGCCGCGGAGGGATAGCAAAACTTCATGTTGCTTCAACATCTTAAACCACAATAAAGCACATCTGTAGCTGATTTGAAGCACAACCGGAACAGTGTAATGATAATGCTACCTATACAATGCCCTTTGCAGATGCGGGGAGAGAAGCATCGCAAGGATACGATTCACAGACAGCTCGAGTATCTTTCAGTGACGACCTTCGGACTTTGTAAGTTGTGCCTTGCAGAGGTGCTCTGACAGTCGATGTCAATGTGCTTTGATGTCCTTTCATGTGCTCGTTTTGAACTGGATTTGGTTGATTTCCTTTGATCCAAAACGATGACTTCTCAAATACAGGAGCTTTTCAGATTATGTTATATATATAATTATATATATATATATAATATATATATATGTAGATATGCACTTATGGTTTGGTTCAAACAGGTCAAGCAGGGTGAATCAAAGACCTTGCGAATGCAGCAGCGCACTCAAGCTCGGGAGCCCAGCTTCTGCTTGTGGGTCAGGTCACGGACCAAAGCTTAGGCGGCCTTTCATGTCTTTTCCAGGTTGAGATAAGACTCTTGGGGAGCAAACGCAGCCCCGCACCCCGCCCAAATCATCCTGCTGTGTCCTTTTTGGTCGATGTCGTTTGATTTCAAGGTGCTCATGCAGAGTGAGGAGCGGGCTGAGCGGGCTGACTTCACTGTGGTTGGATTCCTTTGATTTGAACTGACGGACCGAACGAGTTGGAATGGACTTGGAAACGCAAAAAAAATGTCAAGACATGACAAGACATGACAAGACTAGACTGCCTGGAGCCCAATTATGAAGCAAACCACGTTCACCACAGGAGTGTGTTGCTTCAAATTAGGCTTTCATCATTGGTTTCAGTTGTTGCAGGCTTTATGGCACTGGATCTTGCATAACGAACCGCCGCCGAATCTGGATACATTAAGACCGCCTCCGCTTCGAGCAGTCATGTGCTTACAACATCTTACAACCGAACCTTCCTTGGAATCTGGAAACGTGGTGAAACACAGTGAAACATGGTGAACCACCCGACATCTCTCCTCTGATTGAATCATATTGAATCTGATGTGTGAGGGCAACGATGGCAACAGCAATGTGGATACTGTCAAAGCTGAGCACATCGACAGACAGAAGCGAACCATGGATGATCACAAGAGGCTGGAATAGTTATGTGAAAAGCTGTTTGTTCCCTTTGGCTCACAAGCCATTGCCATTTTGATTTTGCTGAGTTGCAGGAATCAGCTTGAGCGCAAGCTTGGCATGTCGTCATAGCCCTGTGGATGTCCATCTCAAAAAAGCAAACAATAGTAACAATAGAATACAATAGACTCACACATTTTTCATTTTCTTGTATCCAGATGATAATGAGCTTTTCTTGAACGCATTCTAGGATGATTTGCTTCGTTTCACAGCTTGGCAGAAATATTCACAAGCTGTCCGTGGGTGTAATATGCACCCTGGGATTTTCCCGACGGGCAATCGCCTTGTAATGCTTTTGCACATGTGAAAAAGCCACGAGTCTGAAGCAGTGACTGTGCAGCATTGGCATTGAGCATCTTTGCATCCCAGCTTGAAGGAATTCTGCTTTCAAGTGTGCCAAAGCTGCCAAAGCTCTTGAGAATAGAAAGACCCAAGCTGCTACTTACAAGCCCAATATCGAGTCAAGAGTCACGCCCTCGATTAAAGTAAGAGGTCTGGTCTGGCAGTGATGTAGCTCGCTTTGTGGACGCCTATACTACTCTGGCATTACTGATCTAAAGTGTTACAACTGTAAATTTCAGACTTTTGGTTTGATTCCTAGTATGAGCACAGCGTACTACGGGCGCGCAGTCCCGCTTGCCTTGCGAAGATTTGCCAGATTCTCGGAAAGCAATTCCATACCTGTCAGGTTTTCTTCTCAAGCTGCAACTAGTTCAATTCACATGTGAGTTCCAGTTGCAGCAGGCGAAGCTGCCATGTCGCCTGCACAGTCCAAGCAGGCTGAGAGCAACAGTGACAGCCTCGAACGGACAGGCTGGACAGGTTTGGCATGCAGAGAATACATTTTTTCGATCTTCCTAGTTTTGTCTTCATTTTGTCTTTGCCAAGGATTTGTTACTTCCAGATGGACTTCCGACAGGCAGGACTTGTCTTCAAAGCACTGTGACCCTTGTTTTCCTTTAAACAAAACAGCTATGCATCTATTTGATCAAGGTGTGCACGTTGTGATGCTCATGACAAGACGGAAGCACATTGAGCATGCAGATTCTTGGCTAGGCGACAGTCCTTGTTTTTTTTGGGAAGGGCGGAGACTTCAAAGCATGGCCTGAGATAAGCACGAGTGGACGAGTAAATCTCATTTTTTCTGCATACATAGATGCACTCATTTCATCGTCTTTCTTCATCTTGCATATTGAGCATTATTTTGAGCGTGAAAGGGTCCATAAGATCAAGAATGCAGCAAAAGTGTCATTGGCTGTCATCAGCAATTTTCTTTGGATCCCAGTGCTGTATGTACGTATGATCATCCAAGCAATGCTGATCCAGTACAGTATTGGCCTGTGTCCACAATACTCTCATCCTGGAAGCCTGTACAAGCACCAACCTTTCATATTCCCTTTCATGGGTTTTATATGGTTTTATTATATTGTTGTCAAGCTTCTTTTCCTTTTGACTTTTGACCATGGATCCATCAGCAGGCATACCGGGAGTCACACATTGCAATGCAATCCAAGCAGCACATGGCAAGAGGACAGAGCGTTTTTTTCTTTTGACACTATTGGACGCGAACTAGCGGAGGCACTCCTCGAATGACCCTGGAGCAGTCGAAAGCGATGAAGTAAGATCACTACATACTACCCCCCAGCATGCTTAGTGGCTTTGTAAGTGTTGGTGTAGTGTAGTTCTTTTGATTTCTCTCAGACTCACACCTGCAGCTTCACAAGTTCATGTGCTCTCGCAAGAACATCGTTCAATATCCCTACACGTATTTCAATAGAGTTTCTGGGAATGGGAAGACTCATTCTACCCGTCTACCACCTTTTCCCAAGCAAACTCTAACACCACCAACCGTCTCCCAGCATCAAATCTTTGCCAGGCGTTCGGTCAGCCTGTGAGCGTCTGCTGGCAGAGAGGGGAATTGCGTTGAAGGTGCCAGTTGCGTCCAGTTGCAAGATCTTTGCAAATGGTAAGGCGAACCACTGCTTCAAGACTTTGAACTTCTGCAGGGGGAGATGCAAATGTACATATGCTGCTTACTACCTCGGCAACTTGGTAGATACAGTACATGTTTTTTTTGCAATTTGCAACATTATTCGCTTTATTTATCTTGATTTTGCAATCATGTTGCAACAATCATTTACTGTTTTCTGAGAATGGGAGGTTTGACTTGCTTCTGTGGGGGCATGCCAAGGTTTTGGCCTCTCAGATTGATTTGGCGCTACCGCATGCGCCTGGGAGCCCAGAAAGAACAGAAACGGCACCAGCTCTCCTGGCAGGTGCCATATGGGCCAGAGATGGCCAGAGGTCGTTCTGAACCAATGCAGACTTGCTTTTGACCGAGGACATTGGATGAAGTTGCTCCAAGAAGAGGAGCACACGCAGGTCAGCCTTTTTAAAAGCATTAACTAAGCTGCTTTAAGCAGTGGGCATCTTGGTTAGCCACCATGCTAGGTCCACATTTTGTCATGCACGACATGGGCGAGTGTTTTTTTTGGCAAAATGTACTGAGCTCAGATCTAGACACCGAGACACCGGGGACATCACATGGACCTGGCCTGTTGATTGCTCTTTCAGGTGCTGTCCCTACCTGGCTGCCGAGGCAAATTCACAATGATGGAAGAGCTCACACTATGGTAGTGCAATGCTTAGCATGGCCTGCTCAAATCAGACTTGATGCAACAGTCCTGCAAAAGTTTCTTGCTGCAGATCCGAAATGATGGTGAGATTCTGTGGGCCTTTGACTCAGCAACATGTATTAAGCTGGAAGCGCCGCTGTTGAGATTTGAGCCTTGTCCCAGAAAATTTTGGCCACCACTGCAGGCTGGACATGATCGATTTCAGGAGAAGTTTCAAGAAAGGGTAAGGGCCTTGGAAGAAATGGGACTGTCGGCTCCAACGACTCCATTGTGGTCCGAGGAAATGGTGAACGTCTTTAAGGAAGAGTCTCAGCAAGGAGCTCAGCTGTCATGGCAACAGCAGAAGAGCACGACAATTGGGGATCGAGCTCCAGATTTTGCTGAAGACAACCAGTTGTGTTCACTACAGAGCTCCTTGCACTGGACATTACCTCAGGCTTCGTGAAGAAGCAAAGCTGCTTGAAGGCGGCGGCATGGAAGCCATAGACTCTCCCAAGGAGCGAGCGGAGCAAACGGCACCACCTGCCAACCTGCCCATGCTTTCTATATGTTCTCTTCTTAGTCTTGGTTTTCATTTGCTAGGAGTCCGATCCTTTGAGGGAAAGCGAAGACGTGTCGAGTCCAAAATGATATTTTTGCGGCTTTTGTGCTTCTTCCCAGTTTCCCAGGAGATTTTTGCAGAGATTTGGCAGCATGAATCAGAACTTCAACGCATTGCCCGCCTTTACTTGCATCACACTGTCGTTTTCGGATCAGCAGGGGTGCTTGCTCACTCCATGACTAGATTGATATGGAGATGGCGCTGAATGGGCGTGCTCACAAGCAACACTGATTGCCCGGTGCCAACGCTATACTAAAGGAAACTTGTGGCAGTGTTGGTTGGCTGCTGAACTAGTTCCACAAATAAAGAGCTAACCAAGTTCTCTGAAGTTGAAAATGCTGGAATGACCACACAGATTGCAGTTTGTTTGGGACCTTGTCTTCCGCCTGAAGTGTATCAATCACCAAAGTACATCAACGTTTACGTTCTCAGATGTTGGACAAGTCACATAATAATCTTAATTCATAGTGATGTGCATGATAGTTTAGAATATGGGAGCCAGTGCAACTGTATCTACGGGAGTTTATCGGCAAAATTCATGGGATGCCATTCCTGTGTGGAACCGGCTCCTGCCAGGCCTGCATTGGATAGGATCGGGTAGAATCTGATCGTTGTGACGTAAGGTTTTGCTTTGCATTGAAACAGCTCTGATCGCCAGATTGGCATGGCGTTTACGAGCTGCAGCTGACAGATGCAATCTGCTGGAGGCCAGATCTGTGATGAGCATTGTGACAAGCTGGTAAAGTCAGACAAACAGCCTGGAAGAGGAACAAGGAAGCAAGAGGTGGCTAGTCACTAGCTCTTTGCAGGAACATTTGATGCAAAATGCCAGTGCTTGACCTCAGCAATATCATGTTTGACCCCCTGTGCTTGAATGCTCCGATCTTTTGCGATAGAGCATATTATTAGATGCATTATATATACCGTTATAATCCGTTATAGTTATACTCCTATATCGTAAAGTTTACTCCACATTGCAAGATAGCTTCCATTTGGTTCTTCAGTGCGATCCTGAGGGGTATCCTGAGGCAGCGGATTTAGCGGAAGCGGATTTGGCCGACTTAGCACAGTGATCCTCTCAGAGCTGGCATCGTTTCGCTCTGTTTTTGCTTCTATGATTTCTATGTTCGGTGCCAAATCTGTCAGACCTCAGGTTGCAAAAGCTTCGCCAGGACACAACTAAACTGTAGTCTGACTACATCAATGCAGCACCAATGCAGCATGGTCTGTGCATTCACAGTCATTCAAATGTATTGAGAGATACTGGTAGGCTGATTTGAAATTCCTTTTCGATCCGCACTTGATTTCATCCGCTAATCAGGAGTGCTTGAAACTGAGAGAGTACAATGAGGCTCTCAATAAGGTTCGGAGACGTCGCAACCGCCACGTCTTCTCAAATATTACGACTCTGTTCATTCCACTTCGCATCCAAATGCATCACGAATGCTCCAGATCATTGTGATAAAGCGGCTGGAGCAGGACGCGCAAGCTCTTTAGGATTGTTGAGGGCATTGTGATGCATTTTGCATCATTTCGGTTTCTTTCACAGTGACGATGAGACTAGTTGGCAGAGGAAAAGACATGTCTTCAACGGGCGCGAAGCAATCGAAGAGATGCCTTGCACAGAAGAGTGCCGCCATCTTAGCACAGTGCCAAGAGTGGCGCCCAAGGCGTTGGTCTGAAAATGTCTTAATTAAATTGTATAATTGCCTTAAACATTTTAGCATTAAACTAAACATTTTGAATCCAAGGCTGCTTGGAGAGGCTGCCTTGACCATACGGTGCCTCAGGGGAATGTTGCTGGCTTGGCGAAGGCGAACACAGAGGCGCTCAATGGCACCATTCATTCACTTAGTTTCGCAAGATGGCGATACGTAGCAACTGATGTTTGACACTTTCTGCGTGCTTGGTAGCTTCGATGTCTTTCCATATTACTGTGACAGAAGGTGCCGTTCCATGCTTTTGGCCTTCAAACGAGAGAGCGATGTGTTCCTGAGAGCAAGGCAGGTGCTTTTTGCCATTGGAAAGTCTGTTCCCTCAAAACGTGTAGTCTGATTATAGGACTTGCTTTGGATGCCTACACAGCTGCTTTGGTTCTTTTACAAGTCAGGACTCAACAGTGTAAGGCCTCATTATTCTGCAATGATGCAATTGGGGTGTCTACATCTATATATTGAGGTTGTTCATGCAAAGAAACATCTATATAGTGCCCATCCATTTTGATATGTTTGACTTGTCATTGTACTGTAGCATATATCAGAGCAATGAGAGATCCCCGGTCATGGCTGTCGCGGGCGTTGGGATTGCTCGACCGCTGGAGAGGACAGCAATCAATCAATATGAATGAAGATGAATGAGTTGAGCAACAGCAAACAACAGCAAGCGTGTGAACGCAAATGCCATGATGAATCGGTAGGACACCTGGCTCCAGGCTTTCTTCAAGACACCCTTGGCAGGGCCACAAAAGCCTGTTGAGAAGTATCAGCGGATGCAGCCCATGCGGAGTCAAACATCAGGGTGAGGCAACTTGTTTGGTGAGATAAAGCTCTGTAGATTGCTGTGGGATTGCAATCGCAGCAGTAGTAGTAGCTGGACTGGAACTTGTTTCTGTACATCTTGCATAGCTTTGGCGCAGCTTTAATGGAGTCTTCCAAAGTGGCAGTTCGCTTACTCACATCTGAATACAATGACCTGTTGCAAATCGAACTGGATGCCAGCTTGAAATCAGGTTTGGTCGGCATTCTTACCTGCACTTGCTCTACCAGTTGCTACCTTCGTACCTCTGCAAAATCTACTGTAGACTGTAGCACCTGTAACATCCTTCAATGGTGGATGATGGCTGTGACTTTTTTTGCGCCTTTCGAACCCGTAATGTCAGTGGTCGCTTGAGGCACGAAGGAGACGCAGAGCAGTTGCTGCGCGAGCTGAAGCAGCCGAGCCTTCTGCCTGAATACGTTTTTCAGAGATGTTGATATCATTTGATATCATTGATATCTGTAGTCATTATAGTCTATAATATATTTATATCCTGGACCCCAAACCTTCTCCCAGTTGCCGTGACAGTCGCAAGGATTTCCCATTTCAGTTCTGACGATCTTGTTGGATGCAGTGCCATCCCCTTGTTGAGCCTGGTCCTTTTTGCGACTTGCTGTTTGACCTGTCCCAAGGCCTGCGGTGCGAAGTGGATCCCTGGAGTTTCCCAATTCCTTCGTCTTTGGGGTAGCTACATCTGCGTATCAAATTGAGGCGCTTTCAAAACTTGGGTTCTTGAAGCGCTCATATTTTCTTCAAACGATGTATTATTGTGTACATATTATATCACAGCATATGTATTGTTGGTGTGCAGCGTACCTGCCCGGAAGCACTTTGTGGCAGGGCGCAGCGGCTCTTGATGGTAGAGAGGCCTCCATTTGGGACACCTTTAGCCAAGCCGATGGAAATACCAGTGGTGGTGCGACTGGCGAAGTTGCTTGTGACCACTATCATCTATTTCAGGACTTTGTGCCGCGATCTGTACGTTTGTTATAGATTGGATATGATTGGGTCATTTCTGCACTTTGGATCATCTTTGCAGAGAAATTGTAGTAGTTTCTACATGTTTCTACTGTAAGATCTGTAAGTACAAACAGAGTGGACGTCTTTGAGGAAAGTGCCACCAGGAGGATGTGCGCTTGATGGCCGAACTCGAAGTGAAGGCCTACAGGTTCTCCATCTCCTGGAGCCGCATTTTGCTGGGCAGCGGGGAGGTCAACCAGGCAGGGCTGTGGTGCGACTCAGACATTGCAGCGGCTGTGGCTCTTGCTTTGCCTTGGCAGTTTGCAAACTTTGACAGGAAGGAATCAACTTCTATTCGGAGCTGATTGACAGTTTGCTTGAAGCAGGCAGCTTGCTCAGCTTGCTCGTTCGGCAAGAACTTCTGACCTTGCAGGGAGAACCAGGCATCTGACCTTGTCTGTTTGGCTTCAGGCATCGAGCCGTGGGTAACACTATATCACTGGGATTTGCCAGAGGTGCTGCACGCAAAAGGTGGCTGGTTGTCCAAGGACAAGCGACACCTGATGAGATCATGTATCATCATGTCTCATCACGTCTTTCTCAACCAGCGCTGTTTCAGGAATTGATCACTGGGGCTTTTGGAAACTACGCTCGGACATGCTTCCAGCATTTTGGTGACCGAGTGAAGCACTGGATTACTCTCAATGAGTTCGGTCCACAGCTGACCAGTTCGGTGTTCGCCCGCACCTTGGCAGTTTGTTTTTCAACCTCCCTCTTGGGACAGTGACAAGGCCCTGGTGCAGTGCCGCGTGAGCCTCAGACTGTTCAAACAGATTGCCAAAACTGATCAAAACTTTGCAATTTGTCAAGGGCTTGGAAACTGACTGCAAGGTCTTGGGCTACAACACAGGAGACCATGCACCAGGTCATACCCATGACAAAGACTGTGAGCCATATATTGCAGGCGAAACCAGTGGTTCATTCAGCCAGTGAGTGAATGACTTTCCAGTCCAAGCAGTTGAGGGTGATCCAAAGTCGCAGCTGAATGAACGGTTTTGCAAAAGACATGCTATAAACAAGTCACCCATTTTCAGTCCAGTCCTGAAATGCTCTGACTGTTCGGCTTGCAGGCCACAACATGCTTTTGGCACATGCGGAAGCCGTCAGAATCTACCGAGAGGAGCTTGAGCACCGGTAAAGTTTCGCCGTTCCCGTCCTGACCGGTCCTGACCGGTCCTGACCCACAACAGACCTGCACACATTGCACAGATCTGTACAGAACTTAAGATGACATGAGATCAGGACTTTGCAAAGCAGGGCGGCAAGGCACTCGCCAAAGTGTTGATCATTTTTCTTTGATAACACTGATGGAGATTGTTGACCATGCTGTGCATCGGAATGTTCATGATTTTCGTAGCTCACTTATTTTTGAATGGACTGCTGCAGAAAAGCAGAACCAGTTTGTAAAGATGCTGCTTGAGGGTTGTTGTTCCATCCTGACCCAACTTTAGCAGGTGGGTATTTCATTAAATGCTGATTGGCGACAAGCGGACACCGAAAGTGAGGAGGAGTGTGGTTGTTTCATTCGCAGCACCTCCATCTCCATCTCTTACGTGTGCAGACGTGTCAGGACAAGCTTGCTGCAAGCCGTGCGATGGAATTCTCGCTTGGATGGTTTGCGGAGCCTATCTATCTTGGGGACAGCTGTTAGAATCAGCACAACTTGTCCCGTTGATGACATTGGTGAATTGTCTCTGCCTCAAAGAGCTGCACTTCACCAGCTTTCAGTTGAAAGGACTATCCAAAGTGCATGAAAGAAGTTTGCAAAGATCGGTCTCTCGGCACAAAAAGTGTCAGACACTTATCTCCTGGGAAGTTAGTTGATGAGATCGCCCTTGCTCTGGAAAGGCTGCCAGAGTTCTCAGAACTGGAGAAACAGATGCTCATGGGATCAAGTGACTTTTTTGGTCTGACTCTTGCTTGCACTCATATTGCGCTCTTCAACTACCTGACTCCCATCACTTTGACAGTATTTCTATTTGAGACGGGCCCCACTTGCCAAGTATAACGCAAGGAACAGCTACAGTGGGAACTTTGCAAAAGCACCAAAGCAGCCATTCCAGGCAGCTTGACATAGCTTGACACTCTGGATCGACATTGTGTAAACTGTAGACACTGTCATATTGCACACAGCAGGCCTCTCAGGTCGTGGCAAAATTGATTTTGTCTTTGCAGGGGATTGGATACTGGGAAGACATTGGCTTGATCCTCAGGACCTACTGACAGTTACTGCACACATGCAAGGGGAGCAGTTCGATTGTTTTTCAGCATTGCTTTGCCATGTATTCAAGCGTACTTTAAATCGTATTGAACATACTGTAAGATCTGTAAAGACCAGGATGAAATTTGGAAGAAACAGAATGAAACGCGGGCGATGTGAGCTGCAAGGTGTTGAATGGTGGCATACGGACCACAATTGGGAGAGAACTGACATGGGATGGCCAGTGGTTCCTTGGTCGCTTCGAGAGATCTTGCTCTATGTCCAGGACAGCTCGATCCGTTATCTTTACGCAGAAAAGCTGCAAGTTTAACAGTTTACTACTCTTACTTCATCTTACTTCTATCGATTTCTGGCACCAGCCCATCTGTTGATCTTGGATTCAGGAGAAGTATAATCCTGCAGGTGGCATTGTTATAACCGAGAATGGTTGTGCATGTGAATCTGAAGATTCTGAAACTTGGCACAAGTTGCGTGCTCTGGTTGGAGCAAGCACTAAGCATTCTGAATTTCACTGATTTTGCAAATCGATTGTAACCAAATGCAGTGCCAGAAAGGCCGTGAGCCATGAGCGTTGCCTTGTCAAGTACCTGTTTGTGCTTTCCACATTTCGTGCTCTGTTGAGTGCCTTGTGCATATATCAGGCAGAGCTGGACAAGAGGTGGGCAGAGCCAAGCAAAGCAGCATCAGTGGAATAAAGAGAACACCTCGAATTTTGACTGGTTGCTGCTACAGGTACTGGAATTGGTGTTTTTGCATGTTTTTTGCAAGTCTTGATCCTTCCTTGCGATTTGGTTATTGCCGTCAAAAAAGCAGCACATTTACAAGCCCATGCTATGATTTCTTGATTATTCGTCAAGTTCTTCACAGTGGAGTCATGCTCACAAGACCTTTTTCGCAGGCCTGGTGCCCTGGTTCCTTGCCAATGGGATAGTCGAAGGCCGCGGCTGAAGCTGTTTTGTAGTAGTGCTTGCAGTCGCCCAACAGACTATCGCATGCCATTTGGACTTTTGAATTCCTTGTGCTTTTGTTTTCTGCCGATTTTTCCCCCCTGGGTCTGGGTCCTTGCTAGTCGACAACCTTTGTGATGGTGTCAACATCCTGTGATGTGTTTGCCGGCAAGCTTGAGCAGCAGCTTGCAGAGGCAGAATAATTTGGATGCAACATTTGATGACTCAGAGCGCGTTCGATTCTTCAGGCCACTGAAAGTTGAATGCACCAAGTGACTTCTTTTTGATCGCAAGTAAACTTCAGCACAGCTCCAGGGCTCACTTGAGCGCTGTCCACGCTGCGGTTGAGCGTGGTGCAAAGGTCTAATCCTCAGAGGTCAAACATGTAGACTTAGACAAGTTGAATCACACGGTAGATGAGTAAATGAATGCAAAATACACATGGTCAGATTTTTCAAGACTCCTTTTAAAATGATTTTTCATATGAGTTCTGCCGAGGTATGGGGATACTTTGCCTGGTCCTTTCTGGATAACTTTGAATGGGCCGAAGGCGATTCAGAATGTTGTCTTGGCCACTTTTGTTTCCGCCACATAGTTGACACGTTGACACTGCACGGACAGGTTATGAGAAGCGCTTTGGAATTGTCAGAGTGAACTTCATGACTCAGGCTCTCTAGTCTCTCTAGACTCTCCAATGGCCAGCGTTTATGTTCATGAGAATGAACTCTGGTGATTGGAACGCCCAGGAGAGAACCGTCAAGTCATCTGGCCGCTTCCTGGCGAGTGTCTTCAAGGCAAGCTTTGTACTTGTAGCTCACAGATGCCTTGGCACTTTGGGAGAGTAAACGATCACAAACTTCCGTGTCAAATCTGGTCACGCCTCAGGCCAAGTGTCTTGAAGCCCCTGGCAAGGAGGCGCTGCAGAATTCTCTTGTCGCTGTTTTTGCAGTCGCATTGTCCGACATTATCAGCGCTTTCAGGAGCAGTATTCTGGGCGAACCTTCTGATGCGAGGAACAAAAAGTTGCCCACATGCAGCTTAGAAGCAGTGCCCAGTGCCTTTGATTGAGCAAACCCATTTCCGGTGGGTCAGAAGGATGTGTACAATTGTGCAGCTGTTGTCAGGTGGTTCAGAAAGTGGCGAGTTGTTCTGCTTGAGAAGAAAGTTTTGCTCTCAACGGACTGTGCCAAGCTGAGTGAGTGGCAGCACAAAAACCATCCAAACCCGGTAGAAGGAAATGAACCAAAGTCAAAAGGAACTAGTTGCCAAGTAGTTTTTAGCAGCACTTTCACTGAAACCAAGTCTGTCGAGAGAAGAAGTTGCTCGCAGAAGGTGCGCCGCCATTTACGCTTTGAATTTGGCAGCCCCTGATGTGATTTGGGACTCAATATGACTCAGCCATGCCCCGGCCTGAACCGACATGTGATTCTCCTTGGTCCGCACCCTTGGTCAGGTATGCAGCAAAAACTCCGTGAAGCTCAGGAAGGGCTAGAGAAGGCTGGATTTCATTGTTGTCTTTGGAGACGGACTGAGAGAACCCTGATCCAGTGAACCCAGTGAACCACACTATGAGGTGCAAAGATCCAACAACAATAGACGCAGAAAACGCACAAAACATCACAAACATGCGCAGCAACTCTTTTGACATGTTTCGACTCAGTTTCGACGAATTTCACCATATTTCAAGCTTTTGAGGCTCGAAGTCAACGGAGCGCTCAAAGGCTTGACATCCTTGCGTTAGCACACGGGCCGCTGCCAGCTACTAAGACTTACTAAGCCACTAATTTAAATTAAATATATATTTAAAAAGGCAAAGTGCATACGGTGCTGTTTATCCCGGGAACTTTGGCAATCGTTGTTGATTCAGGTCTGGGACTTCTTGGCAGATATTTACGCGATGGGCAGATTATGCAATGGACCCAGCCAGAAGGAAGGTATGGAGCAGAGTGTGAGTGCAGCAATCCTATAGTATTATGAATTATGATATATTGTGATATGATATGATATATTATGATACATTGTACGTATACATATTAAAAAAGATATATACATACGTCACCACCTTTTGATTAGTAAGTCAACGTTCATGAAACACTTTGTGTTGATTTAGTCACCATTGACTTGTCGATTCCCTGGTCCCTGGTGGCCTCTTTGCATGAGGTTTCATCTGCACACAGCCACAGAAGACAGGTTGGAGCATTCTTTCATATTGCGTTGTGGACAAAATCGAAGTTGTGCTTCATCAAGAACGAAGTGAAATTCAGAGCCAGGTGAAGTTGCTGCTCTTCGCGAAAAAATCATGCCTTCTGCAGGACTGCACAGGCTGTGCTTTCCCAGTTGGTGCAGAGTGGTGAACTTCAAACTCACACCGCTACCGATGCCCTGTCCAGGACATTTTCAATTCATGGCACGCGACCCTGAGGTGCACAACTGGTGCAAAGCTGAAACATGTGCTAACTTTCATATCGCTTTGACATGCTTTGTCACTTGTGCGAGGTGCAACAGAAGGAAGCCAAAATTGACTTTCAGCAACGCTAGCGCATTGGGAGTGCTCTTGCGATCTTTCCTTGAGCAAAGTGGGCCTAGTGTTCTTTATCAGGCTTTGCACCTGAATGGTGACATGAAAAAAAATGCTCAAGAATGTTCGCAGCATTGTGGATTCGGACGTTCCTAAAAAGCCAGGCATTGTGGATTCCCGCTCCGAACAAGTTGCAAGACGCACAACGAGCAGGTGTGAGTCCGTTGATTTCTCATTTGTTTTAAAGATGTTTGAAGTTGAAGAAAGTTGGATATGTTGTGCATTTCAGTCCATGAGTATACACACAGACCCACCTCTTTGGATGTTCTGCAATGTATGCAATGTAATCATTTACATACGTATACATTTACAAATACATTTAAACATACATTCACATATACATGATACATAGAAGGATTGGCTGCAGAGTTTGGGGACACTTTTCCCATGACTTGACACTTCAAAACCTTGGATTGAAGGCTTTCGATGTTTTTCGATGCTTGGCGTGCAGACCTTGGACTTGGCAGGTGCCAAAGGAAGAGATTGTAGCATTAGCAGTAAATGCAACGGTAAACGTCGTGCAAATGTATGGGTGTATCGGTGTAGCACTTCTAGGAAAGTTGAGGTCATGTTGCGGCTTTCAACGAAAAGACTCAGGTGGGAGCTTCAATGTGACCTCCCCATAAAGCAAAGTCCACGAGTCAAATTCAGCGAAGATTCTACGTAGTGATCTAGAGATCCTATCAGATTCTGGTGTACTCTGCTTTGGCTTGTTTTGTTTTTCTCCAAATCTTCTTATGAAAATGAACAGATTCCATGGTAGATTTGTAATTTGTATTGGCAGTTCGGACCTGGTGCCCGCCACAAGAATCCTGCTCATTTTTGATCAACTGTGCTACCTGGCTTCAGTCACTCCAATCCAGGCAGCAGCAACCTTCCAGAATGTTTTTCCTACAAGGACTAGCTTGTGATTATCTGTGGGGTTACTGTGCTGTCATGTCATATCGCACCACTCCAAAACTCCACACTGTATTTTCTTTCTCAAAATTGACAGGACAGCCTCATTCTGTATCCAGTCGCAAGTCCCAGATTTGCCAAAAGCACTGGAAATTCTTGAGGTAGGAGACCTAGCAACTCTTCGTGAATCTTAGACGCTTGAGGCACCAAAGAAGAGTTCAGCTCGCTGAGAGCTTGTGGACGTGGCGGAATTTTGCTAGCAGAGAAGCTCAAGAGGCGACATAACATGCTGATGCCAAAGCACGTGACACCTAGCTGTCACACAGCCGACATTGCCACGCAAAAAGTTTCCCATCCTTTGGAGGAAGAACATGCAAGCATCTGCCACACTTGCGAGAGCCAAGAGGCAATGGCTTCCAGGACTTTGCTCCAGACCGCTTCGCTGCTTCAATGTCCACATCTTCTCTGGTGCATCTTGAATAACTAGATTCGTCTACGTTCATCTATGTTGTGACGCATCCCAGTGTAGAGCAATACCATTGCAGATCTGATGTTCTGTGCGTCATGTTTGCATCCCACCCTATTCACAGCATACACGGTTGTCGTATGCGCTTCCGCATGCTTAAGTTCATTGAAAGGAGGCAGTTGGCTGACCTGCGAGGGACCTCTATCTGTCAGGCTAGTCAAGTCCTTGTTTGCAAGCCAGTCCACAAGAGCAATGAAGCAAACCTTCAGGATGCATGGAAATGGAATTTGTGCAAAGCTTAGAATTTTATACAATTTTGGATACTTTGAGATACTTTGAGAAGTCTTTGAGACACTTTGAGATACTGTGAGTGTGTGCGTGTGTGCCAGTAGAGTTATCGTAGAGTTAATTAGGTGTGGTACTTCGGCTCCAAGGCTCCGAACAAGTTTAAGCAGCTGGATTTGGAGCTCCATCAGCTCCAGATTGCGGGAAAGGCCCTGATTCGATTTCTCCAGGTTTCAGATGGTTTCAGGACATGTTGGACTCTCAGCGAGAAATCATGATTCTGCAGGTGTGAGTCTTTGCAGGAGGTTCAGAGTCCTACTCTTATGATGTGCACATGCTCTGCTCCAGTGTTCAATTCAAGCAACATGTGACCAGGGTGTGCTGCCAGTGACACCAAGTCACCGAGGACTAAGTTTGACCTTAGCTGCTGCCGAAGGCCAGCTGAAAAAATCAAATTGATGAAGATTGAAATAGCTGAAAGATGGCAGAAAGCAGCTTGAGCAGCTTGAGGACAAGAGCGCAGCGTCAAAATGGTGGGTATCCCAACTTCTGACTTTTCTGTGTATTCACGAAAGCTAGCGGTAGCTAGCTGCTTTAGCAAGGCATGGGGCGGACCAAATGCCAAATGTGTGATTTTTCACACAAAGTACCACCCCCTCCCCCCCTCTTCCCCCTCCCCTCCATGCATCTCGAACTACGCCGTGCTTAGGCCACGCGAACTACCCCCTTATGCCAATGCCCTCGGCGTTTTATATAGCTCTGCTTAACCATCATGCATCTTACACAAATATACATCCCATCATCAATCAATTAACAAAACATATTGTGTTTCATGAGCGTATCAAACATACAGAAGCACCAGTAATCACTCGCGACAGGAGCTCAGTCCGTACACCTCGCTCAAATAATTATTAGTTTTCATTCGATTTCCCCCTCAGTATGCAAGCATGGAAAACATGACAAAGAGTGACTATAATATACTATAACCATTACAGGCTTCGAACTGTTAGTCATTGAGACAACACACACGCGGAGTTCCATGATATTCCGTAAGTTTCATCTCGTTCTCACATAGTCTGGAGGTAGTCGCTCTCATCCGACACCAAAATTCATAGATAGTTTTAAGCTACCCATTTCCTTAAAATAATCCAGCAAACTTCACGTTCTCATATCTGTCATACACTACACTTTCTTCTTGAGCGACACCTATTATATCCTTAGCGTCCATAATAACCAATGCCGAATGCCTGCTTAAGCTATGTAGCAAGCTATATCACAAAGCTATCCCCGACCTAAGCCGCACATTCACATACCAAACTGTACAACGTAGGTTTCTCCCCCCGTCACATCTTGGAAGCAGATGAGGGGCTCAATCCCCCCCTCCCACCCCGAACCTACACAACCCAGGCCGCAGGCCACCCAACGCACACCACCACCCAACTTATTCCGCAAAGTCACTCCACGAAAGCAAAAACATATAACTCCACCTCTCTCACTCCACCTTGCCTGTTTAGCTTTCGTTCACCAACCCTTGGGACTCAAGCAATTTGGAGTTTCTTTTATGGATCCTTTGGCCACATAGAGCCAAGGCTTTGGGAGCTTTGGTCGCTGGCTTACCGGTTGAATTCCTTGGACTTTGTAGGTTTTTCATGGTTTTTCTTCGTGAAGGTTGATCTGTTGATCCATCGTTGATCCATCGTGATCGAGAATTGAGGCCTGTGCTTCGTCTCTCAGGCGACTCTTGTGCAGACGGCAGCACATTGTGGGAGAGCCTGGACATAGACATGCACTGCATGAAAGGAATTGAAAGGATACACAGGTGATTTCGATTTCCCTCTCTGTGCATGTGAGCAGTTTTCCACTTACCATGTCGCTCATGTTGCCTTTTTTTTGTCGAAGCTGTGCGAGTCTTGTTGCAGATGAGGCTTTCAAACATTGGCGTTCACGGCAGGTTCACCCTATGCAAAATTTTCAAAACACGGTGGATTTCTTGTCAGCGTCAGACTGTCCACAGGCCAGCCATGGCATCTTTGTGGAGCTTGAGGTGGCTGCAGCGACTCCAAGCTTTGCCATCCGTTTCCATCCTGTGGGTCAGTGTGTAAGCGTGAGCATAGCGACAAGAGCTTTCTCCCAGAGTATCGACATCCACTGTAGAAGAGTATCCAAAAGTAAAGAGATGCCCTGAGATTTTGCAGCACCAGAAGATCAATGGGATGGCGATGCATGCGTAGGCGGCCAAAAGCTCTGCCGCTCTCCTATCACTCAACAGACAATGCCTTGAGGACTGGCCGGGTTTGAGACAATTGTTCTGTGCACGATCATAAAATGTTAGACATGTATGTCAATGTGTATTGGCATGCGTATGATATATATATATATTATATATACACATGTAAATTATATTCAATTATTGTCAATGTATATAATAATACATACAAACGGACATATGATTGCATGGCATTTCGGTTCGATTGACAGCTTCGGTCAGCTGCTGTTCTGAGGATTTGTTTGTTTGGAGCTTGGTTTTTTTCGGTCACTTTATTGCTGGTGAGTTTAAGCGCATAGCAAGCCTTCAAACACGGACTATGATGCGCTTGCACGGAAACTGAGGTAGAACAGCATCACACAGTTTTGAGAGCACAGCAGGCTGCTCAAGAGGCCCTGATTCATGATTAGCATGAGGAGATTTGAGATTGGAGATGATTGGAGACTCCATTGGAGATTGTACTTTGTAGTCTTCGTAGTCTTTGCAGTCTTCGTAAGGTGCTAAAGTCTTTTCAAGTTGCTCTGTGAGCTCAGAAGATTCTGCAGGTAGCTGCAGCCTGGGTGCTTTACTCAAAGCAAAGTCTTTTCCGCAGAACAATGGTCGCTTGGAGGGTCGGTGGGATGCTGAGAACCCAACTCTGAAACAACGATTGACTTTGTCTCTCCACTGGAAAGTGCTGAACAGCATGAAAGCAACCCGCCGTCTCAAGGATCCCTGGCCTTTCGAAGTGAGAGAAAAAGGCAGTGGCAGGCGCAACTTTTGATTCCTTCGCAAAATTGACCAAAGCTTAAGGCTTGCAGTTTGAGATTTGATTCGGAGTCATCGCAGGACATGCAGAGAAAGGCGGAGGCGACAAATTTCTTGCTTCCGATTCCTGCCCGAAATGTCTCCAAGTGTCAAACGAAGCCTGTCAGTCCATTTTGAGGACGCCAACTTTTCCCTCCTTGATAAAGAGGAAGCAATTCAAGCCAAAACTGCTGAGGCGTGGCAAGAAATGCCGGACGCTGTGCCGATCTTTCAAAATGAGTTGGATCTAGAAGGATTATTGTAGGTCACAAGAAATCGATAATGATAGTATGATTTGGATGGTTTTCGCACTCGATTCCTCATTTGGTTTCAAGATGATACAGTAGGCCAGGAGTTGTGAAAGGACTCAAAGGATAATGCCAGTGCTCTTCTTTTGGCAAACTGGAGGATCTTGGAGCAACACTTTTTTGTCATTTCTTTTCACATTTGTAAAACGATTTCTTATCCATTTGGGGTTCATGGATAATCTTGGAACTTGGGAGGTCCTCTTCTGCTCGTCTGCCCAACAATTCCTGTCACTGATTGTGAAGCAGTGGCGACGTTTGGCTTTTAAGGCGGCTCGGCTGTAGCGAAGAATGGACTTGTAGAATCTGAATGAATCTTATATATAGAATCTTATCCAGGATCTTACAACATGTTATAGACTCCAGGCGTTCTGATTCTGATCGTTCTGGAGTGTGACTGAGTGTGCCCTTAGGAGAAGCGGTCCAGAGAAGTGGAGTTGCTCCGTCAACGATCTCAGGCTGAACGTTTGCTCGATTTTGCTTCATGATTATACTACTACGTAAGATTACGTAAGTAGATTGCATCATTTGCAAAAAGTATGCACGCACACATGTGTAAGGTGTTTCCTGGTTCTAATTTCCTTTTCTGATAGAGAGCAGCCTGCTGCAGATTGGCGGTTCTTTCCCACACAAGCGACTGGCAGGTCAGGCTCCAGGAACAGCAACGTAGGCTGGAACAAGCCCAACTTGCTACCGTTCGGTAGCTAGCCTCAGAACGGCAGCTACTGCCGCAGCATCCAAACTTGACGACTTCGGGACAGGACTTTAGAACGCTTCTCCTTGAACACTTGATTTATTGAATTGCTTGAAAATGCAAAGGTATCGCAATCACGCTTTTGCCTCCTGCTTCGCGACCAGTCGCCAAGCAGCAAAAGGACCTGAGGAGTTTTTGATCAACTCGGAATGCTAAGAATTCTCGGATTTTTAAAACTGTACTGATCTGTATACAGATCTGCACTGTAGGTGCTGTTGGCTCCACTAATTGGTGGCAATCTCAGACTTTGGCGAGAATACAAGTTGAGGCCGTTTGACTGCCTTGGAACTCTCAGCTGCTGGCATTGTGGAGCAATCTTCTGTACTGGATATATAGCCATTTTGGTTTGAAGGAAAAGTGTGGTCTTCAGCTGTGACACCAAATACTGGCAGCGCAGCGGTGAAGTTTCCCATGGAGCAAATGGACATGAACCTTTCCCAGCTGTTGGACGAGATTGACTACTCGGACAAGTATTGCGACGACATCTATGAATACCGGCGAGTGACCGTTCCGCGTGAGATGGTGCCTACACTACCGACTGGCCGCACAATGGAGGAGTTCTTCTGTGGAACCAGTGTGCTATCTAGTGGGGCACCAGCTGGGAGGGCAACCAATAAAAACAATTTAACACATATACAAAATACTTAGATTCTTAGATACTTGGATGCCCCTTTTTCTTTAGAAGTCATCGTAGGGCTTCGCACAGCGGCGATGCCCCAAGGGTTGCTCTTGCTGCCCAGAATGTCGCCGCTTGCTCTGCTGCTGGTGCTGCTGGTGGTGGTGGTGGTGGTGGTGGTGTTGTTGTTGTTGGTGGTGTTGGTGGTGGTGGTGGTGGTGGTACAAATAAAGACTGGGGCCCAGACTGGGGCCCTGAAAACAAGCTACCCGAGCTTATTTTGGAATTTGCTTGGTGTTCCTTAAAGGCGTCCATCAAGTTTTCCATCATGCTGAAAAATAATTTTGGTGTAGACTTTTTCCTCCATTGTTGCTTTTGGTTAAAGCTTCCTGGACCCCTTTTTGGCCGCTCAGCGGCCGAAATCTTGCAAAAAGGGGTCTGGCAGGGTCGTTTTGGATCAATATGATTTTTCTAGCTGTTGGGCCCCTTTTTTGGCAACTCAACAGCTGCAATCCTTCAAAAAGGGGTCTGGCCGCCTTTTTCCTAGGATCAGCTTGAGGACGCGTTCTGTTTTCCAGCTGCTGGGCCGCTTTTAAGCCACTCAGTGGCCCAATTTCTTCAAAAAGGGGCCTGGCAACCTCCCTTTCGGATTTGCATGATCCGACCTTCCGTTTTCTAGCTGCTGGGCCTCCTTTTCCAATCAAGAGTCGAAATCTTGCAAAAAGGGGGCCAGCAGCATTCCGTTCGGTTTTTTTTCATTCTTCACTTGCTAAACCCCTTTTTGGCGTTTCAGCGGCCCGGACCCGCCAAAAGGCTCAAGAACCTGCAAACAGGAGGCTGCCTGCTTGACAGTAGACGTGCTGGACAAGGAGAGCCATTGCTTCGGAGCACAGCCTTCTTTCTTTTCTCTGTTCTTTGTCTTTTTCCGCCGTTCTCACGAGGCTCTGTGCAGCAATCTATCCTGGACATGCCCCTGCATCTGGTTTTATCTATCCGGAACAAGCCAGCCATGCAAGGCCCGCCTAGCTCAGTCGGTAGAGCACGAGGCTCTTGACCTCAAGAACACAGGTTCTAGCCGACATGTGTATAAATTATGTTTGCTTGGCTTTCTTGGTTCCTTTTGGTAGGTGCTAGAACCTTTTTTGGCTTCTCAGCGGCCCGGATCCTCCAAAAAGAGGCCCAGCACTCCCCATTTATATAGACTTGCATCTTTTCCCAGCTGCTGGATCCCTTTTTGGCTGCACAAAAAAGCAAACAGAGAGAGAGAGAGAGATAAAGGCACGGCCTTTGAAAGAAAAAGAGAAAGAAAGTCGAACAAAACATTCCTTCCGAGTCCCTTTGAAGAACAGTGGTTCTCCCTGAACAGCGAGCCTACCGAGAGGCAGCCTCGGGACCGGCAGGAATGGCACAAATGTGAAGGCTGACATTCTAACAAAGCTAGGCAGGCCTTGCATATATGGGGAGGGTGCAAGCACCGCAACAAGATCTTAACCGCTGACACGGCAACCGCAGCCAAGCACAGCCTGCGGGACCTCTTTTTGAAGGATCCGGGCAGCTGAGAGGACAAAAAGGGTCCACCAGCAGGGAAACGAAGCAAGTCTGAACGCAGGCTGCGGGAACGCTTTTTAGGAAGCTAAAAAGGGGTCCAGCAGCTGGGAAACCAAGCAAGGCTGCTGGGCTCCTTTTTGAAGGATCTGGGCCGCTGAGAAGCCAAAAAGGGGCACCACCTGGGACAAGATGCAAGTCTAAACGGGGAGTGCTGGACCTCTCTTTGGAGTATCCGGCTGCTGATCCAGCACCTACCAAAAGGAACCAAGAAACCCGGCCTTGCATGGCTGACTTTTTCAGGATAGATGAAACCAGATGCAGGGGATCAATACAGCGACTGGTGCACGGAGCCTTGTGAGGCAGCGCAAAAAGACAAACAAAGAGGGAGATAAAGGTACGGCCTCTGAAAGAAAGGGGAAGAGAGCCAAACAAGACAACATTCCTTCCATGTCCCTCTTTGAAGTCTGTCGGCCACAAAACAGTGGTTCTCCCTAAACAGCGAGCCTTCCGAGAGGCAGCCTTGGGAACGGCAGGAATGGCACAAATGTGAAGGTTGACATTCTAACAAAGTCAAGCAGACCTTGCATATATGGGGAGGGTTCAACACTGCAGCAAGATCTTAACCGCCGACACAGCAGACAGAACGTGCCAGTTTTTTTGCGAAACCTCATCTTCGAAAAGTGCCTCGACGAGTGCCCCGATCCCACCAGTTTTTGGCGATTGTGAAGTGCAAATCGAGCTCTTGTCCTGTACGCTTCTTGTCGGCAACTGGGCCAGATTGAGCCAAGAAACCCTACAGGAGACACATTTGCAACTGCCTAACGTAGCTTTCTGAGCCGTCTAGAAAGCTACCTGTTGAAGCCTGCTAACTGAGGCTTTGACAGGCGCATCCGAAACACCAAAACACCATGGCAGTTCCGAGGCCCACGCGCCATTTTGTTTTCTGACCCATTTGGAAAAACTCCTTGTTGAACACGTCCGCATGTGTTTCCGTTCTCTCCGGTCCTTGCTGCTTGCAATTTCTTCTTTGACGCGCTGCTGCTTGCTTTCGGTAGGAGTCGGCGGATTTTTATTTTTGTTTATTTTCGCATATATTTTCCAATTTTAAAAATATATTTTTTCATATTTATATAAAATTTTCCCTATTTTCAATAAAATTTTCAATTGTTCGCTATGCGTTTGTATTTTTCTTTATGTTTTTTTGTTGTTTCTATGCATTATTATTTTAAAACAGGTTTCTCATTTCCTCATGTTTTTTTGAATCATTTCTTCGTTTTCCACCTCGGCAGCCCCAACCCAGATAGTTTCCTACTAATTTCTAATTGGTAACCCCATGCTTTTGGATGAGGAGTGGGAGTGGCGCCAGAACGGCATCGTCATGTCTCGAGGCTGGGAACACTATGATCAACATCTACCAGAGGCGCATGTTTTGCTCTTCAGACGAGTCCTTGGCACCGACCCGCGGACGGGAGAGATCCCTCTCAACATGGCAGTGAAAGTGCAGCAAAGAAAACAATATGTCCAGGAACTGGAGCAGAGAAGACAACGCATGATGCAGGAGCGCCAAGAGTCCATGGCCATGGAGTACTAAGATGATCTAAGATGATCTAAGGTGGAAAAAGAGTTCGTAGGAAAATGTACCGAGTCCTGCTAATTCGCATAGGAGCGGAGTATGTTCAGAATGCAAAGCTGGATTCGCTTGAGCTTCCAGCTGTTTTCACCCTTGCTTCTTTGGTTTCTACAGCCAAATAGGGGACCCATAGGATTCCATAGGTAAAGATGCTATTCTCAAACTTCATATATATATATATATATATACGTAGTATGTATACATACACATACAGTCTCTTTCTTTGTAGTTTCTCTCAGGGTCTCAGAAATTCGTTTGACACATTTTCAATCTGCTGAACTAGAAGCAGATGTTCAATGTATATTTGAGGCACCTAACTGGGCAGGACATGAGAGAAGTTCAGTCTTCTCAGGTGCTGACTGCGATGACCCAGAAGAGCCTTGGGGCAATTGGGACAGGTGTTCAAAGTCACCTGAAGCTTTCACCATAATATGCACAGCGCTGCGGGAGTTGCCAGCGTCGGGGGAAAAAGAAAGGAGGACTGCATGATACACCAGCGCACGGACGCATGGAAGAAACAAGAGAAGGAAAAGAATGCAAAGTGTGAGATGCCATGGCAATTCACTTTGAGATTCTTGAATTTTTAACAGAGCTTTGCAGCTTTGCAGCACAAGGTTGCGATTATTCCTGCCGAGAGCCAAGTCGTTCAGTTTGCAGATTTGCTAGCGTGACCACAGTTTGGTTGAGGTGGGATTGGAGACGCGCTGTCACTTCTTCGACGTCGATCAAGATTTTACGTCTGCTCCTTGTGGGCCATGTTTGACAGAAGGCAAGTCGGAGTTGTGGTTTTGCGAGGACTGTGGTATATCGTTGCTGCCATGGAGATCTTCAAGTGCAAGCACTGGTTGGAGGCTCATTGTGCTATGATAGAGGACCATGTCCTGCAAGAACTGAAGCCTATCACATGTCCATTTAACTGATTCGATGTTGTCAAGGAGGTGCTGCGGAAACTGAGGCTGCTGGAATTCTGCCTGCGTCTTTGGTCCGCACTGGTTCGCATCCCACTCATGAAGAAGGTACCTCTTGGTCTGGGTTGATCGGTTCCTCAAAGAATAAAGGGGACCAGGATATATGACACTTTGCAATTCAAAGAACCACTATTGCGACATATTACGACCACTATTGCACGTATGCATCTGTTTATTGTAGAACGGACTGGAGCCTTTGCTGGAACCATGATGACCTGAAGGATGAAAGGAGAAAGCAATACCTCAGCATGTGCACGGCTAGACTTGCGTGCACTTGTATCAAAATTGCCTAGAAGTCTTTACGTTTGGAAGTCAACTCCAAAGCCGAAAGAGAAAGATGAGAGCAAGGCGAAACGGCAAATCGTCCAAATGCACATGACGCGTGTAGGCCCAATCCCAGCTCCAGCCAATACTTGTGCTCCATGAGGAGGCTTGGTGAGCTATGCCACACAAATCTGCACAACACTCTTTCATACTCTTTCCATCCTATTTCGCCTGCTTCTATGGAGAGTGTTGTTCAATTCAGGCATCCATCGAGGCCAGAATTGTTGCAGGCAGCAAGACGCTGTTGATCCACATTGCTTTTACGTGATTTTGCTTCTTCATAGTATTCCACATGTCTGGTCTTTCTGAGATCTGCAGCTTCAAAGTTGTTAGGCGAATCGTTCCTGTTGCAATACATTGTGATTTGCGCATGGAGAAGGCCGTGTGGCATATTGCCAAAATATGCAGGAAGAGTTGATTTTTACGGTGCTCCCGAATGTTGATTCTTATGGCAAGATGTACGTTGTGTGTCCATTTTGATTGAAACTTTTGTGTCTTGAGTGAGTCGTCGACTGTTCCTCTGGCAAAGTTGCCTTAGTGCAGGTTCCTTTGGGCAGAGCTTCTCAAACTTGAGGTAAAACATGCCAGCCTCCTAAACTTTTCGCTGCCAGAAGGGCTCTGGCAAGTGCAGAGAATGCCTTGAATATATTCTGAAACAGTTGTTTCAACGTGTGTTTGGGATTTTAATCGAATGCCATTTCCCAGAGTGCAAGGTTTGCCACCAGTGGAACACAGAGGAGCTCAATTTGGCCCGAGCTCTTCACCGCGTCCAAAACCGCGTCGGTACGATTTGGTTTCCACGGCTCCATTTCTGTGACTCAAAACGGAACCTGCCAGCAGCTGAATAGCGATAAGAATTTGGTACTGATACAAGCCTCCTGAGAAATACTCTAAGCCACAAGCAGAATGAATTTGGACTTGAATCACCTTTACAAAACCTTAGAGGCGTTTGCTCCACTGGAAAGCCAGGGCATGGGCAGATCTTTCCATGCGAAAACTCCATGCGCGCGAGGTGCTTCAGCCAGCATGGTCCCAGGGAACAGCGTAAGTTGGGTAAGTTTGATATGACATGATATGACTCAATAATCTCAATATGTCCGATGATTTTCTTCATGTTGCAATTGTACAGCTTTGAAGCGATGCTCTTGTTTCAAGTGCACCCTTGAGGACTTGTGTGATGCTCTGCTTGCCTGGGCACAGGCAGCTTGTGCATTGCTGAACCTATTGTGCCCAGTACAGATTCCTAGTGGAAGAAGAGTGGCACTTCCAGTGCTTTTAGACTCCACCTTCGCAATTTGTTCCGGTTCTAACAGCAAGAAAACACCAAGTGTTTGTGCTTGATAGCAGACCTGAAGTAACCACCATCCCTGTCATCCATTGGGAAGGAAACTCGGTGTTCAAGTGAAGAGGCTGGAAAGTGCGGAGGATGCACAAGTCTTGCCTTGTGCTGTAGGAGGGGTGTCATGATATGTTTAAAGAATGGCCGATTTGAACGTTTGGCTCGTTGGTGGAGCATATCATCACAATTCTGCCGAATTGTACACCCACCAGGCGCGCCTTCGCAAAGCATTTGAAGAGGCCGTGTCCAAAAACTCATGTGGTCAACTTCTGGATCTCACAGCGAAGTCTCTTGCAGTCCTGTGGCTGAGGCCCAAATGGGTCCGGAACTGCAACGCCGCTTTGAAGGCATAGTCTGTGCCCGTTGGCGAGAGAGGACTGCGTAATCCGCAGATTCAGAATCAGGTTGAGGTCTCTGGAACTTTTGGTGCTTTAAAGTTCTTGCACACTACTGTTATTATCATTATCATTGTTGTTATTGTTATATTATCGTTATTACAATACATAATAGTAATGATCATTACGTTATATGTAAATATTACATTATAATACATTATATATATATTAATTATATATTATAAATTACAATGTATATATTATATATATTATAAATTGTATATATATATATTATAAATTATATATATTATAAATTATATATATTATAAATTATATATATTATAAATTATATATATTATAAATTATATATATATATTATAAATTATATATATATTATAAATTATATATATATATATTATAAATTATATATATTATAAATTATATATATATATTATAAATTATATATATTATAAATTATATATATAGATATATTATAAATTATATATATTATAAATTATATATATATTATAAATTATATATATATATATATATATTATAAATTATATATATGTTATAATTTATAATATATATATATATATTATAAATTATATATTATATATTATAAATTATATATATATTATAAAGTATAAATTATATATTATAAATTATATATATATGTTATAAATTATATATATATATATTATAAACTATATATATATGTAAAAGTTGTGAGGAGTTTGAGACTTCATCACCGAGAAGATCAACATAGTCCCTGGGCATCATGCACACAGATTTTTCTCGTACGGTACAAATTGTATGATCCCAACATGCTGAGCAGCTTTTCGCAGAACAAGTTCATTCAAGCAAATCCAGACCGGAGACATAGCTTGACCGGGTCGAGTGCTGGTCTCAAACAAATGAAAGAATATGAACGGTTCAAGATCATCAATAGGTCCTAAAGTTATGGAGCGCCCTTGCCTGCCCAGCAGCACAATGAGGTTGCTTGGTGTCCACCTTTTTATGGTGGCGCATGGCAGCGTTGCATGAAGGAGCTGCTTGGCCAAACATTTGCGACAAGCTTGGGCAACTTCTGTTCCATTTGTTCCATATGCTATTCTCCCTTTCTTCTCAACTCCACATTGAAAAAGTGACCAGGGTGAAACTTTCATGGCATTCCCTTATACTAAGTGGTTCAGGGATCATCCTTACATACGTATGTATTGATGATATGTATATGGGTGTGGGTGAAACCCAATGATGTTTTTTTTTGTCATGAACATCCATTTGCAAGCTACAGTATTTCAATACGAACGTGTTGATCCACAGCAATATGTTACGTGGCAGTGGCATGAGATCACAGGGTCGTGTTGGAGAAAAGGTGACCAGAAGACGACGCCGCAGCGCCCTCCTGAGAACTTTGAAGTTGAGTACAGACACTCCATTGATGGGTGCCAATCGAAGTCTGCGTGATGTCAATGATGATAATGCTTCATGAGCTTGATACGTAAGATCCCGTATGTATACCCTGCAGCCTTAACGAGCGCCCTTGCAAGTTTGATTTTCCATTGCCAAGTGTGTAGATAATGCTATATTATACCTTCTCTCGCCAAGCGGGATGGGCGGATTTCGCTATGTTTTTTTTTACCTAACATGCCCAGGTCGCCAGCGTGCTGTGACTCTTGCAGAGCCGTGTGCCTGGATTTCGACGCATTCGAGTGAGTTCAGGTGGATGAACTCTTTTTTTCCTAGCATTTTCGTGCCTTGGGTCTGAGGCAGTGGACAGGAAGTTGTCATCTCCAAACCCAGCGTTTGGTTTTTGACAGTTGGCAGACGCTTCTATGCTCCGCCAGGCTGCTTCCGCATTCGTTGTGGAAGTCGGGCCTTGTAAAAGGGGAGGGCTGGGGCAGGCAGCGCTGGCTTGACCGGAGACGTGCGTGGATGGAAGCTTAGCTAACACTTTGCAGAACTTCGGGTCAAAAGTACAAAACTTGGACTTACAGTGACTTACAGTCTGTTTATGTCTGTTTAATGAGAGTTTGATCAGAGTGGTCGCCCAGGTTGGAGCAAATGCTTGAGGGCCATTTCCCTGGCGCTGTGTTTTGGCTGAAGGGGAGTGGCTGCAGCGCTAAAGGAAGACTCCAACTCCAGGTATCAGCTATGACAGCTATGAAGCAACTCGTCTAGATGCTCCGGAGGAGCATTGACCACAATCCTTGTTGACGAATTAATTACAGGGCGTTTTACTGGTTTATTGTGGGACTATCGTCACCCATTAAAGGAATGCCTATCAACCATTAAGTATAAATGGATGAAAGAAGGCCTTAGACAGACTACGATCAGACCCTACTGGGAGAAAGAAGCAGATGACGTAGACTTAGACGAGTTGTTGACAGCCCCAAAGAAATGCATTGGCGAGTGCAGTGTAAGGCTTCACCCAGTTCCGTGCCACAGCTGCGCTCGACTTAATGGACGGCGGCGGAGTAATGGAGAGTTCTGTCGCAGTCTTTCATGGGTCTACTTTAGCAGTTGGTGATGCATTGCTAGTAAATCTTGAGTTCGCGTGAGCATCGATGGTCAGAGACATAGTATAAAGTGGGTCTTTGCTGTGCTTGCGCCTACCGACATGAATGAGGCCGGATCAAGTACATCAGCACCCCTTCTCTACCAGTCTTGTGTTCTGGTTGCAAGAAATTGAGGTCCGTGGTTTTTCTCCGTTTCATTTTTAGTCTGACAAATGAACGGACCTGTTTGTGTTTGTCTGTGATTTTTGAACATGGACTGGACTATCGCTTTTTGGCATTGCTATAGTTGAAGTAGCAGGGAAAGTCCGGAATATTTTGACAAGCTCCAAGCTTGGCTCAAAAAACTGAGTCTTAAAATGTCTTAAAGTCCTTTGGCGAGTGCAGTGTAAGGCTTCACCCAGTTCCGGGCCGCAGCTGCGCTCGACTTAATGGCCGGCGGCGGAGTAATGGAGAGTTCTGTCGCAGTCTTTCATGGGTCTACTTTAGCAGTTGGTGATGCATTGCTAGTAAATCTTGAGTTCGCGTGAGCATCGATGGTCAGAGACATAGTATAAAGTGGGTCTTTGCTGTGCTTGCGCCTACCGACATGAATGAGGCCGGATCAAGTACATCAGCACCCCTTCTCTACCAGTCTTGTGTTCTGGTTGCAAGAAATTGAGGTCCGTGGTTTTTCTCCGTTTCATTTTTAGTCTGACAAATGAACGGACCTGTTTGTGTTTGTCTGTGATTTTTGAACATGGACTGGACTATCGCTTTTTGGCATTGCTATAGTTGAAGTAGCAGGGAAAGTCCGGAATATTTTGACAAGCTCCAAGCTTGGCTCAAAAAACTGAGTCTTAAAATGTCTTAAAGTCCTTTGGCGAGTGCAGTGTAAGGCTTCACCCAGTTCCGTGCCACAGCTGCGCTCGACTTAATGGACGGCGGCGGAGTAATGGAGAGTTCTGTCGCAGTCTTTCATGGGTCTACTTTAGCAGTTGGTGATGCATTGCTAGTAAATCTTGAGTTCGCGTGAGCATCGATGGTCAGAGACATAATATAAAGTGGGTCTTTGCTGTGCTTGCGCCTACCGACATGAATGAGGCCGGATCAAGTACATCAGCAACCCTTCTCTACCAGTCTTGTGTTCTGGTTGCAAGAAATTGAGGTCCGTGGTTTTTCTCCGTTTCATTTTTAGTCTGACAAATGAACGGACCTGTTTGTGTTTGTCTGTGATTTTTGAACATGGACTGGACTATCGCTTTTTGGCATTGCTATAGTTGAAGTAGCAGGGAAAGTCCGGAATATTTTGACAAGCTCCAAGCTTGGCTCAAAAAACTAAGTCTTAAAATGTCTTAAAGTCCTTTGGTGGGTGCAGTGTAAGGCTTCACCCAGTTCCGGGCCACAGCTGCGCTCGACTTAATGGACGGCGGCGGAGTAATGGAGAGTTCTGTCGCAGTCTTTCATGGGTCTACTTCAACAGTTGGTGATGCATTGCTAGTAAAGCTTGAGTTCGCGTGAGCATCAATGGTCAGAGACATAATATAAAGTGGGTCTTTGCTGTGCTTGCGCCTACCGACATGAATGAGGCCGGATCAAGTACATCAGCACCCCTTCTCTACCAGTCTTGTGTTCTGGTTGCAAGAAATTGAGGTCCGTGGTTTTTCTCCGTTTCATTTTTAGTCTGACAAATGAACGGACCTGTTTGTGTTTGTCTGTGATTTTTGAACATGGACTGGACTATCGCTTTTTGGCATTGCTATAGTTGAAGTAGCAGGGAAAGTCCGGAATATTTTGACAAGCTCCAAGCTTGGCTCAAAAAACAGAGTCTTAAAATGTCTTAAAGTCCTTTGGCGAGTGCAGTGTAAGGCTTCACCCAGTTCCGGGCCGCAGCTGCGCTCGACTTAATGGCCGGCGGCGGAGTAATGGAGAGTTCTGTCGCAGTCTTTCATGGGTCTACTTTAGCAGTTGGTGATGCATTGCTAGTAAATCTTGAGTTCGCGTGAGCATCGATGGTCAGAGACATAGTATAAAGTGAGTCTTTGCTGTGCTTGCGCCTACCGACATGAATGAGGCCGGATCAAGTACATCAGCAACCCTTCTCTACCAGTCTTTTGGTCTGGTTGCAAGAAATTGAGGTCCGCGACTTTTCTCCGTTTCATTTTTAGTCTGACAAATGAACGGACCTGTTTGTGTTTGTCTGTGATTTTTGAACATGGACTGGACTATCGCTTTTTGGCATTGCTATAGTTGAAGTAGCAGGGAAAATCCGGAATATTTTGACAAGCTCCAAGCTTGGCTCAAAAAACTGAGTCTTGAAATGTCTTAAAGTCCTTTGGCGAGTGCAATGTAAGGCTTCACCCAGTTCCGTGCCACAGCTGCGCTCGACTTAATAGACGGCGGCGGAGTAATGGAGAGTTCTGTCGCAGTCTTTCATGGGTCTACTTCAGCAGTTGGTGATGCATTGCTAGTAAATCTTGAGTTCGTGTGAGCATCGATGGTCAGATACATAATATAAAGTGGGTCTTTGCTGTGCTTGCGCCTGCCGACATGAATGAGGCCGGATCAAGTACATCAGCAACCCTTCTCTACCAGTCTTGTGTTCTGGTTGCAAGAAATTGAGGTCCGTGGTTTTTCTCCGTTTCATTTTTAGTCTGACAAATGAACGGACCTGTTTGTGTTTGTCTGTGATTTTTGAACATGGACTGGACTATCGCTTTTTGGCATTGCTATAGTTGAAGTAGCAGGGAAAGTCCGGAATATTTTGACAAGCTCCAAGCTTGGCTCAAAAAACTGAGTCTTGAAATGTCTTAAAGTCCTTTGGCGAGTGCAGTGTAAGGCTTCACCCAGTTCCGGGCCACAGCTGCGCTCGACTTAATGGACGGCGGCAGAGTAATGGAGAGTTCTGTCGCAGGCTTTCATGGGTCTACTTTAGCAGTTGGTGATGCATTGCTAGTAAAGCTTGAGTTCGCGTGAGCATCTGTGCTTGCGCCTACCCACATGAATGAGGCCGGATCAAGTACATCAGCAACCCCTCCCTACCAGTCCTGTGTTCTGGTTGCAGTATTTTCTTTTGCGGAAATCTGTTTGAGCAGTGTTGTTTTTCTTTTCTTGTGATCCAAACAAGACCATGATGTGCTTAGATTTTTGCATACTGCTGTTTTGGTGTCGAGTGGCAGAACTTTAAGACAACCTCGAAAAACGTCTTTCGTGAACACACAGCGAGGTAAAGCAAGCGTCTGCTTCGCAATTGCACTTGACTTACAGAGGAGCATGCTAGTAGTTGCCACATACCCTGGCTCAGCACTGGTTTGGCTCCTGCATAGAAGCAACTTGGTCTACTCGCCAAGGATTGATACGGAATTTGCTGCCAAATTGCAGCAGCTTTTGTCTCAGTGCGCAATGTTTTCCTTGTTGATCATCTCAAGATTAAGCAGATCAGCAAGCATCAATGCGCCCTGAGAGAGACAGAATCAGCTTGAGAAGTTTCTTTCCGCGGCTGCAACTCTAAGATATATGTCCCACGTCTACCACTGAGGTTCACCTTCGGCTTGAAACTGGGAAGTCTTGAGAGCCTTCAGTCGTCTAACTGAGCCCAAAGTGGTGCAGTCGAAATTTCGAACCATTGGACCATTGGACCATTGGACCATGCCAGCTATGCCAGCTATGCCAGCTATGCCGTGTGCACCACCTGCGCTACCTGCGCTACCTGCGCCACCTGTGCCTGGGGCCCTCTCCACGCTGCTCCGACCAAATACCAAGTAGCCAATGTCTGCCTCGCAGATTCACTTTTTTTTGATTCACAGCAAAGGTCTGGCTCAAAAAGATGCTGTTCTTCCGTGGTATCTCAATGCTTGCTTGCGACAGACGAGAATACTAGCACCGCTAGTACTGTAATAAAATCACAAAAATGCAAAACGTTCGAATCTTGCAGCCACCAGATTTGTGCTGATTCACGCTCCCGACGAGTTTTCAATTAAGGATGATAGGGTTATGCTATGATACATCGGCAGCCAGTTCACCAGCATTTCCCCTGCATCCAAACCGCACATGCAGAGCAACGCATGGAACAAGCCCGGGGTCGGCTGCAAATTTCTAGCCGGTCCTCTGCATCATCCCACACATCAGCCTTTAATTTGATCGGAAGGCTTAAAGCAAGCCCACAATTTTTCCACACTGCTATGCACTCTTTTTCATGCTATTGTAAGCATACAGACGACAAATGACATACACCTACATCATCCGCATGACAGCGTTTGCTAGAGCAAGTCTCAGACAGTTCTGCTAAAGGCAAGCTGTGGCGACATGAGATGAAACACATAGCTTCCAAGGCCAGATTTCGCATTGAGAACTCTTCATCGCAATTCGGCCAACTCCCTGGCGCAGCAGGTTTCTAGTGGCAGTGATTTGCTCAAGGATCTGGTGAACAAGAAAGTTTCTTTGCGTCCCAGCCTCAAAGGATCTCAAAGGGCCTTCAGAAGATTTTGGTTGCCTGCCACATGCCACATGCCACATGCCTTCACGACGACTCCTCCATTGGCAGCGTCTCATGGTTGTTGAAGCCAACAAGCTGGACTGAGGGTTGATGCACTTTTGCTGCGTTTGATGTCTGTGCAGTTATAGCAGTCGTACCGTGACAAGCACGTGAAAACGGTCATGGAAGCAAAGAACATAACGTATCACTTTCGCAGAAACAACACCAGATTTTGAAAACACGCATTGTGATATTCTTTGCGTTCCCAGTGTTCTCCAATCACAGACAATTGTACTGAAGCGAGGTGCAAATCGGGGCCAGTGTTTAGATTGAATATGTCCCTAATTCAAACTTGAGAAGGAAGGCTTGATCAGAGTGTCAAGGTTAAACCGTCTTGACAAAACAAGTTGGCTCATTTGACCCATTTGTCTAGCTTATTTGGCATGGGCCATGAGACCTCTGGAAGCTTGTGCAACTTGTGCAGATACCTGGATTGGGGACCAGATTCAATTGCAGCAAGCTGCAGCTGCTGGAGATTCGCTTGTTGGATTGGACTCGCAAAGCTGGAAAAGGCGAGTGCAAGAACCGATGGATCGAAAGGGAAAGAGCGCATAAAAGCCCAACAAAATAAGGGAAAGCTTTCGACTCCTGCGAAACCTCTGAAACCTTGGTATTTGATTTTGGCCTATGATGGCACCGATTTCGCTGGCTGGCAGAGACAAGCCGAGGCGGAGCTTTGTGAAAGCTGTGCCAGCTGTGTTTGGTTATTTTTTATTTGATGTTATTTGATGTTCTTTGATGTCCTTTGACCCAGATGTCATCAAATGATATCAAATGTCAAGCTGGGAGTTATGAGAGAACACAGATGGAACTGATGGAACTCCAGCCCTGTAGGGAGTGCGCACACTGCAAGGGGAAGTGGAAAAGGCTTTGTCATTGGTCTTTCGGGTGGAGGTGCGAACTGTAGGAGCGTCTCGCACTGACAGTGGTGTTCATGCCAGAGGCAGCTCGGCAGAATGACTAGACACTCCAATGCGCGTGGTATCATAAATTCGAATTGAGATCATGCAAATGGTCTGCAAGTCGAAACTGTCAGTTGTGAGGTGTGCCATGTGTAGACTGTTACAGTATTAATATATATATATATGATATGTATTATAGATCATTATAAACTTTATAAATTTGTACAGGAGATGTCTACTGTGTAGACTCTGTGTAGACTTGTGAGATCTTGTGGGATGAGGTCAGGTTTGCCACTTCGAGGCCCCTGAGATTTCAGACCGAAGCGACGCAAAGGTGGACCACGTGGACCACGTGGACTTCGTGGACCACGAAACTCTGCTGCGCCGACTCCGTCTGACCCTGCCAGCTGCAATTTTTGCTGTGAAGCTTGGTGCAGCTCCAGTGAACTTTCACTCCCGCTTGAGCTCAGTCAAGAAGAATTATTCATATCGTCTTTCAACTATGCATGTGATGCCATTCCAAGCTAGGCAATGTTGGACTTGTGGAGAACTGGATCTTGAAGCAATGCATGCTGCCATCAACGTCCTTCACAATAAGCATATGGACTACATCGCTTTCACAACGGGTGAGAACGAGCCAGACTACCACGGACCTGTCACGAAAAGTGTGCAGCTATCCATGAAGATTGATGGAGACATAATATGTCTTTCAGCTTCATCAGATCGCTTCCTCTACAAAATGGTGAGACGAATTGTTGGTGCATTAGTTGAAGTTGGCAAAGGCAGACTATCACCAAACGACATAGCAACCGCCTCGAGACAACAAATCCCCACAGCTCCGCCAGTGGGCTTAAGCCTGGACGAAGTCGTCTATCCAAGCGATGTTCAGAGGCTTCTGGCATCTTGCAAGTAGCACAAAGATGCACAAAGATGCAAAAAGATGCAAAAAGATGCAAAAAGCACGTTGAAACTCAGGCTGCCATCAAGCGCCATCAAGCGCCATCAAGCGCCATCAAGCGCCATCAAGCGCCATCAAGCGCCATTATTTGCAAAGTGACAAATGTGTGGATTGCACGGCCCGGTCCAGCAGGAGTCACTGCTACATCATGCTACGTAAGGGAGGGTCCAGTTGTGTTGAGAAAGCGCACCAAACCATGTAAAGCTATAGGCCCCCCCCAAAACCATAACTTGTAACCATATGAGCGTGCATTAAACTTGGTGTAAACCAAGCAAATATTGTTGTGTGCCTTAACGCGATGGGCAAAATTGATGAAGAAATTCAATCTGCAGTGCCCACGTTTCACGCAGTTGCCATATAATTTGTTGTCCAAGGTGATTGAATTACTGATCTTATAACTGTTGGGAACCATTGATCTCAATTAATTACTGTCATTCTAGTTCGGAGTTGAGATTGTAATAAATTTCCTTGCTTAGGAAAGAGTCTCGGAATGTGCTTATATAGCTCCCCAACATGGTTGCAAACGCAAATACAACGAGCGCCCCTTAATCCATCCCTGGCAGTTTAGAGATCTGAATCCTTGAAGCCATTTCTGCTGCATTTTTGCATCATTTCGTGTTGATTTGAACAAAACACTCTTAAAGCCATAGCCCCCCCAAAAACCGATAACTTTTATTTTTGTACCAGCCACAATTGATTTTGACGGCGGCTAATGTGAAGATTTATACTAGAGACATGACCATAAAGACAATGTAGAGACAGAAAAGATTGCGGTGCCTTCAACAGCAGCTGAAACACGCATCACAGGCATCACAGGCATCACAGGCATCACAGGCATCACACCTGTTTCAGCATACAACTCATAAATCCTCATCTCCACCCTCTCCTTTGCTCGCCCTAAGGCCGTGAGAAGGACAAAGAAGCGGAGCGGCAGGCAGCTGGGCACAGTCGTTGTGCTCACAGATGATCGCAGATATACAGTAGGTGAAACATGGTGAAACTAAAGACTGTCAAATCGATTATGATTAAACTTTCCAGTGGTTAAGAGGGAACTAAGGAGCTATGTGTATCCATATTCCCTACAAAATGGGGAGCTAAGGAGCTACTAAGAGTTTCCCAACCTCATGATAGATTAAGTATTAATATAATATGTATTAATGATTGATGTGTCTCTTAATATTTGGCATGTTGAAGCATGTCATAGGTTCCTTTCGAATGGTACAAAGGCGCTATCGTCTTGTCGTCGACTTCTCCTTGACTCCAATGTCATCGAGGAAGAGGAAGAAGAGGAGCCGGAAGGCCATGGTGGGTATGACGGCTGTGTCTATTACAAGGCGGGTGCGCACGAGATCTGAAGCTCCACTGCCCTCAGGTACTGAAAGGGGAGCGCGCGGAGTGTTTGGCCAAGACCCGAACCAATGTTTGATAAATAGATCGTCGGGGTTTGTCGGGCACTTTAGCCCTTTAGCACTGCTCGAGGCGATTATGCTGTGCTTATTTTGACTTCTAGGTGTGCAATTTTCAATCCAGGCCACCCACCCCTCTCCACCTTGCATCGTGCAGGTGACAAGCAACGTGAATATAGACTGGAGCGATGCTCAGTATTCTCAGTGTGCTGTACTGTACCTTTGAGATATAGCAGATCGAGTCGCGATATGTTGCGAAATGTCGCTACATAGTGAGGATACGGATGAACCGGAGACTGCAGAGGCTCTGAGCAAGTTTGCTCCCCAGCTCTGGACCTCGCTTGCCAGTTATTGATTTCAAAAGACCTCATACATGTACACAGTGCATCACAGTGCTGGAATGGGCTGCAGGCTTGCTCGAGAGGTGCGACAAGCAGATCTTTCAGCCAAGACGAGAAGTATGGCCTTCCAATCCAAGTGGCTTGGCAAAAGTCTTATTGTTTTTGCTTAGGCCATTCTCTTCATGTTTTGAATATATTTGACAGTTTGTGATATTGAAAAAGTCTGATTTGGATTGGGGCAGCAACCGAGATCGGCTTCGTGCCTTGATAGGTTTCAATTGCACGATGTCCACATGGCACGTCTCGTCGAAGAGCGCCTGCGCCTCAATGGACACAGACTGGACACAGACTGGACACAGACTGGACACAGACTGGACACAGACTGGACACAGACTGGACACAGACTGGACACAGACTCAATATGGCTACCCATGGCTACGCCTCCTTGTTCTGTTTCGTTATCACACCGAGGTCTTCGATTACCACTGGACATCACAGATTTACCGCTAGAAGAAGAGAGGACAGAATCGGACACAATGGAGAGGATGGGGAGGGTGCAAACGAACAAATCACAGACGCAGCTATAAGTCAGAGCAGCTAGATGTCTGAGTTCTGCGTTCCTTTCAGTTTCTTGTTCTATTTGGATCTATTAGGAGTTCACAGCTCCGGCGCTGGAGATTGAAGAAAGCCCGTGCGCACGACAAGCTCAATTTCATGCTGCCTGAAATGAAAAGGCAAATGGAGTTTCCTCATGTTCCCTTTGAGTCTGGAAGTTGCGCTGAGTTATGAGAGCATGCCACAATTACGAATACAATTACTTCCTGTTCCGTTTTGCCAGGCAGGAGTTGAAGGAGATTGAGTTTTCCGTGTTGCAAGCTGCGGATCGCAAGGCAAGAGATTGGTGCACCGCTGGAAATCCTTGGGCACGGGATGGCACGGGTGTAGACTGAACAGGACATCGGGTAACCAATTTTTGCGTGTCATTCTGTGCCACTTTCAGCTTGCATTCTAGGCGGCAGCGACACAGAGAAGAACTCGAAAGTTTGCGATTAGAGCCACACCAGGCTCTGGAGAGCCTGCATGAAAAACAGATTTGAGACAAAGAGACTGCATAGTTCTTTTTTTCTTTTCCTGTCGGCCTTTTATAAGATTTCACACCAGAAAGTGTATGAACACACACGGCACAAAGTTAGGATCTGGAACCGGTCCAAACCACCAGAAGTGATAGACATGAGCACTTGTGTCGATAAGGTATGGCACACCGTCCTGCAGCGTAGTAAGAGGGGTCAAAAGAGTGAAGTGCTCGTAGCTTGTGCTGTTGAACCAGATTTTGCAGGCCAATTTGAGCAGTTCAGCTTCACCCACATCATTAACAGCTTAAACTGCAAGTTAAAGACGTATTGACTTGGTTGGAATGACTACATAGCTTGACTGTTATGAGCACTTCAGAAAATAGCAAAAACATACAAAAACAGTAATCTAGCAATCACAGAAACTTGCTGCGCACCACAAAACGCTCTCGCTATGCTCTCGTTGCGATAGAGAAGGGAAGCTGCTACTTGCAATTGCCCACGCGTTCACGCAACATGAGCCCATTGTTGTTTGAATGTGTGAGGTGACTCTTCGACCTTTCCGAATTCTTTGTCCTCAATTTTGCCATCAAGCATGCACAAGTGACACATTCCTGACTCCGGCGTCACAAGGGGACTTTGACCCGACTCCATCAAGTGGACGGGTGTCCAAATTGTGGTGCTCAGACGACCCAGCTGTGTCCTTAGTAATTCACAAAAAAGCCTTGAAGCGCCAGGATCAGCAAGGAAAAAAGACGAAGATGGAGCTGGGGTTGATTTTTGCCTGCAGCAGAGGGTTTTGTTTTGGAATTATATTAATCCCCATTCCAACGGCTCGTTCCAACTTATATGGTGTATTTAAAGATAGCTCAAGGGCGGCCTGGCCTGCGGGCTGCGGAGCTAGTCTAAAATGCATGTTTAAATCGAATGTTTAGAAGTTCCCCGGCCTTTCCGACTGTTTTGTTGACTGGCGACCCATAGTGTAAGCACTCTAAATTTCTATTTTAGGATGCAGGGACGTTGACGGTGAACTCTTACTTATCAATCTATAGTGAGAAGATCATGGAAACATTTCTGAAGGAACAAATCGCAGATGGCACATACTGGAGAACCTAATGGCGAAAGCCAGGGCACTGACGAAAGTTGCGTGAATGATTGCGACGGATACACTCGTGACATTTCTTCTGCACTAGACATCCATGAAAATGATTGAAACATATTGAACAATATTCTGTATCAAAAAATATGTTCAATATCATTCGGTGTATGCAGAATTATATTGATAGGTTTGATAGGTTTGATAGCATCCATATATCATTCTGTGGATGGGGATCTACCCATTGCGAGATCTCACAATGGGTTGTCACAGAACCTCATCTGCAGGGCTTCTCCGCGGGCACGTCTGTTTCAGTTCACAGACAGGCAAAACTACACACTATACAATATATATATACGTATATACACATGTATGTATGTATATATTATTCTATATAGCAATTGATACATACATATTGTATAGATCCACACATACTGTAAAACATATGTCAATACATATTCGATGAATTGGACGCGCCTTCCTGGATGGCGCTACGCTGTGGCGGCACTTTCTGCCGATCAACTCCTACAAGCAGCTCAGCTTCTGCTTAGCAGATTCTTGGGAACTAAGTGTGACAGACTTTAGCCACTGTAACGTTTCGGATCCAATAATCAAATACACTGTGAAGGATTTACCCCAAGGCACGGCCCAATCAGAGAGTGAATCAACAAGACCAGGGAAAATTGAATGAGCAGCCATTTGATGAGGACCGACGGAAGTATGGTTGCCAGGCTGGTGGCAGCACCCGAAGCAGGAACAACAACTACATGGACTTCTTGTAGCCATTCCTTGTAGCTATCCCTCCCATAGCGACTTCACTGTCTTCGAAATGCAAAGTCTCTAAGGCAATGTGTCAAGATGTGTCAAGGTGTGTGAATGTGGCTGCGTGGCTCTAAATCTTGCTGTAGGACATTTGTCCAAGACGAAAGGGTGCAGTGCCAGACGTACTCACCTTGCATTGCAATGACTGGCGACATCTTCATCGACATTGTAGCCCCAGTCAAAAAACTTCCTCTTTGGGTTTCCTGGCTGCGGAAGTTGCTCAACACCAAAGGGCTGACAGCCTTGAGCAAAAGGTTCAGTCATATGAGTCATATGAGTCATATGAGTCATATGAGTCATATGAGTCAGACAGAGTAATCTTCAGTAGCTGATAGTGGCTGAAGACTCGCCTGCTGTTGCAAGAGCGTTCTTTTTTCTGCGCACACCAAGAAAACGCCAAGGATTCTGATGTTGAGGCCGAGAGTGTTAAGATGGTTCCAGGAGGCAGCGCACTAAATCAAGGCCGTCATCTTCATGCCTTGGGAATGGCTGTTCGCTTCGTTGGAGCAGTGCGGGACTGAAAAAGAGTTGAGACTGAGACTTCTCTTTTCTTTCTTTCTTTCTGTCTCTCTCTCTGACAGCTCTTTCCTTTTAATTCCAAGCTGAGTCTTGAAACCTTTGAAGCGACCAGACAAAAGATTGGATGCACGCGATCATTGTTTGTGTCTCTTTAGTTCACGGTCATCATTCCACTCCAACGAGAGGACTCCTTGAGACCCCTGGGGCCCTTATTTGACGGCGACAGTACAATGTGACAAGTAATGCCTGCATTCCAAAGGCAGATTCGTTGGATTCAGGGTCAAACTTTCCGTCAAGTGCCGCTAAGGTTGGGAAAGATGCCATGGGCCAGTCCTTGCTTGAGCAAATCTCAGGGCAGGGCTTCCCGACGGACACGATCAAGATGTTCAGCAATTTACCATCGTCAGTTTGTATTGTTCTTTCTGGTCCTGCTGATCGTGCCTTTGTTTCTTGCTACTCCACTACGGATGCCTTCACAACGCGGGATCTTCGAGAGCAAGCCCGAAGCTCAATGAGATAACATGACACTGCCTCCTCAGAAGCTTATTCATGTCTCATGCAGCTTTTCTGGCGAATTTTGGTTGTAGACTGACGGACACATTCTGGAAGTGCAGGCTAAGCTATTGGAAGGATGCACTCATTTCCATCTTGGAGGATATTTCAATATGAAAGGAGAGGCATTGATTTGGAAACGCTTATCGTTGACCTCTTTCGCTCTTGGCGCTTTTGATTTTGATTCAACTCTATCTCTCTCTCTCTCTATCTCTCGTTGTTAAATTGTTGCCAGTTTGAAGTTTTCCATTTACATGAGTTTCTATGAGCCACTTGTCAAGCATGGTCGTTTCTAAGAATTGTAGTCTCAAGCTTTCATCACCGTTTCTAACATCTTCTATTCTTGCAGGACTTCAGACTCATGAATTTACTGAATTTGTGCGAAGTTGCCGCCAACGCAATATGACAGTGTCGCTGAACACCCAGTTCTTAGCTGAGAACCGGACATGTTGAATAGACACCAGAGAACACTGAGAATGGAGAACACATATGGTTCTTGGCAACTCGAGGTGTTGTGCTGCTGGTCATTGGTGTGGAGAGGACAACCACTTGGCAGAGTTGCTGGAGAATGTGGATTTGCTCTTTGCACCATGGCTGACTACTGTTGTTGTTTGACTCGGTATTTGTTTTGTTATTCAACACGTCAATTTGAAGTCATTGGACAAGTGAAATGCCATTGGCTCGTGTGATTGAGGTCAACGTTTCTGAAGGAGAACACATTTGCGCAGCCCTGTGTGCTGACACGGACCATTCAATCCATGCTTTGCCGGGAGCCTCAGAAGACTCAGTGCCAGATGTGTCAGAAAATCGATGTCCTGACTGTGCAATGCAATGCACTGAATTTCAGCGATGTAATCCCCGGCCAAGGTGCAAGAGGTATCCAGAGCTCATGGTAGTGGAAGCCCCAGTGTATCCAGCATTATGGCATCCAGCTACTTCTGTATGGCTTGCCATGGCTTGCCATCAATGGTCCTCACTGACTTCAGCTTTGACTTGCCATACTGTTCCGACAAGGTAATTACTCAAGGCGCTCATGGCTGCACAGTCTATCGACAAGGTATGTCGGCGATCTATGTGCCAGCCAAGCAGACCAGCATCTAATTTGCAGAAAATCTGACATTCAAATGTGACATTCAAATATGACATTCAAATGTGATTTAAAACGTGTATTCAATCATCCTCAACCTGTCTTGATTTCACTTCTCGACATCACCACACACATGACATCATCACGTAGGATCACTTTCCATTCGTTTGGCATCTCCCCACTTAGGAGTCGTTGACGCAACTGGAGCTGGGGATGCCTTCATTGCTGGCTTTTTGTCGTCCTTGCTCTCGCAACCCATTCCAAAGCATTCCGATTTGGAACACAAGGACATCCTGGGCATTTCTTGGGCATTTCTTGGGCATTTTTTCTCGGGCATTTCTTGGGCATTCCTACTTTGCTGCCTGAATGAAAGCTGCATTGTAGATCTCTTACCCTGAGGCTTTGGTCGATGCGTGCATGAAAGGTCATGCAGTAGCTTCTGTTTGCTTGGGCAGAGAGGGAGCATGTGTGGAACCAGTTCGACCTCGAGCGCCTAGGTTGCATGCGACTAGTAAAATCCGTTCATATTTTGTTTCTATTTTCAAATATCCCTTCCATCATCTTCCATCTCTTCTTGCAGTATCCTTCAGTTTTTGGTCGTCTTGGTGTGACAGACCCTTTGCGGCGTGTACTTGCTTTTCGAAGTCAGGATCTGGAGTAGTCAATGATAGCTGAACGCCCGTTGGACCCGTTGGAAGTGAGAAGGGCCACAGCAAGAAGTACGCCACGTGGAACGTTTGCAAACTTGCGTTGAAGCTCCTCGCTACGAAGTTGGCCCTGGCGTGACCTGTCTCTCATTGAAGCTACGCTCTTGTCCTCTGGCGTCAGGAGCAGAACCAGATGAAACCACCTACAGATCTCCCTTTGTAGAAGTGCCCGCCTGTTGGAAAAAAGTCGGGTACCCTTTGACCAGACTTGTTCCTATGGTTTTGGTCAAACAGGGATGCCACTTGACCATGGAACATGCACTGGTGCTATTGTGCCCTGGCCAGTCCAATTCTGTATGTATAGTCTCAAGCTTAAACATCTTGGCACATCTTGGCACAATCACTTCCCATGCCAATTCCATCTAAGCTCCCTCACGACGTCGAGATATGGTTGCAGCGACTGAAAGAGTTTCGGACTTCACTTCCCCATCAAACTAAGGGCATGACGACTTAGTGACTAAGCATGTATTTGCTGCGGGTCTTCACCAAAGATACGACAGCTGGAAGAAACAATATGAACCAATTACAGAATGATGCATCGATGCTTTTTCAGTCTCACGTGTTAAGAGGCCACACCCTTAACATATCAGGTGCAATGGTGTCGTCCATTGGCTCACACAAACACAGGCAGCCAAAAGACTGACGCATGCTATCCGCACATTGGTATCACATTGACACTTATAGGGTTGCGGTGAAGTGGCCATGCCATGACGCGCGCAGCCGCTTGGCAGCAACACTTCCAAAAGAGCTCCCTAATCTGTCAGACTTAGTGGATTCCAGCGGACTAGGAAATCTGCTGAAGCTTTTGCCAGGTTGGCTGATACTGGAACGGTGCATCTACCGATGGTGGTGTCACCAGCGCCGGAACCCCAAGAACTGAATGACAGTTCTATTCAGCGTGGACTTGTTATATCTTGTAACGACTGAGAAGTCGAAATGCTGTAAGGTGACAGTACCTGATGGCAGCTACTATCAGTTACTATCAAAGAAAACGATGAGTGATTCCGTAGCTTCCTATCAGACAAGGCCGGCCCTTACAAATTCCAAGCACGCTGCTCGAGAAAGCAAGGAGGCTGCATGCTCAGAATCTAGATGCAGCTGGAGCTTGTTGGCCTGACATTATTTCCCTCGCACAAGATTTGAAGACGCAACATAGTTTTGAGCCTCTGATTCCAGAAAGGAGTCCCTTTCAGCCCACAAGACGCAAGAGGAATCAAGTCTAAGAGGTATACAGTATACAAATTCATACGAAACAAAGTAAGTTGCTCAACGGTGCATCTGTTTCATCAATTTATTTTACACCCACACAAAAAGCTCCAGCGCAGCACACGAGTTATTGACGATATTGTATGGTATAGATAGTTGGCATTTTTGAGCTGGTGGTTTTGAGTCTGCAGATAATACAGTGTGGCACAGGAAAGGGTTGATCAAAGCACTGTCTTTACCTACCTTCATTATACCCTCAAGTACGAGCTACCTAGAATGGGTACCCCTGGAGGGGTCGACCACAAGGTTCTAAAATCATCCCCTGGGATGATTGTAGAACTTTACCCCTTATGATTTTAGAACCCTATATGTTGTCACATATATATATATATAGATAGATAGATAGATAGATAGATAGATAGATTTAATATATATATATACCTTATTCAAAGCCAACTTTTGACATCTTCCCACATGTCCTCAAAGATCAGCCAACACTACATAGAGAAAAAACATCTCAGAACCTCTTGGGTCAAGAATATTATTGTTTTTTTTTTTTAATATATATTTTTTTGAGTGTTGGAAGTTCCCAACTTCAAACCCTTTCAAACCAAAGCACTCTCATGGCCCTTGCAGGTCTCATACACATAGCTTGGGGTCTCAGATCATATCTTCCCACATGTCCTCAAAGATCAGCCAACACTACATAGAGAAAAAACATCTCAGAACCTCTTGGGTCAAGAAGATTATTATTTTTTGTAATATATATTTTTTTGAGTGTTGGAAGTTCCCAACTTCAAACCCTTTCAAACCAAAGCACTCTCATGGCCTTTCCAGGTCTCATACACATAGCTTGGGGTCTCAGATCATATCTTCCCACATGTCCTCAAAGATCAGCCAACACTACATAGAGAAAAAACATCTCAGAACCTCTTGGGTCAAGAAGATTATTATTTTTTGTAATATATATTTTTTTGAGTGTTGGAAGTTCCCAACTTCAAACCCTTTCAAACCAAAGCACCCACATGGCCCTTGCAAGTCTCATACACATAGCTTGGGGTCTTAGATCATATCTTCCTTCATGTCCTCAAAGATCAGCCAACACTACATAGAGACAAAACATCTCAGAACCTCTTGGGTCAAGGATATTTTTTTAAAAAATATTTTTTTTTGAGTGTTGGAAATTCCCAACTTCAAACCATTTCAAACCAAAGTACTCACATGGCCCTGGCAGGTCTTATACACATAGCTTGGGGTCTCAGATCATATCTTCCCACGTGTGCTCAAAGATCAGCCAACACTACATAGAGAAAAAACATCTCAGAACCTCTTGGGTCAAGAAGATTATATTATTATTATTTTTTTTAAATATCCTTTTTTGAGTGTTGGAAGTTCCCAACTTCAAACCCTTTCAAACCAAAGCACTCTCATGGCCCTTGCAGGTCTCATACACATAGCTTGGGGTCTTAGATCGTATCTTCCCACATGTCCTGAAAGATCAGCCAGCACTACATAGAGAAAATAATCTAAAAACCTCTTGGGTCAAGTTTTTTTTTAAAATATTTTTTTTGAGTGTTGGAAGTTCCCAACTTCAAACCCTTTCAAACCGAAGCACTCACATGGCCCTTGCAGGTCTCATACACATAGCTTGCGGTCTTAGATCATATCTTCCTTCATGTCCTCAAAGATCAGCCAGCACTACATAGAGAAAAAACATCTCAGAACCTCTTGGGTCAAGGATATTTTTTTAAAAAATATTTTTTTTGCGTGTTGGAAGTTCCCAACTTCAAACCATTTCAAACCAAAGTACTCACATGGCCCTGGCAGGTCTTATACACATAGCTTGGGGTCTCAGATCATATCTTCCCACGTGTGCTCAAAGATCAGCCAACACTACATAGAGAAAAAACATCTCAGAACCTCTTGGGTCAAGAAGATTATATATATATTTTTTTTAAATATCCTTTTTTGAGTGTTGGAAGTTCCCAACTTCAAACCCTTTCAAACCAAAGCACTCTCATGGCCCTTGCAGGTCTCATACACATAGCTTGGGGTCTCAGATCATATCTTCCCACATGTCCTCAAAGATCAGCCAACACTACATAGAGAAAAAACATCTCAGAACCTCTTGGGTCAAGAAGATCATTATTTTTTTAAATATATATTTTTTTGAGTGTTGGAAGTTCCCAACTTCAAACCCTTTCAAACCAAAGCACTCTCATGGCCAGGTCTTATACACATAGCTTGGGGTCTCAGATCATATCTTCCCACATGTCCTCAAAGATCAGCCAACACTACATAGAGAAAAACACATCTCAGAACCTCTTGGGTCAAGAAGATTATTTTTAAAAAAATATTTTTTTTTGAGTGTTGGAAGTTCCCAACTTCAAACCATTTCAAACCAAAGCACTCACATGGCCCTTGCAGGTCTCATACACATAGCTTGGGGTCTTAGACCATATCTTCATTCTATTGCTAGGTTAAGACTGGATCTCAGAACCCCTGTTGCTAGGTCAAGATTTGATCTCAGACCCCCTAACGTACCACTTGTTTCAGGAGGTGCAAAGTTCTGATATCTAAGTGGTGGTTTTCTAAAAGAATATGATTTCAGATACCCCAAAAGGTTCTATAATGCTGTGTCCAGGGTCCCTGGCTCGTAGTTGAGGGTATCCTTCATTCACATTCACCACGAAGACCCTGCAAAACTAAAACAACAAAAGACCACTCACATGACCTATATGTCAACTTGGACCTGAGAAAGACAACAATGCCTTCTAAAAAACTTGACACTGTCGCATTGACAAGTCCTTTGTTTGTATTGTATATGCTGCTAGTGAGTGCAAATTGATTTTCAGAGGTAAACATGGAGAAAGATGGAGACAGTATATCATCAGACAGACTGACTTTGTGCAAGATGCCAAAATTCTAATACTCATACTTTTGTATCAGGGTATTGGCAGCAGAAATTCACCAGTCAAAAATGTTCCAATGCTTAAGCGATCTGTAAGTGTTGCAGAATTTGACAGTGGGCACGCGGGCACACACACACAAATCAGATCAATTCATTTCTGACGTGAAATGTGCAATTCTGTGCAATATGTTCAATATTCAAGGAGGACTTGCGTGATGCTTTACAGAGCTAGATGCCAAGCTACAAACATCAGTAGATGGCAGTAGTCTATCTAGTTTTTTTCTTTCTCCAAGAGCCTTGAGGGTAGGAAGAAGACCTGTGGCCAAAGTTCGAGGCTCTCACCATGATTTCGTATCAGTAATCTGCAGCATTCGTTTCACCTAATTATTTTCGACTTGGAATTGGTCAGCTGGCATTCCCATCAACACCAAGGCGCTAGCGGAGCTCAAAACAAAGCTCGAGTTCGCACTGAGTCGACTCAATGACCAGGCAATCTCAAAGAGCAGCTAGTGCTTGTGTTATCCGTTGTTATCTCGTATTCTTGCGAAGGATCTGAGACGGTTTGTCAAGCTCTCTTCTTTGCTTAGGATACACAACGTACTGGCATTGAAGAGATTCGCGAGCCGCTGCCTTGGTACAGTCGTTACTCTTTGAAACTGCTTGGGATGCTTGTGTTTACACTTTTTTCATCCTTTTTCATCCTTTTTCATCCGTTTTCATCGTTTTTATGCTTTGCAGTGTTGCTTCACTCTGAGCCCCTCCCAGATTCCTCCAGACGCTGTACCCGGACTGGTGTGGACCTGGGAACCGGAACAGAAGCGTGAACTTGCAAAGCAAACCAGAATTAGGAAGCAAAAGAAGCTCATTTGTCACTGCATGCTATGCATGGAAGAGCCAGAAGATGCCAGAAGCAACCCTAAGGTTCCCCATGGTTATCGCGTGCATTGGTGAGGCCAGCTATTGAACTGGCACTCTAGGGGATGCGAAAAGGGGAGAGTGCAGGATTGATTCAACATATTTCAATATCAAAGCGATTCATGCAGTGACCCACTTTGCCGTCATTTGAACTCTGCACCAGGCGGGCACAAATTTAAAGCCGCTGGGCCGCTGCGAAAGCACATTCCTCAGTGGGCACTGCTCAGGTAAACTTCTGCTTGAAAAAAGTTTCGCGGTGTTGTCATGACATTTGTTGGCAAGCGTTCAAAATCTTTCAAAATCCGATGGTTTTGACATGTTTTGACATTGATGAATCGGTTGAGAAGTGGAATGAAGTGGAGGCGTAAAACTGCTTGGCCTCTTGGCGGAGCTCCATGGAGATGCAGCAAGCAACTCAGAGGCTGCCAGACCTGGCAGACGAGTTCAGGACGACAATGTCGACAATGTCGACAAGTCCGAAAACTATGGAAAACTAGAGCGAAAAGTCAAGTTTTCTCCAGAGCCTTGGACAAAACAGCTTTGCAAACAAATTTGAACGGTTTCAGAAGATTTCTGTTTTTGATATCTTTTTCATTCTTTTTCCAAATCCACCGGAACCATGATGTCATGGCTAGTTCACAAGCCTTAGAACTTAATTACATAGCCTTACCCAAACGTCAATCATTTGCCAAAGCACACCAACGCGTCCAATGGAAGCAAGAAGCCGGATCAAGCCATTAAGCAATCTGCAAAGTCATCAAGCCGCTGACAATCCTGACAGTAGGGCCTACTGACTTCTACTGTATCAAGCCTTTGGCATCCTTTGGTTCTGTACACAACGGATCTATTGCGTCCTTTTGGCATTTTTTTTGTCTGATTTTCAACAGCTGGTTTTTATTTGCTGCCTAAGGTCATTCCACTCTTGCAGCGAATGCTCCAAGTTGTGCTGACGCGCCTCCAGGTTATCAGATGTTATCAGCTTGACTGGCATTTCCATGTGATGAAAAAGCCACTGCTTTGTTGCGCAGGATGCTGACTTGCATTTGCGAGAAGCATGCGCTGAGACTGTACCGAACTTGAGTCAACAAGGGAAAATATGTCCACGATCATGTCGAATTCTTGTTTAATGCCGTTAATGCCCTGTGTTTGAAGACTTCTATGAACTGTTGCAACTTAGTGGATGTGAGGTCTTCAGGCTAACGCGCTCACTTGTCGTAGATGTCAGCCTGGCATGTTTTTCGCTGTAAGACAAGCAAAGTGTGACAAAAGGTCAATAGAGAGTGGTGCTGTTGGAAGTTTTGCTGTGAAGGCAGATGGTTCACCCGTGTTTGCAACGCTCCTGAAGCCACTTTTCGCGGCTTTGACGGAGCACAACAAATGGGTCAGCCCCTTTTGCTGTTTTTTCGATTTCTGCCTTCCTTTGCCACTGCTGTCAGTGCTGCACAGTCTCGAGCATACCCTTAGATTTCTTGGTGCCAATTCAAAGCACAGCACTGAAGTTAATACAGTAACTTCTCAATTGAGCCTTGCTGAACAAGCAGCGTGTTCCTTCCCAGGTCCCAAGGTTGATGGTGTCTGCTGCTTTTCCTTGTCATGCCATGGCCCTGACTTCTTGGAAGGTACAAATTGGAGCTGCATCGTGCATTTGCGCAGTGATCCAGGCATAAGCATGCCACTGAAATGGACACTTGACTCAGCGCAGCGATGTTTGGCAAGTGGATACCAAGCTGACGTGATGTTTGCTTATGATTGTGATTTCAGAAACAGCTGCCGTTGCACCAGGGTTCTCCACCGGCTGTGCTATCTGAAAACCTTCAACGTTTGTGTTCGCGATTGGCCAGAGCCCCAAACAGACACTAACTGTTACAGCAAAGCAATGGATGGCCTAGGGTTGGTCACAACATCATGCGAACCGCCATTGCTGAAGTGCATCAGGGCGGGCTGTTTCGTTGAGCCCCACTAGACTCTCCAAGGTGCAGCATTTAAGTCTTCCACTGGCAATGGCCCGTCCCCAACTCTTGAGCGCGTGCATACATGTCATGCAGGCGCAAGAAACATCAAGAAACGGCAAATGATCTACTGAAATCCAGCCAGCAAACTCCTGTGAATTGTTGTGAGTTATTATGAATTTGAAGCGCAGGGGTGCTGTATGGTGCTGTGCAGGCTGTCAGTTTATCGGAGTTTGACGATGTGTTGCCGTCCTTGATGCCATGCCACTGCCTTGGTTTTGTCTTTGCTATTCGTATCCCATATCTTGTTGTTCGTCAACTTCGCACTTGGAGATGCTACTTGTGGTGCTGTTGGTGCTGTTGCTTCTCCTTTAGTTTTCAGCCTCGCACATGCTTTGTAAGGCCTGGAGATATGCTTGAACTCAACAGCAGACTGGCAGACTAGGAAACAGGCTGACTGACCCATGTTGCATATGTCAACAGGGAGATAGCCTCAGGATCAGGTATTATACAGACTTGTGCAAATCTATTGCATACATTCTGTAATTGTGCACTATTGTACATTTAGTACATTTTTTACATTAAAGTTATATTATATTATATTCACATCATATACCGTAATAGTACGTAATATTCATATTACTTTCCTGCCCATCTTGTCTTAGTTTGGCTATTCTGTGCAGAGGGTCCTGAGCACGGGCCCGCGCAGGCAGTGGAGGTCTTGCAGGCTCTTGGAGATCAACTGGAGCTGGGGCAGTCGTTGCAAATTCCCCTGCCAGTTGATCCGTGGTGTCCCCAATGATCGTTGGCTCGAGCATGACTTAAGAATGACTCAAGTCAAGAATTTCATGGGCAATCATGAACATGAATTGAACATGATAATTATTATCTGATTATCTGATAACGATCCTGATACCTTCCAACATCTTCCAACTTTTGACATTCAGGTCGGTTCACCCAACTCCTTTCCAGAAGAAGCTGTCCACAATGATGGACAGCCTGCGGGAGGACAAGGCTAACTTTCGCTTCACATTCACCAGCCTGCAAAGAAACACATGATATCGTCTGAAAAAGCGTGACAAGACGTAGGAGTATGTGATGACGTGGTATATAATATATATATAGATAGACATAGATATAGGATTATTAAGGATATAAGTATATACACATGTGAATTGCTTATATACTGTATATATATATATATATGTTGTCAGGTGAGAGCTGTGCGGGAAGCAGCAAAAGATGTGCTGGTGCGCTGGTGCATCACCAAGGCACAGAGCTCAGTCATTGTGGGGATTGGAGATGAGATGAACAGATCCTTCTAGCCATGCCAATCCGTACCAACCTAGAACCATGGCAGTCTCACCATGGTGCACCTATCCCCTTGAACCTGTTGAGCCACTCAGTGCTTCAACCGGTTTTATGTGGAACAAGCTACAAGGCTGCGCCGTCTTCTGTTTCAGTTGGTTCCGGAGGAGATTCTGCAAGAAACTAGCCACACAATGCCACAGGATGCCAAAGAAAGAAATACTGTGTGCATTGAATCGAGTATCACTTTCACACACTTTCACATTCTTTCCAACTTTTGCCAGGAGAGAGGGCTGAAAAGTAAACTGCTCAGTATGTGCACAGAGGGTCTGCTTCCCCGTTTGGTTTCAGAAATGCTTCATGCCGTGCATTGGAGGTCACCAAACTGTCGCACATTGATCTGCTGATTGACACTTTTTTTGAACCAATATGTCAGCTGAATCTGTGGGAATCTTTGACTGTGCTATGCTGTGCTGCAGTCCTGAAATTCAAGTTGTCAGAGTCTACTCTTGGAAGGCCTCTACGCTCTAGCAGCCCTTGTGCAGTGCCACTCCTAGCACAGAGTGGCAGCACTTTGACAATTTGAAAGCAGGAAGCGCCCGAGAACGATGCACGACGGAGCTGCCTCCAAAATCATCCAAAACCTCCATCCACAGAGACAGACCTTGCGAGACAAGTCGTAGTCATACTGTACATACTTCGAGAATCTTCAAGACTTCCAGTGGTCCAGTGAAGTCCATGGAACGAAGACTTTTGGAACGATGCATTGTAGTCTAGGCGCAGTTTGCTCCTGAGCGCGAGGCTGCGCATGGGTTCGGGCTTAGAGTACGGTAAAGACTATCATGAAGGGATTGTATGATATTGTATGGAAAAAGACAGAAAAACATCATTATTGACTCATCGAGCATTAAGCAATACAAAGCGTCTGTGTGTTGCAGTTTTAAAAGCAGGAATCTCCGGAATCTCCGGAATCTCCTTTGTTTCACCTTAAAGACAATCGATTTGCTCTTGTCACTCTTGTCCTTTGCTCATGCCAGGCTCAGGGTGGTCAGCCTGGCCTGAGTGGCCTGAGAGTATCTGTATCCGTGCCTGGAAGGCCGCAATTATCATGAATTACCATGAATTATCATGAATTATCATGAATTCTGTTGGGAACTGCTATCCGAAGCGCCGTAAACATGTCCTGCCTTGCAGGTCGACGAGCCCCGGCCCAGCGTCTTGGGATCGCGATCAGGCATAAATGAAGAGAATCTGACAAGCTGATATCTCTCGATCATATCTCTGTCACTCTTTTGTCTTTGTCTTTGTAAAGAATCTTGGATCTTTGTTCTGTGACAGAACTGATGGAGAGGAATTACGAATTTGCCCTGTTTTTTTTTGGCATGCAGGCCAGACTTAATGAGTCGACGACAGGAGGCTGGTATTTCAACCAGAACTGTGCTATCCTCTCAGTGAATGCAAATTCCGATGAGTGTAAATTTTTTAAATCGATGCCAAACTCAAAAATCCTAGCATAATGGAAAGAGCAAATGTGACAGCGAGAGTGAGAGGGAGAGCGAGAGAACGCAAAAGAGAGAACAGATGAATGAACTGGAATGGATCGGAGGTGGAAGAGCTCGCAATGTGCCCGCTGGCATGTTTGAATTCTTGGGCTTCTGTCTGACAGGTCATGCATAGGCCATGCCAATGATAGCAAGCTGATTCTGAACGGAGACAATATGGAAGAACCTGTCATTTTAGGTACAACGAAACATTCAACAATAGTGACATCCAATTGGATTCTAACATATTCTAACAGCTGTTGGTCTCGCCGTTCTTTGAACAGATCATTGTTTGCAAGGAAAGCGGCTTGAGTTGGAAAAAGGTTTGCACTTACGAAATGCAGGTTCGGCCTCCACCTCGAGAACGAGACTCGGGCCACATGGAGGCATGCCCATTGCCACTGCTGGTGTCGCTGCAAGTGCCACTGCAGCTATGGCGGTTTCTTCTATTCCTTTTTCAGTTGTTGTTGCTGACCTTGACCTTGTCCGATGTTTGCTATTGGCTGTTTGGACTGTTAATGACTGTTTGTTTAATCGTTGAATATTTGCTGCTGCTCCTGCTGTTGTTGTGGTGGTAGTGATGGTGATGTGGCATCTGCGGCTTTGTCTTCGTTGTCAACATCTCCGTCACCATGGGTCAACAAGTCATGAGGTATGCTTTCAAACTCTGGTAACTACGTTACTCGATAGGTGTGACGAAACTTCATTCATACTTTTTCTTGATTTGGTTCGGTTGAAGTGTGCATTTGCTTGGTTGATTTCCAGTCTGTGAGGAAGAACGATCATTCGACCGAATGGAAGAGAGGAGGTGCCCAAGAAGCTGTTCGGACCTTTTTCCGGGCAGTGGCAGTCACCTGTGTCTAAAAAGCATCCCTGAACTTCCAAAATGGGGCACACATGGGCACACCAAATGCTGTTGAAAGTTGTGGAAGAAACCAGTGTAGCTACAAAATGTTACGGAAAAGGTTTGCCAGTTCTTGCTGGACTCATGATGAGAAGGCAGTCCCGTTTGTAAACGTGTTTTTTTGAACCATCATTTCGCTCTCATTCAGAGATGTTTTTTTTTTGATTTTTTATATATGCCTTTTGACATTTGAAAGCAATGATAAAACATCGTACTCATATTCTTAACAACTTTTTTCTAAACTAAGACCTGAGAACTTTCGGATTCAACTTTGAATATGACTTGGATAGGAATGAGGATTTAGGAAAGTGAGCTTGGTGTGTTTCAGATAGAGGATGTAAAGGATGCTTTTCCTTTACTTTGCTGAAAGAACACGACTCAGGCACAAGAACATACGTACACCTCTACTGTACCCTTCAATCCATGTGTCACTATAGCGAGTCAATATGTTTTTTCGTCCACAATTGCAAGACACGTGCGAGATGAACATTCACTATGTAGATCATCAGAGTCTGCTGACGCTGCATGTTTTCCACGTAAGATATTGACAGTAGTGTTGAAGTGAATGGCCTTTTTTTTTTCAACATCAGCAAACTATCTGCTCCACTATTAAGCTGCATAGAGAGGGTCCAGCTTTGCTTTCTATAGCTTCTGTGTTTGATTTTTCTGGTAGCTGTTGATGATCGGCCAATGATGGTGGTTATACTTGTGGTATTGTCATGTATTGTTAAAGTAGAAAGCAGACCTCCTTGGAACAACTCCACAAATAAATTCTTCTATGTGCTAGGGCACGCGGGTTTTTGAGTGCTCACAAGCAGACTCGACTACAGTATCCACTTTGTCAAGACATAATATGAACTGTGGAAACACGGATTCGTTGAGAAGCGCATGAAGCATGTTACATTCCATTTCAGATTTTCAGGTCAGTCTTTGTAGATCAAATTATTGATATGAGGGTAGAACAACAGCAACCACAGATCAAGCAGCTGTCGGAACCGGATTACTTTTTCGAGATTCAGAAGCAGTTGACCTGTGGAAGTTGCACTGGTTCTATCCACAAGTTCATTTTGCAGTGGAGTCAATAGTTGAGCTTGGGATCATTCTTTGATTGGCACAGGTGTAGTGATGCTGCAGCGGAGAAGGCATGGTTTTGTCTTGAGCTTGATGCTTTGCTTCCAGACTTTGCAAGGCCTGCGCACAATGTCAGGCTGCTCGCAATATTGCGGTCAAGAATGCGCTGAGCAATGCTGATCTCAGCAGCACCAAAAAGCCCAGGCTGACATCTGATGCAATTGAGATATGTTGAGTTTTAGACAGCATGAAGCAGCAAGACAAGAGGTGACAAGACCTGGTGTTCGAATGTGCTGAAGGCCGAAGCGTGAACGGGTGTCGATCTTCAGCGGACCAGCTAACTCGAGCTTTTTCCAATCAGCAGGGAGCCCGACCGATCTTTCTCCCATGAAGAGAGCTATGTGCCACATGATGTCCATAGGACCATAGGATTCCATCTGTGTAAAGATGTTTAAACTTCATTGCTGATCTTGAGGCCAACCAACATACCTCAACTACTGGCGCGGATGATGTCGAAGATGTTGTCATCATGCCATCTCCTCAAGAGGACGCCGCCAGTGCATTGGCTTTCAGTCGGCCAACGCTAGAGCGGCTAGGCCCGGCTAGGCTGTAAGATCTGTAAATTGAAATCACAAGACACACCGAGATCACCGAGGCACTTGATTTGTTCTCCTGTACCTGCTTCGCTGACAAGCCTTGGGGCCAGCATGCATGTACATCACACACACACACACCCTATGTGTGGCTGACTAAGTCATGAACGGTTCGCAAAAGTACCAGAACGATTTTAGGCAGTTTATTACTTGTGTTTTGCTGGGATTTGTTAGCTGATCGGCAGGACCGACTGCTGAGCTCTGGAGGAAGTGCTGAGATTGAACGCTCAGGCTGGCGGCACTGAAGCTGTTTTCAATTGTTTTCATATATTAGTTTCTATATATGGGAGCCGTCCAAAAACCCCAGAAAGGTTTTTAGTAAAGGACCTATTCTCGCATTTTTCCCATGGTCTAAAACCTGCATCGCGCAAGTTTCGCGCAAGGGCGGCCCAAGGTACGCGCAAGTACTATTGTTATCATTATTACAAGTACTATTTTTAGTTAACATTTTGATTACTACTACTACTACTACTACTACTACTACTACTACTACTACTACTACGACTACGACGACGACGACGACTACTACTACTACCACTACTACCACTACTACCACTACTACTACTACTACTACATTACCACTACTATTACTACTACTACTACTACAACTACAACTACAACTATTACTACTACTACTACTACTACTCTACTACTTACTCTACTACCTACTACTACTACCTACTACCACTACTACTACTACTATTACTACTACTACTACTACTACTACTACTACTACTACTACTACTACTACTACTACTACTACTACTACTACTACTACTACTACTACTACGACTACGACTACACTACACTACACTACGACTACGACTACGACTACCACTACTACTACTACTACTACTACTACTACTACTACTACTACTACTACTACTACCACCGTATCTGATTTAGATCTTAAATATTAATATCTCGAGTTGATAAACATAGATAACCAGGGTGGTAAATAGGCCATCCAAAGAAAAAGGAGCAGATAGATAGATAGATAGAATAGATAGATAGATAGATAGATAGATAATAGCAGCCAACGCGGTCCGGAAGACATGCAGCAGCAGTCCGGAGATGGTGAGCAGGAAGGTGTTTCAGAGTGGTTTCAGACCTCTTTTGGGCTTGTTTTTTGGGTACCCCCAGCTTTGGGAGATGAAAAAAGAAAGAGAAAAGGTAGAGAAAGAGAGAGAGAGAGAGAGAGAGAGAGACAGAGAGAGGAAGAGGGAAAGAGAGAGAGAGAGAGAAGATAGAGAGAGAGAGAGAGGAAGATGGAAGATGGAGACAAACAGAAGGCGAGAGAGAGAGAGAGAGAGAGACAGAGAGAGGAAGAGGGAGAGGAGAGAGAGAGCGTTGTAAATGGTGAGCAGCGGGGTGTTTCAGAGTGGTTTCAGACCTCTTTTTGTCCGTAGGCTACCTCAGCTTTGGAGAAAAAACAGGAAAGAACGGGAAAAGAAAGAAGAGAAGGGAGAAAGAGACAGAGAGAAAGAAGAAGTCTTGAGACGGTGAGCAGGAAGATGTGTCGAACTGGTTTCAGACCTCTTTTGGGGCCGGTTATGGGGCTACCTAGTTCTTAAGACATCCAAAAGAAGGGACTCAAAACAGATTGTACTTGAAACACATGCGGTCCGGAAAGACGTGCAACGGTCCGGAAAAGCAAGCACCCAAAACGTACTCTAATCGTAGCGATTGCGGTCCGGAAAGGCATGCAGCGGTCCGGAAAAGCGAGCACCCAAAACGTACTCTAATTGTAGACATTGCGGTCCGGAAAGATGAGCAGCGGTCCGGAAAAGCAAGCACCCAAAACGTACTCTAATTGTAGCCATTGTGGTCCGGAAAGACATGCAGCGGTCCGGAAAAGCAAGCACCCAAAACGTACTCTAATTGTAGCCATTGTGGTCCGGAAAGACCTGCAGCGGTCCGGAAAAGCAAGCACCCAAAACGTACTCTAATTGTAGCCATTGTGGTCCGGAAAGACCTGCAGCGGTCCGGAAAAGCAAGCACCCAAAAAGTACTCTAATTGTAGATATTGCGGTCCGGAAAGACGTGCAGCGGTCCGGAAAAGCAAGCACCCAAAACGTACTCTGAAACCACCCGCTGCTCACCATTTACAACGCTCTCTCTCTCCTCTCCCTCTTCCTCTCTCTGTCTCTCTGTCTCTCTGTCTCTCTGTCTCTCTGTCTCTCTCTCTCTCGCCTTCTGTTTGTCTCCATCTCTGTCTCGTGCTATCCTCTTTTCCCGACCGCTGCATGTCTTTCCGGACCGTAATGTCTTAGGTGCTTGCTTTTCCGGACCGCTGCACGTCTTTCCGGTCCGCGATATCTACAATTAGAGTACTTTTTGGGTGCTTGCTTTTCCGGACCGCTGCAAGTCTTTCCGGACCACAATGGCTACAATTAGAGTACTTTTTGGGTGCTTGCTTTTCCGGACCGCTACAGGTCTTTCCGGACCACAATGGCTACAATTAGAGTACGTTTTGGGTGCTTGCTTTTCCGGACCGCTGCATGTCTTTCCGGACCGTAATGTCTACAATTAGAGTACGTTTTGGGTGCTTGCTTTTCCGGACCGCTGCACGTCTTTCCGGACCACAATATCTACAATTAGAGTACTTTTTGGGTGCTTGCTTTTCCGGACCGCTGCAGGTCTTTCCGGACCGTAATGGCTACAATTAGAGTACGTTTTGGGTGCTTGCTTTTCCGGACCGCTGCAGGTCTTTCCGGACCGCGATATCTACAATTAGAGTACGTTTTGGGTGCTTGCTTTTCCGGACCGCTGCATGGCTTTCCGGGCCGCAATGTCTACAATTAGAGTACGTTTTGGGTGCTTGCTTTTCCGGACCGCTGCATGTCTTTCCGGGCCGCAATGTCTACAATTAGAGTGCGTTTTGGGTGCTCGCTTTTCCGGACCGCTGCATGCCTTTCCGGACCGCAATCGCTACGATTAGAGTACGTTTTGGGTGCTTGCTTTTCCGGACCGTTGCACGTCTTTCCGGACCGCATGTGTTTCAAGTACAATCTGTTTTGGGTCCCTTCTTTTGGATGTCTTAAGAACTATAGCCCCATAACCGGCCCCAAAAGAGGTCTGAAACCAGTTCGACACATCTTCCTGCTCACCGTCTCAAGACTTCTTCTTTCTCTCTGTCTCTTTCTCCCTTCTCTTCTTTCTTTTCCCGTTCTTTCCTGTTTTTTCTCCAAAGCTGAGGTAGCCTACGGACAAAAAGAGGTCTGAAACCACTCTGAAACACCCCGCTGCTCACCATTTACAACGCTCTCTCTCTCTCTCTCTCTCCTCTCTTCCTCTCTCTGTCTCTCTCTCTCTCTCTCTCGCCTTCTGTTTGTCTCCATCTTCCATCTTCCTCTCTCCCTCTCTCTCTCTCTATCTCTCTCTCTCTTTCCCCTCTTCCTCTCTCTGTCTCTCTCTCTCTCTCTCTCTCTTTCTCTACCTTTTCTCTTTCTTTTTCATCTCCCAAAGCTGGGGGTACCCAAAAAACAAGCCCAAAAGAGGTCTGAAACCACTCTGAAACACCTTCCTGCTCACCATCTCCGGGCTGCTGCTGCATGTCTTCCGGACCGCGTTGGCTGCTTTATCTCTATCTATCTATCTATCTATCTATCTATCTATCTGTCTGCTCTTTAAATGTATTTCCTTGTATGTTGTGTTCAAGTCTTTTCTGTCTGTAAATTGTTCTTTTCATCAAGGTCAGCTAGACACCCCGAAGGGGTCTGAAACCACTCTGAAACCGCTCTGAAACCACAGAAGTTCAACACGTGCAGAGCTACTTCCCAGTACTACTTCCCAGTACTACTGTGTACTACAAAGCTTGCACAAACACTTCCCAGTACTACTGTGTACTACAAAGCTTGCACAAAGCACTTCCCAGTACTACTGTGTACTACAAAGCTTGCACAAACCACTTCCCAGTACTACTGTGTACTACAAAGCTTGCACAAAGCACTTCCCAGTACTACTGTGTACTACAAAGCTTGCACAAGCACTTCCCAGTACTACTGTGTACTACAAAGCTTGCACAAACTACTTCCCAGTACTACTGTGTACTACAAAGCTTGCACAAAGTACTACTTTGCACTACAAAGCTTGCACAAACTACTTCCCAGTACTACTTTGTACTACAAAGCTTGCACAAACTACTTCCCAGTACTACTGTGTACTACAAAGCTTGCACAAACTACTTCCCAGTACTACTTTGCACTACAAAGCTTGCACAAACTACTTCCCAGTACTACTTTGTACTTGCACAAAGTAACTACAAACTTGTTCCCAGTACTACTGTGCTTGCACAAACTACTTCCCAGTACGAAATACTAAGTGAATACTAAATATTTAACATTCGAAAACAAGTACGAGAATAATGATGAAAAACAACTGAAATGATGAAAGTGATCCGGGCGTGTGGTCGCGCAAGAAACGCGCAAGGTTGGCGCAAGCTCGGCCCAAGAGGCCTTTGTGGGAACAGTAATTTAGGACAACCCCCATATATATATACAGTATATATATATATACACATACAGTGTATATATACATATATATACACTGTATGTATTCATGCCTGAATGTTGTGCTCAGGCAGTATCCACAATTTGGAGCAAAACGAGGCCAACTACATCCTGGGTGCCTGGTATTATATTGTTTCAGTAGCGCGCACTGAATGAGACTTGGTCTACTCATGCACACCCAACGGGGAGCTCATTTCCAAACAAGTCTTCGACAAATGGATTCACAACTCATTCAAACTAATGCATCTACTACTCTCTGCTTCCTTGCATTCCATTCGTTCCTTTATTCGTTGGCTGGGCAGCGATTTAATGTATTTAGTGACTGATTGCCTGACCGGCTCACTCACTCACCGACCCAGAATATAATGCAGCGATGCAGTGAATTTATGGTATGAGGACTAGGGACGAGAATGGTAATTAGTTGAAAAAGAGACATACCTAGATCTGGCTGCCAAATTTCGCAGTGTTGGACATGTGCAGCGCCTTCCGGTGTATTGTAAAATTCATTGCATTGATTGTGCACGAATTGATCCTGGTGGCAGGAAAGCTCTCGCAAAGTTTCCGAAAGATCCGAGGACCGGCTTTCAAGTGGTTTCTCATCTCATTCACACCTTCAATGGGTACTGAACTTCTGCAATCCATCCCGCGCAAGACTACATCCAGTTTTGTACTCCGATGCGTGACATGTTAATGGACTGCCTTTCTATCCATTGACCTGGCAAGGAGGAAGAAGGTATGGAAGGCTCAGTCTCTTATGCTTTGCAATCCACATAACATCATAACATCCTCGTTCGGTCAACGTGCATTGGCAGTTTGCTCCTGTCTTAAGAACTCGAAAGGCAAGATGTCGTTGGAAGATGTCTGCCCAGCCAAGGCCACTGCACTGATAGGTCTGTTTCTTCGATTGCTCTTGGGAACAGGATCTGAATCTAAAAATCATTTCGTAAAAATCTAAAAGACGGACCGACGAAGCTGACTCAATGCTTTCTTTTGGCAGGCGCCCGAGGCTGGTAAGGCAGAACATCTTGGTGGCGCAGCTAGCATGGTTTAAGCTCTCTCAGAAGAGGAAGAATGCCCCCACCTAGACCTTTGGAACAGTTCTTCCGCCAGGCGTGGAGGTGGACATTGGTGGATTTGGCGAGGCAGCTTGTAGCCGTTCTGAAACCTGCACTGTTTCAGCTAGACAACGTGGTATTATGTATTTATATTTGTACAATGTATAGTGCATTAGGTGTATGTTGATTTTTTTCAATGATGCACACAAGGATAAAGTATGTGGATATGCAGGAGGATATGGCGCCGCTCGCATCCAGATTCCCAAGGAGATTGAACCAGGTGTGCAATTCGAATTGATGCAGAGCAGATGTCAATTGGATTTGAAGCCATCGGTTTGGCAGCTCCAGAGAACTACAGAACACAAGGTTCCTGATCAGCTGATCAGCCAATTCATTGCACCTTCTCCATTTTTCTGCAACTCCGAGAGATTGAGCTTGACAGGGAGAGGGCAGAGCCAAAAGACAGCCTCGAGACGTAAGGCCTCACCGGAGTGTCAAACTTGACAAAGAAACCCAAAAGGATTGGACATGTTTTGAACTGTCCCACATCACTCGGCAGGAAGCCCTTGAGACAAGCACAAAAGAAGATAGAGGTGGAGGCCTGACTGCGAAGGATTTTTGAGTGCCTTTTAGTGATCCTGAAGACATGCCAAGACCAAGTCAAGTGTTTCATTGTTTCATTATGAATTGAACAACAGCGAACAACAGTGCCTCTTGCATGCTCTTGCCACTTGAGGAAGCCAAACTGTCCTGTAGCCTGTAGTACCTGTGTTTTGATTATCAGGCTGCTTTTGACAATGCTGACTCACCAACTGAAGGCATGGCTCTTCTTTGTTTCAGCAATCTATCAGTTTGAATTCGATAGTTGGCTTACGTGTTCGATTTGATGACACTGACATGCGCAAAGTCATTGGCCGCCTGGCACAGTGTTTTGTCACCAAGTCTACAAGTCTATATTTGTCAGGCAAGCCCGATGCTGAAGACTCCCCAGGTAGAACTTCAACGGCCTTGGTTTCATACTGCTTCCGCAGCACCAGCAAGGGTAATGCAGGACCATATGTAGACTTGACAGGTGCGAGAATTGACGAGCCACCTTCACCGCTTCAGATGCAGTGGCCTCAGACAAGATTCCAATGATTCCAATGCATTTCATGACTTGTTTCATGACTCTGACAGATACGAAGAGACTGCAGCATAAAGAGACTGTACGTTCGACAAACTCTGCGCGTGACCTCAGGGCTATGGGTGTCGTTGGAACCTAAGCCCGGAGGTTTGTGCTGGTGCTTGTATCATGGTGCATTGTGGTGCCATTTGCTTTGTACTTTTGTGACCTTTTTCGCTTTTGCTAATCAATGAGTTCTGATTTTGCAACCATAGCGAAGCTAAGGGGCCGACATCTTCTAGAGCTTCAGAAGAGCTGCACGACGAGAAGGTCCTCCAGCCATCGCTTTTCAAATCTACATTCTCAGCTCTCTTTTGCGAAGGAGCCCAACAGTGAGTCACATATAGTCACATGATTAACGCACCGTTCTTGTCGTATGGCTTCAGCAGACGAGAGTATTATTGTAGAATTTGCACAAATCGCATGGCTTTGTTTGAACCTTGACTCTCGTCTCTGCTGTTCCTTGCATTTTGCCAGTGTGCGATGGCAGCCGAAACAGGAAGTGCTCAGGCCTAAGTGGCCTAAGCCTTCAACTTGAAGTCACTGGAGTCATTGGAGTCATTGGAGTCCTGACATGTTCCGACATGTTTTCCAAAAAAGGGTGACCAAAAATACGTAACATTTGTTGAGGCCAGTCCAGCTCCAGCATCTTGGACGTCGCTCCAGCTTGTACTGCGTAATATCTCGAATGTTTGAAATGTGTCACGGTTTGGTCACCTTAGAATCCTTAGCTTGTGAGTACAACCACCTGAGTTGATGTAGGTCTGAGGTATGTCTGATGTAAGTTTGATGTAAGTTTGATGTACTTTTAAATCTTTTAATAGGATCTACCATGATCATCCGTGATCTACCTAGGTATGATTTAAATACCGTAGTTCAGCCAGGTGGGATGAGCCGCACAGACCTGAACCTTTCGCTTCGCCATCAGTGTCTCCTCAGAGGAGCCAGTGAACACTTGTGGTCTTTGAACTATTCTTCTCGAAAGTTTTCATGGGGTCCAGCTCAATCTCTCTACATCTCTCTACATCTCTCTACATCTCTCTACATCTCTCTACATCTCTCTACCTTTTCTCGAGTCGATTCTTCTTTACTTTTTCAGATTCATGTGTCTTGGTGCAATTCATCATGTGAGCTTGTCAGGCTTGCAGCTGCAGACGAGGTGCCGTCCAAAGAAACAGTTACGTGCCTGTGCAACATCAAGCAACGATGCCACGAGCCGCGAATGCTGGACACTGAGTCGCATGGAGGAGCTGGAAGCACTGCTGGCCCAAGTACAGTCATTGACACAACGAGTGCTCTCATTGGAGGAGCTCAGAATGCCGTCCATGTGGCCAGACAGTACAAGATTTAGAAGCGAGCCGATTTGACAGGAGGACAAGCATCGATCTGAGCGGCGAATGACAGAAAGGCCTTGCAAAGGGAAAGTATAGCAAACAAACAGGGATGGGAACTTCGTAGCCTATCCCCCAAAAAAGATACAATAGAAAAGCCATGGCCATTTGTCACTATTTTAGTATGATTTCAGTCTTGTATCCATTTTAGGGTTGATATATCATACATACCGTATACACTCATATACATAAACTATAGATTCTATTCTTCTATACACGAATGTCAGCGGATTCCAAATGTCAAGGATTGAAGCTAAAGGCCGTGGGCACCTTGTGTTCTTGCCATGGGCAGGCTCCAACAACTGGCGCGGACCTGTGAAGGTCCTTTGCTGAGTTCCTCACAGGGCATCGAGATCCAAACACTGTGCATGCATGGCACAGTTTAGACAACTTGGTGCAGTGTTGATGTATCCTCGATGAAATCCTGAATTAACATGAATTAATATATATGTATATATATGTATATATATGTACATATATATATATATGAATATATATATATATTCATATATATATATGTATATATATACATATATATATATATATACATATATATATACATATATATATATACATATATATATATTCATATATATATATGTACATATATATACATATATATATACATATACATATATATACATATATATATACGTATATATATATATATACATACATGTGTATATATATATATATAACATGAATTAATATGAGTCAATGGGATCGGAGTTGACCCCTAAGATCCCCAAGTGTGTTTGTATATGCTCTACTATGCCAACTATTCTGGTGACTATACAAAGATAAAGTGCCGAGTAGTCTCTGGGAATTCGAGGGCAAACTACAAGCTGTCTCAAGCCATCCTCGCACGGTTCTACAGTCCGAAATACATCGCTCCGTTTGCTTCAAGGTCTTCGCATTTTCTCTCCCAGCCTTCCAACAGTCTCTGATCTTTTTGCGTCCTTGATTTATCTTTGTTTCCTGGATTCTTTGAGGATTATGAGGCTACTAGTCCATACGTCCTCCATTTTTCCCCAAACTGTCAGAGTCTGACAAGAGTGGTACAAGGTCAAGGCGAGCTTATCGCTGCACAACAGCGGCGATTGGAAGCACAGGTGCGGCATGCTGAAAAGACCTCGCAAGAGAAACAGGAAGGCAACATATGGCAACATACGAATATGACTCATATGACTCATATGTATCACATGACATTTTGATACATTTTGACTCTCAAGACATCATCAAGTCCAGAAGAGAAGACCTGTTTCAAATGGCTGCGGACTTCAGACTCAGAGCTTGAGCTTCCTGCAACGAGGAGCAGCAAATGCAAATGCTGGAAGAACGAGTCGCCCAGCAAGATGACGAGCTTGCCCAGATGGAGCGCCGTCTCTGTGACACACTGCTTACACACTTTACGGCTATGACTGTGCAGTCTGAAAAGATTGGAAGAGTTACGTGCAATTGATATGCAGTCATATTGCCGTCAGATGCCGTCTAGCTGAAAGGACCAGCAGCTTCAAGAACAGCAACTGCAGCTGCAGCAGCAGGTCAGGGACGGTCAGGGTCACCCTAACTTGAAATATCAACCAGTACAAAAGGCATTACTACGGCTGAACCCTTGCGTTCTCAAGACAGTAAGACCTCACAATTTCTTGCTTTGAACACGTGTGTTGCGCAGTTGCATTTTGAGCTGGCCTGTATCGAATCCTATTCAATCCTTAAGGCAGTGAATACGTATCATGTCCACCGTTTCTTGGAAATTTGTGTCGAACATATCCATGTCGAGGATCAACGGTTGGAGCAAGATGACCAGCAGCTCAACGAGCATCAGCAACAGCTCGAACAACAGGAATGCCGATTCTGACTGGGCAACTGGGCATGTCAAGCAAGTCACTTTCAAGCAAACAATTTTTTAGATATTTCAAGAGATTTCAAGAGGTGCTCTCACATGTCCCCCATCGTCACCCCAAGTTATTCCATGGCAGTTTTAGATGTTTTGTCCGACTACTGATGCTTAGCGGGGCGCAAGGAACAGGACCTGGAGAAGCACACGGTACTCTTCCGCGAAATCCTGAACCATTCTGCCCTGCTGACTTGTTCGCTCCAACTGTACCTTGAACAGATTGTGGCAGATTGTGGCAGATTGTGGATTTTGCATAAATTTAATAATTTTGCAACATTTACTGGATAAATCTGACTTCACACTCTTCACATAATGCAAAAATATGCAGCACCTGACCTGCCAGGCGTCCTCGGCGAGTAGCGTGAGACAGAAGGCTTTCGGGGTTTTCCGAGCTTTCCTGACGTTTTGCCCGTTTTGGTCAAGTCTGAAAAGGCATGGGCTGAAGAGGATGCTCAGGCAAAGCTTGCATCATTTTGCATCCTTTCATATCCGTTCACTGGTTCCATATTTTTCATTCACTATTGATTGACTCGGCTCAACACATTCCTGACGCTCTTTTTGCAGGAAAAAGCAGAGGATCCTGCCCCCAGCAGGCCGGGTTCAGCAATTTCTGACAGGGATCCGCCATGATCCGCCGTATCCACCCAATCTTGAAGCACTCCTAAAGGTGGGCACAATCCGAAGCTTGGGAAGGTGCAGAGGCCCAGCAAGACAGTCATACTCCGAAATCCGAAACATGGCATTAGTTTTTGATCGTTTTTGCATAGATGCAGACTCTTGAGATCTCTTGCGATCTCTTGAGACCTCTTGAGATCTCTTGAGGCCTTGCAGGACAAACATGTTGGGTTCGAATGGGGTGATCCTAAGCAACCCTTTGTTGCTCAAGTCTCAAATGCTTTGATCAGTAGAGTTGGGCTCTTTGCTAAACTGTTCGGTTTCCGTCCAGCTCTATTTGCAACTTAGAGCATTTGGGGCACTTCTTGAAGAGTTTTGGCTGTTGGCTGGAAACACGTGCAGAGAAGCACCTTCATCATGCACGTTCAGATTTGGAGATGTTTCGAGTCTTTGTCGTTCTTGAACGTGTTTCATGATGCCATCCATGTCGACGTAGCAGATGCCAGGTTCCTAGGGCCCCGAATCCTTCGCCAGCGAACGCTGATACCCAGATCTTGTTTGTTGTAAAAGCAAGCTGAACAATGCATGAAAGATATGCAATGGGGCAGCAGAGTTGAACAGAGTGCTTGGTTTGCTTGGTATTTGGTTATGGCGATTATGGATGAAATGCAACTTGAGAATCTCAGGCTGCGATAATTGGAGCTGGCGGCGCTCTTGCCGGAAGCAGCAGCGAACGTCCACTTGCGATGAGCCTAGTACGTTTATGATGGTCTACTCTCGAAAGACAACAAGAAGAAACAGATAGAGCATACTTTGATGACAATGAGAGATTTACTTGCTGGAGGATAGCAATATAATTGAACTACAGCATATTGCAAATTAATGCACAACACATTATAACTTATATTAACATACGTATAATGTACTTCTACAGAGTTATACATGAATGCCAAGTCCATAAGGAGCCAAGGAGGATCAGTTCTCTAACCTCTTCCAACCATATCATAGTACCTGTAGAAGCAAATACCAACTAGGCAGGCTTGATTCTTGGCAAAACCTCAAGAGGCCTACTGCAGTTGTGGATTCAGTAGTTATTCGTAGATAATGACGTCCTCTGATTTGCAGTCTTGAAATAGCGAGGCCTTGCCAGGTCGAGCGAAGGCCAGCACGTGGAAGGATGAGTTGAGTTTACATCTTTGATCATTTTTGTCTTGGGTATGCAGTATGCATGCAATTTCGAAGCGCTGGTTTGAACGTGTGGTTCTTTGATGTTCTGCGCTTTTCCAATTCGAGGTCGACACAGCTTCAGCGAAACCTTCTGCAACTCCGAAACTTGCCTCATTTATTGACATTCTTTGATTTGGCACAGCATCTTCATGCCTTCTTCGTCGCTCTGGTTCCTGATAATTATATAGATTATCTTGGTTTAGAGAAGTAGTCAGTCGTGTCTTTCCTCCCACTTGGGGTGACTGACTCTACTATAGGGCAATCTCAGCAAAAAAAATCTTCTCAGTCTGTCTTGACCTTGTCTTGCTGTTCTGCCATGATTCCTTTCTGATTTAGGAAAAATGGACGTCCGCAAACTTGAACCTCTCTCTCTCTGGAAGAATTGATCGGTTATTTTGCTGTGTTGCAAGGAAGCCAGGAGGGCAACTGTGGGACTCCATAGTGGAACTTTGTGCTGAGCGCCGCTTTCTGGAGGCCTACAAACAGGCGTGAAGATTGCGGCATTTTACTGAACGGTGCTGTTGAACATGAATTTCCAGCTGCACTCCTTGCAAACTTTGGCAGGTTATTGCTGAGCCTGAGGAGACTTGTTTGCTTCGTTTAATGAAACACACCGGTGAATAGCCCAGATTGACCCTTTCTCTTTGTACCCTTTCGGGCATTTGCATCAAGTTTATGTAGCGTGTCGATCGTGTCATCCTTCTCTGAGGTCCCATAGTGGATCGACTTGACGCTGAGAGCAACTCACGTTTGTACGGACCCAAGATGAGTGATTCTTTATTCAAAGTTATTCAAATCACGTCACTTCCCCGATTCTGATCCTAGAGCACCACTGAGGATCCGGAGACTGATACACATTCTGTCGTCCCCTTCAAAGGCTCGCTGCACAACAGACTTGCCATGATCGGGATCGGCCTACACCTTCCCCTTGGGCTCTTTGACTCACTGCGTCTCACATCGTCTCACTGCCGAGGAGTCAGCTGCAGCCAATATTGAGCAAATCTTCTCATGGCTATGGCAGGCTATGGTTCTTACGCAGCTGCTGTTGAATGCTGTTCGGTTGCCACACGATGCCACACCGGTTTGTCCAAAAATGGATAAACATGCCGAATATCCCAACCCATCCCAGCCCCAAAATTGATGAAACTTGCAATTTTCATGGGGAACATGATAACAAACCATTGGATTTGGGGGTACCCTATTTTTGGAGACCCACATTTCATCACATTTCGCTCAAGGCTTTGGATTTCGCTTCCCTGAAAACGTAGGCACTCAACCAGGGCATTCACTTCACCGCTTCGCAAGTGGAGGATCTCGTGTCTGCACTGCAGAAGGTCCGCCTTCCGTTGCAAAGCAAATACCTCAGATAATCCTCAAATATACATTGCTTAAAAATGCTTAAATGCTTCACACGCTTCTACAGCAACAAAATTGATTACATTTGAATTTATGTGGTGTTGCTTGGTCTATAGTATTAGTATGATGCGTATATTACAATTACATAGATGTATATTGTATGTATGCATACATATGTAATAGTAATATGAAGTAATATGTATATATATGTATATACACACACACATATATATATATATAATACCCACGCAACATTATACTCATTACATGGCTTCATATGCTGCTTGCATTGGAATTGGAAGGTCTCATCTGCCCAGTCTCCGCTCAGCGGGCCAGAAAAGGCGGAAGCCACGCAGCTTTTGCAGAAGGCGCGGTGAGTTTTTCGTGATGCGATTCCAATTGCAAAGCGATGTCGGATACCGCCGGATCACACTTGTTTGAGGCACAGCATCCCAACCTGGCACACACACACACACACCCACACCCTGTGTTTGTGCGCAATGTTAGCATCACCCAACCACCCGAAAAGCATGGGCAAGGGTACAGCATGTGCAGTCACACACACACACAGAGTATGTCAGACAGTCAATTCTTTGGGGCTTTGCTGCGAGATTGGAGGGACGGGGGCACCTCGATTCAACTCAAAGTGAAGACAATGAGACTGTTTGTTTAGGGTTCATTAGGGCTCTTGAAAGGAAGTCTTTCTGTTTCTTTGTTTCCATTGTCACTCTGCAGGTCTCCACCCACCGGCGATCCTAGAGCTGAGAATGGTAGGCTCTTTTACAAGAATCAGACAGCTGGGGTTGCCAGGAACAATCATCAATATGGAACCAGAACCCCAAAAAATACATGCAAAACCGGGCAGAATGAGTCTCTTTCTCGTGGTTGACTCTCAGCAGACAATGGCAGCATTCAGCCTGCAGCTGCAAATTGTTTGTTTAGATAACTTGTTTTCTTCAGTCGAGCTACCAATGCCGATTGCGGAGTCTCACGCCTCATCTTTTCTTTCCTGTGATGGCTAGAGGCATAATTCATCGGTTCCTCAGCGAGTCAAGCTGACTTTGAACCAACTCATGCCCTCGCTTAAAAGCAGACTCAGACTGTGACGACAAGGCTTCTCATTGGTGTGGGTGAGTCTGACTGGCGGGCCTGTGATTTTTGGAATTGTGGATCTTTCATATTCGCAACAGTCGCAACAGATCAGATCTCAACCATGTCGGCAAAACAATCATCGGTGACAAAGATGCGCCACCAAGGTTAGGTTGGCAGATGTTGGCAGGAAGTTCAATCACAGAGACAGTTTGCCTCTTGTTTCCGATAAGAATATGGACCCCCATGGCCCCGTGTTGTGGGTGCATTTACGATTTGTAGCTTCGAACTGCCCACAATTCATACATTGTATTTGTAGCTGTCTATTCCTTTGTTTGTCATGGATACGAACGACAATTTGCATGCCTGCAGATTGCTACAATTTTCGTTGCAGACTGACACTGCACCCAATACACAAACATCGTTGCATGGTCACGCCATCCGCAAGTGGTCCTAGCTATGGGTGCCAAATCTTCAAGAGGAGTTGCATCCAATGGGTCGGAGTCTCTCAGTCTCTCCGAAATCTTGAATTTTCTGCGTTTTACCAGTTTTATCCATCGGTTCTTCGCGTGCTTGGATTGCTGAATTCCCCCAAGCCTTCACTCAAGGCTGACTGAGCCATTGCTGCCTTTGTACCATCAGGTCAGTGACTGCATCAGTGACTGCATCCGTGTCGGATTCAGATTATGATTCTTCCAGATTCTTCCAGTCTTGTGCAGGTACATCCAGGACTGCAAGGCGCAGCTGAATTCATCGCCCAACCCACAGCGCCCAACCCACAGCCATCTCCAGATTCACTGAAGGCGTTCCGGATGGTAGCGGAGTGAGCGGATCTGCCTCTGCTCCTGCAAGCTTTAAGGCGTGGGAACTTGACTCGTTGCACCTTGTTATATCTCGTTGCTTTTGCCACTCGTTAGATTGGATGTTCACAGACATTCGGGCCATCTTGGGCCACTCTGGTACCAGCTCCTTTTGTGATGCTTTTTGTGTTGTGAGGCAGGCAAGCCAAGAAAGACAAAGCATTTCATTGGGGATGAAATTCTCCACTCAACTTCCAGGCCGCTGCTGTATTTGTATATTTGAGACTTGACGGCGTTGACGCTTTTCCTGCAGAAACTCAAACTCTACAGCAGATCTCGCTGGGACACAAGAACTTGACACCTTTCCAGCAGGCCTGTTTGGGAAGCACCGACCGATGTGGATCCTAGACTTCTTGATGAAGAACGGACCATGCAGGCAATCAGTGAGCAGGCAGGTCAGTTTGACTGAAATCATAATAATCATGAATCATGCCAAAATTGCATGCTTACCCTTTGTTGCAGATTGTTGCAGATACACACAAAGAAAGCCATGGCATTGGGGGGAGGTGGACATGGACAGACCAGCAGATTGGCTGAAGTGGGCAAGACAGACATCAAAGGGAGATGAATTCATTTCTCACTTGCAGGTTGCGTCGTTGCTGTCCAGATACATTGAGGAAGGGAGGTCGAAACCGCAGGCAAGATTCATTGCCATGCAGTGTATAACTCTCAATGGTTTTGGGTGGTAGACGTATGTTGACGTCCAATGTACCTCAACAGAAAGAAGTGTGCAGACTCCTCAATGCATTGAACACAAACAATGTTCTGAACCGGCATTTGCCACTGGTACCTACCTAGCCACTTTGGACAATCAAGAGCGATGAGCGCCCTTAGTTCTTCATACTTTAATTCACTTCATCGCTTGTGGTCTGCAGGATAAGGATGAAGACGAATTCCACGAGGACATAATGTCGCAGTGGAATAGGGCAGCAGCGCAAGCTCGTTGACGCATCCGATTGCGAACTATATAGTCCGTTGATGGCAATCATGGCAATTAATCGATATCAGTTGATCTGTCAAGTACAGCGGAGGATCACTTTCTCCGTCGAAGATTTTGCTCCTGCTGTCCATTCCGCTCAAGAACCCCTATCCCGTTGAGACCTTGGTACTTTTCGTACTGTTGGTCCATGAAGTGCTCATACAAGATTGCTCGACACGCCAGCACCTGGTTTCTATTTTCATGCCAAGTGAGCCGAAGTATGAAGTTACAGTTAAAGATAGTTAACGCGCAAAGCCATGTTGTCATGTCACTGTGTCACCCGATTTGTCAAAGGTCCAAGGAGACTATCCTGGATTTTTTGAACAAGATCGCAGAATCTCTGTATTTTTGCAAGCAGGTTCGCATTCCTGGGTATGTCAAAAAGCGCACTGCCATCGAAACCAGAATGCGGAATGCGGAACAAAGTCATACAACGTCACCTGGGCAGGTTGTCGTGCTTTGCGCAATCTACATCGAACGCTTGCTCCAAAGGGTAGACATCTTACTTGTCATCCGGAGATGCATCCAGTATATTTGACGTTTTGTCATGTTTTGTCAACTTCCTCATTATTCAAGTTTGTACTCAACACATTTGGCATGCAAAATCTGGCTTTTCCACTTGCAATGCTATCCAATGCTTGGATTGCAGACGGATACCGTTTTGACGACCGGAAACTGGCGGTCCCTGGTGACAGCTGGAATGCTCATAGCATCCAAGGCTGGAGACTCGGTGAGCCAAACATATCGAAGTCAGAAATGCAAAGCATATCTTGCATAACCAATTTTAACGATTTTTAATCAAAAGACTAGACAAAGGACCCGCAAGCTTTGAGGCAGAATGTGGTGCTGGAAGAATCAGAAGTTTCATTATAATTATATACAATTACTTGGTATATTATTATATTATGCTTCTGATGGCCAGCAACATTCTCCATGTTAGCCTTTTGCAAGTCTTTGCATCGCTGATCCATGCTGAAACACCCCGAGGTCTGGGAAGACATTCATCCGTGGATCTGCCCAGCATGCCAAGACATGCCAAGACATGCCAAGACACTTGTTTCTCCATATCTTCTCCATGTTTCTCTATTCGTGCTCATATTATCATATTATTTATGATATGATACTTGTATGATAGGATCGGATATGATATCATATTTTCGAGTCGAGTTTCTAGCCAGAGAGGCAGTTACTTGAAGAGATCCATCTCCACATGCATTTTTAATCATTTCTATACCTCCCTTGCAAACTTACAGCAGATTATTCATTTAACGAGTGAGGAACATATGTGGTCTTCGAAAGGGCATAGCAGGCATTGCACAACCCCCACATTTTCAAAGCTTTGGAGCTCCCATCTTCAGGTGGAATGCAGACTTTGAGGAATGCCTTGTGGAAATCGCAGGTGTGTTGAGACTGTGAGCTTTGATCTCGACGCAGCATCTTCTGCTTTGTCGCATGTGGCGACTGGGCTGAAGGCATTCGATATCGCAATGGAGCCTTGTACAGACTTGAGTCACTTTTTCTCGAAAAATTGCAGCTGGAGCCCCAGTGTCACACAGGACCACATTCCAAATCCATGCAAATTCAAGAATCCTGTCGCGTTAGTAGCCTAATTCGATTCATGGACATAGAACGGTAAGAACTGGAATGCATTTGACCCTATGAATAAGTAAAATGCACAAACCGATTTTGAATCTGCCAGAGAAAAGCAACAAATTGGTAAGGTCCTGAGGTCATCCTCGGTTTTGAGGTTTTATATGGTTTTATGACAATTGAGGATGACCTCAACGCCTGAAGCCTTCAGGTGGCGAGTATTTGTCGATGGTGAGATCTACGCAGCCTATTTCTTCTCTTTACAGGAAGGGAGGTGCGCACTGTCTTGACAGTTCTGTTGTACTTTGGGCCTCAAGATTCTTCAAGATAGGTCTGTTGTGTATTCGTGCACTTCCAGTATCTTGTCATTCTATGTGAAAGCTCCATGATTTTCAGAAACTTGTGCAGAGTTCATGCCCAAGAGTTGGTCACTTTATACCATTGCATACTTTAGCCGTGACAGACACCTACCTGAAATGAAGCTTTGCCATTTCACATCCATTCACCATGTGAACGAACGATGTACCGTTTTGAGAAGCTCTGAAACGGGGCAAGGCAGAGCGAGAGACACCCATCACCTGGATCTCGACCTCGAAAAGCACAGCGGCTGCAGAGGCAAATTTCACTCCTGGCACATCCTGTCACCATAAAATATTTAGATAACGTAGACGTGTGTGCTATGTCTGCGTGTGTGCTATGTGACATTCCAATGGCGCACGAGGAATCCATATTTGGAAGAGCTATATTAACGACTCAGCTGCCAAACGCTTTGTAGAAGGTGGAGACTTTCCAGACATTACAAACGCATTGCAAACGCATTGCAAACGCTTGTTATCCCCAAACTTCAGAGTTTCAGAGGCATCATTCAGTCCAGTCCTCAGATCAAGGGCTCGGAAAAACACAATTCACTTCAGTATCTCCCAGCATGGCGGCTAGATGATGCCTTTGGGTACCTCAAAGCCATTTCTGACATGACCTGTTTGAGGACGTTTCAAACTTTGCGATCATGCCGATTATCGAGGAGTATATAGTTTGGGCATGTTTGGGCAACTGATAGTGGTCACCTGGTTTGCCACTGCTACTCGGGCGCTTGTAGAGGAAACAAGAAAAGCGACTGCAGGGTACATGTGAGTGTATATAAAGAATTGTGTATGTATAGATAGACTAATAGTGCAGTGGATATAACACGATCATGGATGAAATACATTTAAATATATACATGTTATATGTATATATATATACATGTTATATATAAATATAAATATATACATGTTATAAATATATATATACACATGTTATA